CCTTCCTCCTGACGTGGAGGCGAAGGTTGATGCGACGGCAGTGGCGTCGATATCCATTGGTTCGCCATAGTCCCTGGTGTCTGTGATGACGAGAGCCCCCTGCTTGGCTGCATCGGTGTTTCGAACTTCGTCGTACCAGGCCTTCATGGTGTTGGGTCGATCCCTAGCGACTCTTGTTGCGAGAGCAAAGTACAGCTCCTTCGGGAGTCCTTTGACAAAGTTGGCGTGGAGAGTGTGGTAGTTGTTCTCAATGCGGTTGGTGCCATTGACCTCGGTGTCCTTGAGCTGAGCCTTCGATGCCAGCTGCTCGAAGCGGGTAACGTAGTTACCGAGGGAGAGCGCCGTCTTCCTATCCTTCTGTCGTTCAGGCAGTTTCATCAGGATTTGATGTGCCTTGATTCGCGTTCCGTGCTCAGGGAACACCTCTTCTAGAGCGGCAACGAAGTCTGCCCAAGTGGAATAGACCTGGACTCCCCCTGCTGACTTTTCGTAATACGCGTCCGCCCATGTTTTCCCCAGATCCTTCCTCATCAGCGCTACAGTGAAGGCGATCTTTGCTTCATCGCTGAGTCGGGTGTTGTTGGTGGCGACGAAGTAGGAGAGGATGCATTGGATGAAGCGTCTGAGGTCCTCCACCTTTCCGCTGAAAGGTTCGGGAGCGGGGATGTCGAGGCGAAGGGGTCGGTTGGCAGTTGACTGTTGGGATTGGTATGCTGCGAGGGCGACAGCAATGCGCTGATCGATGTCTGCTTGAGTGAATGTTGCCATAGGGACTTCAACCGGTGCGTTGGTTGGTGCGGGTGGAGCTGGTGGTAGTTCAATGTCTGGGATCTCGATGGGTACATACTGAACTTCAGGGAGTTCAAGTGGTTGTTCGCTGGTGGGTGACTGCACGCTTTCTGCTGTTTGTGTAGGTTCGACGTCGATCCGTAGGATGGTGAATATGTCTTCTGGGTGAGTGGGTGGGTGTCTCTGGTAGTAGCTAACGAGTTCTTGATGGGCGACGACCTGCGGGTTTGGACCGGTTGCACGACACCAGGTGCTGCCTCGAGGGTAGATGGGAGCTCTTTTTGTGGAGGTGACGAAGCAGTGATCTGCTCGGTCATACTGGAGGAGCGGTGATCCTGCGAGGGCTGGTAGTCCCAAAGGAACCGGGTTGACTGCATTGTTCGATGTAATGGTGGATGAGATGTTCGACTAGGTAAAACTAGGAATGTAGCTTAGAAAGTTCGACCTTTTGATACAATGGTCTATACTCCTATATTGATGCCTGACTCGTAGACGACGAGCGAGGACTTATGGACAGTACGTCATCCCAAAGGTCGAGCGAGGAAGTCGAGAATGACCACTACCCCAAGCGAAGAGGAGCAGAGACTTGAATGAATAACTAGGTCGAACTTAGGGTTCGACCGACTAATGGTACAACTACTTATACAAGTACCGGCTATGCACGGACCACTGTATCTGTGTGGTCGTGTTTAGTAAGGAAAGAAACGTAGTGGTACAATACCAGGTACGAAGTGCGCACAGACCCCATTATGTAAGCTACATAATGTTCAACCTGCAGGTGAGCGCTCAGACAGGTGCCAGTATGGGTGCTAGTAGTACAAGAGATAGAATGGAAAGATAAATGTTTCAGTACTTATTGCTGATAAGCGGCAATGTTCCCCAGCTCTCAAGCACTAAGGTAGGGCTAAGTCACTTTCGACCAACATTACGTGCTTGTGACTGCTTGTGATCAAGGACTTATTCTTCGGGAGAGTAAGTGTCCGTCTATTGAGGGTGTTGCCGAATAGAGAGTGCTTCTTTCCTCAGGTACACTTCAAATCTATCTTCAATTGCTCCTCGCACTTGATTACAAATAGAGAAGCAGACTTTTGTGCAACGATGTCCTCCACAGATTCTCCTGTTTTCCGATTTCTTACTGTCTGCCTCAAATAGTATCCTTTAGATTTGCGAACATAATTTGTGCTTTTGTCACAATTTTGTAACGGCCGGCACGTGATGTTGGTCGAAAGTGACTTACTGTAAGACCACGGTGATGTTACATTCATCATTGGCATACGGCTTGATCGTGTTCGCCTTCGCCTTGCGGGTGTGTAGGCTATGTGCACAAATAGGGGTATTTGCACTCAGAATTGGACCCAGGTCCGTCGAAGTGTACTGATGGATAACTATGACCCGGGCAAACATGCGTTTCGGATGTCCTGACACTCTGCTCCCGAATATGACACCGTCCATTTAGCGGAACTCCTGGCAGCAACCACTCCATCTCCCTGTGCACGTCATAGATAGTACCTCATTCGAAACATTACGTACGTTGTTCATGGAAGTCCATCACTTATCTATATGCGCTGCTATAGGTTCACTGAGCTCTACTGGGAAGCGAACAATCGCTGGTCCATGTGCACTCCCCTCCATATGGCCGTCAAGACTACGAAGTCCATATAAAGTTTGGGTAGCCGCAACCTCGAGGTGCGCCACTGCTTGGCTCCCCGTTTATTAAGCGAGACAGGCCTGGCGCTCTGACATACGAGGCGTGATATATCTTTGGGTTCGCCTCAGACGTGTCTGTCCATGCTCCCCACCAAGGTTCTACCTGCGTTCTTGACAGCATGTCGACCATTTCCATACAATCCGTCCTCGCGTCTTTACACGCTCTCGTCCTTCCCCCAGCGCAGCCTTCTGCAAGAAATATGCTCGGCTCGTCGGCTGCACTCGGAGTATTAATACTGATGCTGCGCTGGCTCTCTGCGCGAGGGGCAACGGCGCACCAGCTCATCGGCGATCCTGGCAAAGTAGGGCGGCCCGTCAAAAGCCGTGAGGACGAATACGATCCAGAAGAGTACGATGTTATCGTCGTCGGTGGCGGTGAGTTCACTTGGGGGGACCCCATTTCTGGCTGTCCACGACGCAAAGTACAGGCACGGCTGGATGTGTTCTCGCATCGCGTCTATCTGAAGACCGAAATACACGAGTTTTGCTGCTGGAAGCAGGGAAGAGGTATTTGTATCCAAAGCCTGTGAGCATTGATGCGGAGTGCTGAAATACATACAAGCTCTCGTAATGAGTTGTTCTCGCGAGTCCCGGCTCTGTTCCCGCAGGCGTTCTGCTCGGAACACGACCACAACATATATACTGTCCCGCAGAAGCATGCGGGATTCAAGTGCAAGTACTGGCCTAGAGGTAAGCTGTTGTGCTGTCTCGCTCTTCGCAATGGCTCTTAGACCGTGTCGATTAGGGAAAATGCTGGGTGGCTGTGAGTGTGCAATAAATCCTGTTGAAGGAACTCAAGAAGAGTTATTCCCAATATTGCAGGCTCATCGGTCAATGCCATGATGTGAGAGAAACGAGATTGAAACGCATTATATTGCTGATTATAGTAATCCCCTCGTTCTCAGGTTCCACCATTGTGCCCCATCAGACTATAATGAGTGGGCTGCCCTTCAGAAAGGCAAAGAAGGTGCTGAAGGGTGGTCGTATCAGCAAATGCACAAGTCAGCTGCCACATGTTCTGTTAATGGGCATGCTAACTCGATCCCCGCACAGGTACTTCATGAAATTCGAGAAATATCACCCGAACGAGAAGCATCCCTCAGTGGATGTGTCACTCCGTGGATCCTCTGGACCTGTGAATGGTAGGTAATGCAACGAGCGACCATATGTAATTTCCAGTAACATGGATTCCTAGTTGGGTACTTTGGCCATGTCTCAGTGCTTACGCCAAAGTTCATCGAGGCCTGCCATAACGCGGGTGTCTCGTACAATCCAGACCTCAATACGTCGAAAGGAACTATGGGTGTGACTGAGGTACGCCCTCCTTCACGATATTGTTCGAACCCTCACAACAACAATGGCGCATACGCGCTATAGACAGCAACATACATAGACTCACGCAGACGCAGAGTGACAACCGAGACTGCCTACCTGACAGCAGAGGTCCTTGAACGAGAAAACCTCACGGTAGCCACGGGGGCGAAGGTGCTCCGGCTGCTGTTTGAGTATCGGCGATCTGGCGAAGAATTCGGTCCACGTGTCAAAGGCGTACAATACGCGAACGATCACGGCAATGTGTTCGAAGTCAAGGCGCGTAAAGAAGTAGTCATCTCGTAGGTGTAACGCAGCTGAACATTGGAATTTACGCTGATATTGCACTCATATCACAAGTGCAGGTACAGTACACACACCTAAGGTAATGTGCCACTTATGTCCATCGCCAGCTTCTCCTCATTCCGTCACTTGAAGATCTTGTTGCTTTCTGGAATCGGGCCCGCGGACCACCTGGCTGTGCATGGTATACCCAGCGTGGCCGACCTACCAGGTGTCGGAGCGCACCTCATGGACCATGCCTCAGCCAATTTGTACTTCATGGACAAGAGCGGGGCGGATGTGTCCGCCTTTACTGTGCATGACATCCGCTCAATGCCTGGGCCGTCGCTCGCGCTCAAGCTCGCACGTGCTGCATTGGATTATGTTGCCTTCGGTACCGGTATGCTATCCGGGAACGTACGTTCGGGAGCCTGCATGAAGTAGACATGGACTGTTCCCCTGACCCCTTGCGTTGGTAGATCGTTGAGAGCCTGGCCTTCGCTCGTTCCGACGACCCCACGCTGTTTCCTCATGAGAGGTTCCCGCCGAACAACATTCCAGAAGACACAACTTCAGGGCCCGATGCGCCTGACATCGAGATCGTGTTCACTCCAGTGGCATTATATGAGCACGGGGTCTTGCCGTTCCCGATAAAGGGCCATCATTTCTCACTGCTCGCGATACTGCTGAGGTGAGTACCTCTCGACTCTCCTCTTTCCCGGTGGGTTGAAGGATATCCCAGACCGACGAGCCTAGGCACTGTTCGTCTCAAGTCGGCAGACCCATATGCCGCGCCTGTTATTGACCCTGCGTGCGTGCCCTCTGTATCATGCCGTAGTAACAAAAAGGCCAACCGTCCTCGTCAGGTACCTCTCGACCCGCCACGATATCGACGTGCTCGTGCGAGCTACGCGCCTCGTCTCACGCATTGCACAGACAGAGCCCTTTGCATCGCTCATCGATCCCGCGGGAGACGACATCCCGCTGCTAAACCACAGGATGGACAGACTGAGCGACACCGAGGTTGAGACGCTTGTACGCGACCGTGTGCAGACGGTCTACCATCCGACTTCCACGGCACGTATGGCGCCTCTTGAGGACGGCGGCGTCGTAGACCCGTTCCTACGCGTGCACGGTGTCCCGAACTTGCGGGTGGTCGACGCGTCGGTATTCCCCACGATCCCGTCAGGACATACGGTGCGGATTCTCCTCATCTTGCATTTTGTTCAATGCAAGCTGATATTCGTATCGGTAAAAGTCCGCACCTGTGATTGCTGTTGCAGAGAAGGCAGCGGATATGATCAAGGAGACTTTGACGAACCATCGCCTGTCATCTTCGTCATGATCAGCTCTGAATAGTGGGAGTTACATAGCAACCTCAATAATCGACCTTCGACCTTAGTTATTGATGGTGTAACTCGGTGTGCCAGGAATATGGACACAGCGGAAGCGATTATCTAGACTCAATAAACGGGCGATAGTAGTTGTAAAGGCCTGAAGAAGTAGGCTGAAGGATGGATGGCATAAGTTGCTCTTACTCTCGTACGTAGTAGTTATTTTCCTGATAGTAGGTTGGCGGCAGTGTATCTCTGAGATCGTGCAGCAGTCAACGTTTACGGCATATCTATGGCAAGTGTGGACAGACAAGACAAACCCACTCGAAGTACCACTATACGGCCACAGTGATCACGATCAATTCACGAAGACAAACAAGTATATGGTGCGCTCGACCCGCGCGTACGATGATGGTTATTGACCGTCACAATTTCCGTCCAAAATGCAAATATACAACAGCAGATGTAATTCAAACATACCTGTCGGGTCGTCTACCGCAGTGCAGTACAGCGACAATCTACAGGTGAGCGATGCGACAAACGACAGCGAGGACTAGATAGCATGAGGATGAAGTCTGAGAAAACAAAGCGGACTGTACGGTATACGTGGCATGATATCGAATACACACTCGCCGTTAACCCCTGCCCCAGTGCAGAGACAGCATGTCAGCGTCCGAGAGCATTAAGTCAGTATCCATCTCGGAAGAGCCGGCGTCGAACAGTGCGCGTCCAGCGCTCTGAGCGGCATGCCGGGACTCCCGATGCAAAGGAGCGGACGGACATAGATGTGGACAACCAGACAGACACCACCTGGGACATCTGTGGATTACGCCGCTCCGTAAGAGGGCTCCTCACAAACGACGGGAGTCATGATGCGACGATGCGTCCTTAGCAGGCACAGGACCAATCGTTCTCGGAGCTTGCAGAGGCGAAGTCGGGGGTGTGAGGAGAACGAACACGTCAGACTGACGCAATGTGACAAGTTCGTAAATGCCGGTCAAAAATCAGTGTAGCTATTTACCTCCTCCATGACACCTGTAGTCTGACGATGCCTTAGCGTAGATTGCGATCTGGTATCTTCTCGCGGTGTCAGCTGGTTGAGCTCGACAGGCGTGCTACCTGGGCTAGTGGTCGCCGATGATGCTTGCTGCTTCCTGTTGCCTAAATCAGGACTCGTGCTTGTGGGAGATGCTACTGGGAGACATACGTACCTTCGGCGCTCAAGGTATGATACGGCCAGATCCTCAAGCATCGGGGCGATGACAAACTAGTAAGAAGTTTATCAGCAACACTCCCCCTGTCTTTGACCAACGTCCTGACCTCTTTGAAGACATATACCGCAGCAAGCAGGCCAACGGCACTCACAATACACACGGCAACGGGGGCTGGCATTGTGAGTGATGGTGAGGACAAGAGAATGGTCGGGCATGGGGCGAGGATAGCCCTACATAGTGCTGCTGTGAGCTCGAGGTACCCTCGAGGTATCAGAGTGAACGTAATTCTCCATTTTCAGACGCGGAGATCTCTGAGCGTCTAGATTGTTAGTACACTGGCAATACAGCGAAGACTAGCACTCACTCGCGTTGTGCTAAATGAACTTCGTTACGCAGGTCGCAGGGCCAGAGCGACGAGTTACGCAATGGTCACCCCGCACGGTTCTGCGCGAATTATATACGCCTTGCCGAGGTGGAGAGATCTGGTATAGACCGCTATAGTGCGATATGCCATCAGCCTCCGCATTGCAATATGGATGTTCCTCCGTCCGTCGATCGATAGACGGGCACAACACAATATCTCAGGAAAGTAAAAACACCCTAAATCTCTGGGGTGTGTTCGTCCTCACTCCGAGTTGCAGAAGTGGTCCACTTCTTGTATATCGACCTACCTGTGATCTCTCCGAATTGAGTGAACATGCTAAAGCTTGCTCTTCATCCGCTTCCTTCGCTGTTTCTCCGTTCTGGATAGCCTGCCTGCATCTGACACTCCATCGGAATCAATACCCTCCCGCCGCGAACGCTAATCAAGAACCTGCACGCGCACCGACTGAGCAGGACATACAGATCCCCCATCCTGCCTATGAACAGTACGTCGAGGACTGCCGCGCACCGAGACCTGGGATATGCGACATGTGAATGCGGGGTGAGGTACTGCAGTAGGCTCTGTAAACACCTTCAAATAATTAGAGCGTTTAGTTACGGGTTATGCAGTACAATTCGAGAGACGAACTGTCGAGATTCAGGTTTGAGAGTCGGGATGGGAGCATCATCGAAGTGTAGTCACAGTCTGTGGAACTTCCTAGCAGATTTGTTTGAGGAGATTGCTCCTGCGCGTTCTCGGCATTGTCCAGCGACTCACGGTGTAGATTCAAGCTGTTTCCTAGTATAAGCGCTACATAATCTCGATCCCGTCAAATGATGTGCCTTGAGCGCTTAATAGCTCCCGGCTCCCGCTTTTATCAAGTTTATTGCGAAGTGTTCTCTAACATTTCGAGCTCCTGCCTTTTGCATTTAGCTCGTTCCAGAATATAAAGCTATCAATCTGTAGGTAAGACAACTACACGAGATACACGACTACCAGCCACACAATATTGGAGTCCTACGCGACGCGAATACCTGTATCCACTTGTATCTGACATGCTGTAGAAGAGAGTTGAACAGCAAGACTGTCCACCCTGAGGGTCTCGAAGCTAGTTTCCTGCCTCGTCGCCGCATTGACCACGCCGATCGCGACCTGCTCAAGCTGCATCTCTTGTGTCTGCATCATCGTCGCCCACTCTACCATATGTCCCAGCAACCCATCAACCTCCTCCTCTGTGTTTCGCGCATGCACCACAACGCGGACCCGCTCCTGGCCGCGGGGCTCTACTGGATATGGGATGGGCAACGCTGCATATCCAAGGCGCTGCAGGAAGCTGGCGAGCGAAATGGGGGCACTGGTGATGATGGGGAATATGGGGCTGACTATTTCCACGGGGAACTCGGGTGGGTTATTGCGTGCCCGAAGAGTGAGAAGGCTGGATGGAATATCCTGCAAGGTCGAGACCAGTCTCTGCTCAAAGTAAACAGATAGACGACGGAGACGGTCCATGAGCTACAGGAGGTCAGAATGGGCTTCAATTCAGGAGGGTTGCGACACACACCTCAGTACCAATGGGGCTTTCTATGTAATCGAAGGAAGCATTCAATGCACAGATCGATGAACGAGGGAGCGAAGTTGAGTAGATGAACGGACGCCCGTAGTTAATCATGTACTTTCTGATGACAGGGGAGGTCAAAATAACGGCTGAAGATGATTCGCGCTGGTGTCAGTTCTCCTCGAAGTACGAAGCGACACGTTACATACCACCTACAAATGCACGCGCTTTACCGAAAGTATGAAGGACCGTGTCGATGTGACTATCCAAGTTCAGCGCTGCAACGAGCCCTCTACCTTGCGGCCCACATATACCGGTCGAATGCGCCTCGTCGACCACGATATGAGCACATCCCGGCGGAACCAGCTCCTTCGTCAGTCGCACTATCTCCGGAAGAGGCGCAAAGTCTCCGTCCATGCTGTACAGGCTCTCGACAGCAATGAAGACAGTTCCTTTCCCCGCGGCAATATCAGGATGTTTCTCCAGCACTCTGGAAATGCAGTCGCACAAGGAAGACACGGAGTTGTGGGCGAAGGTGTACAGGGAGCCCTTAATGCGAGATGTCGCAACTCCGTCTCGGGTAGACGCATGGACGTACTCGTCCAAGATGACAGCGTCGCCAGCCTGCGGAACGGAGTGCCAGAAGGAAACGTTGGCGTCGTATCCAGAGTTGAAGAGCAATGCAGCAGGGGCTCCGAAGAACGTCTTCATTCTCGCTTCGAATTCAGTGTGGGCGCTCAGGTTCCCGCTCATTAAGCGGGAGCCGCCGGTTCCAAACACGAGCGGAGAGCGAGAGAGCTCATCGAGGAAGGATTGGCGTAGCTGCGGTTCCGTGGTGAGGGAGAGATAATCATTGGAGAAGAGGTCGGGCGCCGAGAAGGATGTTTCGTATAGAAGGTCAGTAGTGGGGACCGACCTCTTCTGGCGGCCGCGGAGTGCTTTTTCCAAGGCGGTGGTAAGGGGATTCGACATTGCTGAATTACGTAGGTGCTTAGCTTGCCTAGCATGTTTCTACCGGTGCAGGCTTTATGTGGCACATGAAGAAAAGGGATAACTTGACCTCGTGCTGTACAACATTCTAAAAGTTGGTACCTGGCTCTCATTCCCGTTAGATGTCGCAGCGAGGTTTGTGGGCGTCGTCAGACAGCGCGCGCAGTAGCCGTGATCCATCTGATCGCAGGTGGTTTCATCTCTGTCGTGCGTCACGACAGTGGACCTAGTAGACCGATCATGTTGTGGTCTAAGTGAATGATCAGACTATCACGGTGGGTCAAAAGCACTCACGGGAGCCACACAATAGGAAAGTTCAAGCAGCAGGTTCCTTGATGCGCTCTGTAAGATAAAACTTGAGTATCGCCGACTACTCCGAGGAACATGCCAAGAGGTTTGCCTGGCGCCTGATAATAGTAGACGCACTGGGCCTTGTTCTCGTACGTAGCATCAGACAAATTGTGAGCATTAAAACGGAAATTTCTTGTCATACCTGAGATGGTTACGGATAATATCCTTCCTCCGTGCACTCACGATCAAGTTTGCGCACTGCTCCCGGTCTCATGTGCAGTGTCACCGCTATCAAACGAACAATCCACCCCAAGCATCGAAGGATCCAGCGTCCATTTTGCTACGTTGCGATCAAAGTGAGATCCCAGATCGCTGCCGTACAGAGGACAAACACGGAGTATACCTATCGACAGCGCGCCCGAGCCCCTGGATCTGTGTCAGCTCGGCAGGAGGAGCTGCACTTCATCCAAACCGTACAGGGCAGTATCGCGACTGCCCCTTAGCCCAGTGGATTCTGCATCCTATTTGAAGACCTGTCTGCCTCTACCTTCTTATAGTCCTATGGTCATCGACTGCGTATTGTTTGTTACATACACAGACGAACCTGACGACTGCATTTGATAATGACATCCTCATTTCCACTGCCAAAGGCCTATTTCGTTGCCCTGTTCTGCGAGGCTATTCTGCATGGTACAGGCTTTCTGGACTCACTTTGATTGTCTGGCTAATCAAAAAACTGTCAACGACAGGCATGTACACTGTTTCATGTGGCGGGGCACTGTATCTCTTGCTGTAAGTGATCTCGAACCATGCTAGGGCCTTACACCAGATGAGAATGCTCACCATCTGACAGCTACAAACGGCGGCGGCAGACTCGAAGAATGTCGCCAATCAATATTACTATGGTGTTTCTAACGGTCACGATGTACAGTCTGTCGACGACGCACATCGCATTGTCCCTCCACCAGAACCTCATCGCGTTCTTTGAACAACACGCCGCTGATGGCGGGTTGACCATTCTGAACGATCAAGGGAGTCCCCTTGTATACACTCAGATTGCAATTGAAGTCATCAACGTCAGTGTGCATTCGACCTCGAGGATGAATGTGGACTTACAGTAATCTTTGTCTGTAGTGCCTCTTAGGCGTGAGCATCGCCAATTCGCTTCCGGTGACGGTGAAACCTGACAATGAAATCAGGACTCCATAGTCTGCTGGAGAACGTGGGTTCTGTGGGGAAGAAGATACAGCGTTATCGCCATTCCGGCAACGTGCATCCTTGGAGGGGCAGGTGCGTACATGCCATCTGTTATCCATGCATGATATCACTCGGGAGCTCACGTACTTTAGCTTCGGGGATAGGGCTTATACGCGCGTTTGCTGTGTCCCCGGGCGGCGAAGAGGTCTACAATGCCGACATTACCCGGTGGTTTGAGGTATTTGGTGCTTTGACGTTGGCGGCCAACATTTACGCCGTCGTAGCAATCTCGTATAGGGCCTGGTACGTGCGTGGTTGTTTTGATAATGAGAGGTGCCTGATTGTGTGGACAGGCAGAGCATGCGAGCTCTCCGCGAGCTGGGTCCGAACGTTGTGATTCATGGAGGGAAGTATTACGGAGCGCTACTGGTCGTGATTGAGTCAGGAGTGCTGTACAGTGTTGCTCTGGTACATACCATTGTTCCCTCTGACCTTCTGCCGTCATACCCGCTGTGTGCGCTGCAGATCATAACAATCTCACTCTTCTTGGCTGACAACAATGGTGTTTATGTCATCACAGATATGCTGGGCCATCTTACGGTATGATGTTACATTGACTGAGCAACTGCATTCGATCTGAAGCATGGTGTGTTCGCAGGGCATCTATCCGACAGTCATCATAGTCCTCGTGACTCTCAAAATGACATTTCATGACGACGTAACGCGGGCTGAGATGACGCTGTCCACGATACGGTGTGCTCCCCCGCCAGATCTTGATCCTGGACAAAAGATGCAGCCCACAAGACTGGCCTGGCGGCGTGGAGGCAGGCGCGGAAATGGAAGCCGGACGAGCGTCGATCTGGAGTCAACGAAATCGTACCCGCTCCAACCTACCACAATCTCCGCCGGACCAGCACAAAATGCATGGTACAATCAAGACATCTCCGGAACAATTGGTAATAGCTCTCTGCAATTAGAAGGGTCGGCGAAGGCTGGTGAGCTCGCGCCGGTGTAGTGAGATACTTGGCGCATTGCGTCGTATCTATCCGACACGCTTTACTGTGCCTCGGTAACTGTATTTTAGATGTCACAAATAGCCGTGTGTTTGGGCCACAGGTCATGATAGTTTAATGACTCCGAAAATCTGACCCAACAACGAAGCCAGTGATATATGCTGAAAGGGAACAAAGACGACGCACGTTTGATGGTTGCAATATGCATGAAACGCTGCATTCCGGTATGTGGGCGTTGCGGAGATGGCTGGATGGGTGACACTACATACTCACGGTGTTAGACTGGCCAGTTCTAGAGCTTGCGCGAACTCCGCCCAAAGTACAGCAAGGAATGATGAACAATATGATGATAAGAATACTTCCTGAAGCCTGATGTAGATAACCAAGCTGACCCGGCGGTGATATTATGATGCTGAGAATGAACACAGATTGCTGGAAGAACAAATTGTGTACCCAAGCAGTTTCCGGGGGGACGTGAGTATAAGCGCCGATGGCATTGCAGTTCGTTCGCCCTCGCGCTCTTCCTCTTTAATAAATCCTACATCCATGTATAACATCCATATCCCCCTCCCATGGCCTCAGCCAAGCACCCAGATGCATATGTACGGCTTGCTCGGCCTTCTGAGGTTCCTGCCATAACACGAGTCCTCACCCGTGCGTTCGCAAAGGATCCAGCGATGAACTGGTATGGCTGTGTGCCCGAGCTCGTGCCCGACTGCGAGTCTCAGACGCCATCCGCGCAGCGGTCTATGCGGAATCTGAGCTGGTTCCAGAGTGCCATACTCAAGTCCACCGTGCTTGTAAAGGGCCTTGTCACTGTGGTCGTCGTTCCGTCTGTAGAAGACGGGGAGGATGCGGAACAAGAGTCTAACAGGGACACAGTCGAAGCAAGGGAGGAAGTGGTAGCTGTCGCGTTATGGCTCCCACCTGGGAAGACACTCGATATGGGACCCGTGACATTCCTGCGCTCTGGGATCATGAAGGTCATTCAGGGATGGGGGCTGACGGGGGCCAAGGTACGTACGTGCGCCATCCGACTTCGTCAATACCGCAACGATGATTCTGACCAGGTCGTGCTGCATGTGTATAGAGAGTGCTATGGGACTTCTCTCCTGCTGTAGAGCGTACACTCGAGAAGGCATTCAAAGCGCGCGGTCTTGATCGGCTAGACTCATGGCATTTGTTCGAAATGGTCGTGGATCCCTCTCACCAAGGGCGAGGTGAATTGCTATGTGCTGCGAATGAGGATTCTCATTCACAGTTTGATTTTGCAGGGTACTCGTCGCTCCTGATGGAAGAGGGGTTCCGACGAACCTCACCCAAGCCGGTGCATCTGGAGGCCACAACGGCGAAGAATCGCGATATATATGCACATTTCGGTTTTGAGGTTTGCCACCCTCACTAACTACTGTTCACACTAGTCGAGGCTTACAGATGTCCACTAGGTTGATGAGGAGCACCAGTTCGGTGTCGGTGCTGTGGACAAAGACGGCATTAGAGCCCGCGGCAAAGCCGCGACAGGGTATCCGGAGTGGGTTATGACAAAGGTATGCTCGCTTTTTCACAAATGAGAAGTGTTATCTTTGAAGAGGCCTACTTTCTGGGTAGTGGTCTTCATGATTCTGGCCAGTTGCTCTCATGTGGCATTGATCTGGAATTGTGAATTGTGTCTCGCGGCGCTCTCCTGTGTTGCGTTTGTCGACTGATGCCTGTTCTACTTACTTGACTGGCTTGTTTGCAACTTATTCTGTGTTCACCTGTGTATTTCTTGGAACGCCTCGCGAATAAATGACACTTCAGGGAACGTCCTACTAATGTACGTTCTGACCTGTACTCTCCTCATCAGGCTTCCTGGTCCTTCTTCTATATAATTCACTCATCCTCTTTTGTACGCTGCTGCTCAAATGTTGAATCGATGCTCTCACCCTCGCATGGGGGGCCGATACCTCACTCTCGCTTCGCGACGCCTTCCAGATGTGCCTGAAGAACCACCAGGTCGCGAGGGCTACCAATCCGAATATAGCCATAGTGAGCGCGAGAAGGACACGCCCTCCGGATATGGTGCTCTGAATGCAGAGGGCGGCGAGGGCGATTGTGAAACACAGCATAGACCAGAGCAGCGCGGAGAATGGCACGGAAAGGAAGGCGGATGTGACAAGAAGGTCTGTCTCGAGCATATCGGACGGGGCATCCAGATAATCGTCCCGCATATGGTTGAGATACTTGACCTGTCATTGATCGTCAGTCCGGAGTCGCGACAGAGCGGTGGAGTCAGCGTACAGCATTCATGATATCGGTGTTCACGTGAGCACGATGTTGCCAGACGTGATGCACGCCGGTGCCGGCACTAAGGAGTGCGAATATGCTTGATGCCAGCGATGCAGTCTTTTGTAAACCACTGATGTTCTGTCTGCAGCGTGAGTTAAACCTCTAACGGTGGAAGACTAGCATTTACCGGAACTTGTTGAAAGGCGATGTTCGCTCTGCAAACAATGAATGATGGCACAAATACAGTGCCCACATATACTCACCCAACGAAAACAGTGGCCTATCGCAGATTCAGGAATAGTATCGCGAAGTGTAAGCAAATATAAATGCCACATACCAGCAGGTTGGAATTGGACCATTCGTTTAGAAATGACCGCACGGTGTCCCGAAAATCCGTGAGATGCACCGACGGTCCCATGCGGACATTCTTCAGCCTCCCAAAGTACAGTTTGTGCGCACCCAAAAGGATTCCTGCCAGTAGGTATTCTGCGGCTTCTAGCTGCCATGATGACCGATGCTTTTTAGACACTCGATGGAAATCGAAGGCAGCCTTGACGGCACTGGAACAGCCTTTTCTTGGACTGAGAGTCCGCGCACTCTGAACTTCGCGTAGCAGCCGAGCGATGTGCCAGTTGAACGAGCAGTTGGCTCGGATATCTCCAGTAGAGATGACTGCGCCGTATGCTCAGAGACGTTGCGAACCAATTATGATACCGCTAACCTCTCTGTTGCCGATACGTGCGCATGATCTTGGCGATCTGTTCATCGGTATAAGGAAAGTCGTTGTCCTTGTCTTCAAGAACGCGTACTGGTATATTGTTAGATGTTAGCTCAATTACACTGTTCACCGATTGAATTAATCACCATTGGCGCCATAGGTAAGGGCATTCAGAAACATATCCTCGACGGAATGGAGGTTGTTGTACTCTAGATGCATGGGAAATTGTTCGGCCCAGTCCCAATAATCAGTTGTCATTGTTCGGACTTCGAGTACCTCTGCGATATGCGTTAGATATACATATCTACATGGTTATGACTGACATACTTACCAGATGGGTCCTCAGGGCCTGTATCGTATATCCGCCTGGCGGGATGATGTATTGCAACAGCAGTTTCTGCTTCATCGCCGATGATGATCTCGCAGTCTTCAGGTATGTGGTCCTCAAGCCCGTCCTGTTCCAACGCGTTGCGGACCCCAATTGAGGCCTCCTCCACAGCCTTCCGCATCTCTTCATCTTCGATGTTATCCCGCGTCACAGTATGGAGGTCATGGTTGTAGTAGTACACGTAGCCCATGAAGTGTACGAACCGCGTCCACCCATGGCCGAGTTCGAAGCGCGAGGTACCGCCCAATTCCCGCGCGTTCTTGTATAGTGATGCCTTCGCAGCTACAGTGGCCTTGACTTCGCGCTCCCGTGCCCGAGCTGCAGCCTCTTGCAGCTGCCGTGAGCTGGATCCGTGCGCGGGTTGGGGCGAGGTCGTAATGGCGCCTATGCCTGGCGAATTCGCAAATGCAGACGCCCAGTCATAGTCAGCGAACTCATCGACAGGCCGCAAGCCGGGCCACGTAGGTGTCGGTGCAGCATTGTCCGGTGTGGGCAGCGGGATAATCTCGAGCTCTATGGCTGGAGTGGTCATGTCGTGATTCTTACGACGGAGCTTGTGTAGGAGAGCCTTCGCCCCTTCACGAGTTCGTCGGAGTCGCTTTGTAGGTTTCGATGGAGAGTCATCGATATCGGAGTGTTCGTCCATGGCGTTCTTTCGTAGACGCAGGTTGGGAGAGAAGGAGACGGGAGGTTGTAGTCCCCGCAACAGGCATCATGCTTTTCAGCATTAGCACATATGACAACAAGCACCTAATCCGGCCGCGTATAGTATCCCAGGCGCTACTGTCAAAGGCAGAACAAAGACAACTAGGCAGTGTTGACAGCTGTGGGTCCACATTCCCACGTACGATACAACCCACATTGTTCATGCCCGCAACCAGGTACGACAGATGTCAATCGTCGCCACGGTGAGTGTAGTAGTGTTCAGTATTCGAGTGAGGAACCAGCGTTGCCTTTATAATATGTATAAGATCTGTCACGGTGGACAATAAGTTTTATAAAGTGACCTCTGTGCAGAGAGCTACTGCGGCACAATGATCATACGCTCCCTGATTTGTCCTTCGCATGCGACGGTTTGCTCTTTATGCCCGGCATTGGAAAAAGTACGACACCCGACACTGGTGTACCGATATGTCCCTTCGCGTCAATGCTCGCCCACTCAGCACTCCGCTGTTCCGGCGGGACCCCCAAGTAATGCAGTAGATTCGCGCTCTTCGAGGGTATAAACGGTTGGAGTAGGATCCCACATGTCCGAAGACACTCCAGTAGGGACCAGTACACCGCGCGCACTGCCGGCGTAGACTGCGTGACAGCCCAGGGCTTTGCCTTTGTCATAAGTAGATTCGCCTAGTACCGAGGTCGTCAGAAAGGTAGAGGTGATTCCATAACGATAAGACACCTACCTCTTCCAGCATGGCGACGAGGTGATTGAGCGCATCCGCAATCTGCAACGCCTGCATGCGATCGTGATAGAGCGCCGGTAATCGTCTCAGCTGCTCCAGGAATGATTGTACTCCAGCTTCGTTCATGTCTAAGAGCGAGGGACGTTCATGAGTTTCCACGAGCGCACGTATTTTAGGAGATGCGATTCGAGAATAGAGGTTTCCTAACAACGATGCGACCTCCTTTCCGTGTTTTATGAGCTGTTCACGCGACCAATCTCCAGAGTCCGAAACATTAGTTTCAAGCAATCCATATAATGAGTTTGACGTACCGACGTCATCCCTAAAGTATCCTCCTATTCGCGCCAGATACCACCGCACCACATCGATCCCAAATTCATCTATAGCTGTGATGGGATCCGCAACGTTACCGATAGATTTCGACATCTTGAATCCGTTGACGGTCCAATGCGCATGAACCAGCAGTCGTTCAGTGAAAGGCAGCCCTAAAGCAGCAAGCATCGCCGGGAAATAGATGGCATGAAAGCTGGCGGCCTCCCATCAGTAGACATATATGACGTCGACGCTGAGACGTACCGAAGGATGTCCTTCCCTATGATCTGAAGGTTTGGCGGCCATCCACTACCGGAGCCATCTCCACCATTTGCAGTCCATGGATACCCGATAGAAGACAAGTATACTGTGAGTGCATCAATCCATACGTAGATCGTGTGATTGTCATCTCCAGGGACTGGTACACCCCATGTGAGCCGTGAACGTGGCCGCGACACTGACAGATCCTCCAGGACATTGTCTTCGGACAACGCAGACAGTATATCTACATGGTGTTGAGGCGGGTAGATCGCGTCTTCGTGAGTGGCGAAGTGGGAGCGAAGGGCAGGCTGCAACGTCGATAGCCGAAACTTGTAGTTCTCCTCCTCCATCCATTCCACACGCGAACCTGTCTCCGTTGAGACATGGTATTCCTCTCCGTTCGGTTCTGATCGCTTCGTAACCTGCAGGTCAGGGTAGAAACATTCGTCGGAAACAGAGTACCAGCCAGAATGGCGACCCTTATAGATGAGACCCTTCGCTTCTAGTTGGCGCTGATAGACGGTGTTTGTTATTCAGTTGGGCCAATGCAAAGTATGCTGCCTACCCACAAATGCTGCACAGCGTCACAGTGTTCTTTGGACGACGTCCGCGAAAAGCGAGTCGCGCTCACATCTGCCTTCCTCACCAGATTCTAAGAGCATGTACGTATAAATGAGCATGTGCCTGGGAATGCAAAAAGAAAGACACACGCGAAAATGCTCGCTCAGTTCGTCACAGAATGCGCGGGGTTCCATGCCTTTTGTCTGCGCGGCCTTTTGTATCTTGAGGCCATGCTCGTCGGTTCCGGTCATGAAATGAACAGGCCTTTCTGGACAATTCAGATGACTATATCGAGCCAAGATATCCGCGATGACCAGCGAATGTAGATGGCCTATATGTGGGACTATTCAAGGCATAATCGTTAGATATGAGAGCTGGAGAAATACGCGGAACCTCCTTGTATCATACAGCTACGTTAATCCATACCTGAGTTTGGGTAGAAAATGGGCGTTGTGACATAGTACGGTTTCAGGTCGCCTGCCTGAGAGGTGAATCCGCGACGGACACGGAGATTTAGCGCATGCGAGACTTGTCGAGAGAGCGCACGACGGTGCATTCGTGTAGACCGGAGTAAGATCTAAGGCGTGGTTACATCGCAATACTTACACATGGTAAGCGTCATTCAAACTCCGATAATCGCCAGCTCAATATGGCTTGTCCCAATCGTGCTTAACGGACTTATTATGATGCTGTTACAGCTTTCAATCTACAGTGACCGGCTAATGACGAGGGCTTGCGGCCCCAGCTTCGGGTTACCTCTCTAGACTCTTCAACTTCAGCAAAGTTCTATAGCCGGTCTACCTCGCGTCATCATGAGTGATTCCTTTGCCGACCTGTGGAATTCGACTGGAGCAGCAACGACCAAGCCCTCTGAATCGTCGCGAAAGTTGGGATCTCTGACACCTGTGGTTCCTCCATCTCTCAATGCTCAGAATGATGTCTTCTCTATGCTCGCATCGGCAGGCACGTCTAGTCCAGCTTCACGCACAGGTACGCCAGCAGCTAGCGGGTCGATACAGTCCACGCGATCGTTGGGTGCCAACGTACAACCGTCCAACACTGGCGCGAAGCCACTGCAGAAGTCCGCAAGCTCTGGAGTAGATGCGTTCAGTGGCCTGTTTCCCGGGTCGCTAGCCTCGAACTCAGCTAATGGCGCGAGGATGACAATTGCGGAACGAGCGGCTCAGGCAGAGAGGGAGAGACAATTGCAGATCCGACAGCAGCAGGCAAAGGCGAAGCAGCAGGCGTCTGCGTGGGCGGGACTCGATTCATTAGGCGAGTTCACGTCCAGGCCGTCGTCGACTTCACAACCTGCTGTGTCTGCTGACAGTGACTGGGGGTTTGGCCTGGAGGCCACGACTGCATCGACATCGTCTGGTACCGCAAATGCTGCTCCTGTGTCTCAGAATGATTGGGGTTTGGACGACTTCATCTCACAACCGGCACCTTCGAAACCAGTCGCAGCTCCCCAGACCAGCTCTTTACTAGACCTGGATGAGTTCACTTCGCCGTCGACTGTGCAACCGCAACGATATACCCCAGATGTACGGTCAAACACACCAGGAGATTTCGATTTCGGAGACCGTGAAGACCGGTTGCTCAGCGACCACTCTGACGAGGATGACATTCTGGGTGAACTGAGTAAACCGGTTACCGAGCGACCTGCACAGCCGGTATGTCCCGCTTGTTCAAGCCCGTCCCATACAGCAGGTCCTGACTAGTCTCAGACCCGCCCTGTGCAATCTTCGATTTCTCCACAACTCACTCAGCACGGCCAACACAGTCGCCCAATATCACCACCTCCTCATATCTTGGGACAGATCGTGGAAATGGGCTTCTCCATCCAACAGGCGCGAGTTGCGCTCGCTGCCACTGATACTGGATTAGACGTGCAGGCGGCCCTGGAGACCCTTTTGTCGAATGGCGCCGCGTCAGACTCACAACCTTCGGAAAGACCGCGGGAAGACCAGCGCAATGCTCAACGCGAGCCAGGATGGGAGCGATATTATGAGTCAGACGAAGATCAGCCTCGCAGCACTTCGTCCCGTCGGCGCACGGCGCCTACCAGTCGCTCTACTGCTCCCAACCGTGCCAGTGAGCCCACTGCGCGGGACGGACCCTCTCCTTCTGATGATTCGCAACGGCACTTGCAGGAACAGGCCGACAAGCTCATCGCTCAAGCTAGCGAGATCGGGCTCAGCATGTTCAATCGTGCGAATGCGTTCTGGAAGGAGGGCAAGGAGAAGGTGCAGCGTGCGTACGAGGAGCGTGCGGCCACCGCCGCGAGAACTGGTGAGGGTGGGAGCAGGAACGGCCGTCCAAAGTGGATGCAGGAAGTTCCTGAGGGCGAAGGAGGCGAGGGCGAGCGGACAAAGGCTGACCGCAATGGATTTAGAGATGATGATGAGGTGCTCCCGCCCAAGCCGTCAAGGCCTGCTACTCAACCGCGATCGAAGCAGACAGATGCCCGTCCGCCCGAGTCCCAGCCATCTACGTCTGAAAGGGCAAAGGTGGGGAACCTGTTTTCCGACGACCCTCCGGTTGTGTATACCTCTCCATTCCGAAGGAAAGCACCCGCACGTAACCCCGCTCTGACGCCCGCTGCTCCCGCCAAAGTAACGTCCTCCGTCAGACCCACCCCTCCTCGTGCTCCTTCTCCCATTCCCCTCGTCCAGCGTAAGAATGTGTCCGCTTCGCCTGCCGCGATTACAAGCTCTGCTCAGCACAAGGCCAAGGGCACGGAGATGTTCAAGCTCGGTCGATATGCAGAGGCGGAGACGGCATACTCCGCCGCGATTTCTGGGTTGCCCAGCGCGCACCTGCTACTCATACCATTGTACAACAACCGTGCCCTCGCGCGAATTAAGACGGGTGATCACAATGGCGCGATCGAGGACTGCACCACAGTAATCGAGCTCATCGGGCCTGAGTACCACCCTGCACGAGAGGCGAAGGTGACAAAAGAGGACGAGGGCGCAAGCGTGGACTTGGCTGAGGGAATGGTGAAGGCGCTCTGGCGGCGCGCGGAAGCATACGAGGGCCGGGAGAAATGGGACGCTGCCCGCAAGGACTGGGAGGCCGTCGCTTCCGTGGAATGGGCCGGCAAGGCGCGAATGGAGGCCGTGCGCGGCGTTGGGCGCTGCAAGCAGATGCTCAATGCAGACGCAAACGGTGGCGCCCCCAGTGCGCCTAAATCACGTCCAGCGGCCAAGCCGAAGCCGCGGCCCTCAAGACCCCCAGTGGCTGTACCGACCGAGGCCCTCAACAGGGTCCGGGAGGCAAACCAAGCAGCAGAGGCAGAGGACCAGGCCCGGCACGAGTTGAAAGACGTCGTCGATGCTCGCCTAGTGGCATGGAAGAACGGGAAGGAAACGAATATCCGTGCGCTTATTGCCAGCCTGGAGACAGTTCTTTGGCCGGAACTAGGCTGGCAAAAAGTGGGAATGCACGAACTAGTGACGCCCGCACAGGTCAAGATACGATATACGAAGGCTATCGCGAAATTGCATCCTGATAAGGCACGTTTCCAGCCCTTATCAAGGCGTGTGCTGACCAGACGTCACCTACTATGATCCAGCTAAATGCCAGCAACACGACGCTAGAACAAAGGATGATTGCTAATGGGGTTTTCGGTTCCTTGAACGACGCTTGGAATGCGTTTAAGCAATAGACACTAACTTATGAGTACTATTACAGTGTACTTGTGCTATGTGCAAGAGTAAGTCGCTGTATGTCTCTATTCATTATGTTTCGCATAAGGTCGTGTCGAGCTGACAATACCATGGAATTCTTAACATTTTGCGACGGCGCGTCACGTGCGCGCATGAAGCAGCACCTGCAGGCTGCATGATCGAGGTCTGTGATGAAGACCACGGCGGACCCATGCCTGCATTTTTGTCGGTGAAGCATAGGTGGGAAGCTGGTCTCATATCTGGCTAGTGGGCACGCGAACGAGACGGCTGAGTACGAGACAGTGGGGCTCCGGCTCGTGACCAGTCCCCCACCTGTACATCATTGTCAGGACAATCCAACATCTTGGTACTCTCCCCCACTTGCTTGCAGGCAACGCTCTGTCAGAGGACGCACAGCTTGGATGCTGTGCTATGAGCCACTCAAGTTCTTTGTACGGCTCCCAGTATGGAAAGGTCTCTATGTATCGAGCGAGTGGCTGGTCCATGAGGAATGGTTCTGGCATGGCTCTGAGCCTCACGACTCGAGGTCATCAAAACAATCGCTTACTGCGGACGCGTTTCATTGGAGGACCTGAAAGTTTGAAAGGCGAGCAGGTAAGTCGAGACATTATCCTGCCGTTTACTTTATCCATTGTCCACCCTTTAACATGCGTGCAACACGCACATGCGGCGAAGAGCATGGCAATGAATCTGTCTCTTCTGGCCAATGGCATTCAATGCCGACTGGTGTCTCAGTTGCGCCGCAAGCTGATGCGGGCGCGGTCGCCCAGCATGGTAGCATGACGCACCACAATCGCTTGTGGCTCTCCCTCTCTCGTGTCCAAGTGCTGCCCACCGACCTCGTTGCATTTGTTTTCCAACTATAGGAGCGGGTGGCGGCGTTGGTGATGCCCTATGTGTATAAATGGCGGCACTCGCCCGGACTCGACATTCCCTAGCAACAGATATCCCTTCAGCTAGCCTGGAGGTCCACCTCACATTCGTTCTCTTTTCGCGCACTGGCGCGTAATTTATTCAACTCTGCTTTCTCTGGGCATATTGCCCGTATTCTCTCTCTTCACGGGCCTGGTACACCGCGCTCCGCGTAGACTGCCAATGCAGTCTACGTACCATCGATCCCTGAGAGAACAGGAAGTCTCTCAGGAGTCGACCCTTGCTGGTGGCTTCCATGCCACACGCCTACCCAGCGATCCAGCTCCCGCTGGAAGGACGACTGAGTGCTTCGGTATCTTAACGCCAAACAAAGCCATTCCGCACGGCCATGATCCCCGACGCGTTGAATTCAATGATATGCGCTCGGGTTCTGCAAGACATGGGATTACCATGCGAGACTGCCTCGGCAACGCGGGCTCCTTGGTCGACCCCAACGCAGATTGCACGCTCAAGGCCGGACAACGAACTGTAACATTCAAGGTCGGTGTGATTTACCTTATGCCAGGGACTGTTCTGAAGATTATCTACAGCCCAAATGGAATAACCAATTCCTTGGGGATGGACAGCCGATTCCCGCGAAAGCTACACGGGCAGAGTTGGCCCGTAAAGTGAGTGAGATATATCGGTTTGCGCTGCAGGTACGTGCCCTTGCGGATCATGTGATCGCGATTTTCTCAACGGGCGCTGCAGAACTACGGATGCGAAGGAGTGACTTTTGACCGCCTTGTCCTGCTATCCATCAGCAATCCCGCCGTGACGTACTTTGAAGCACAAATACAAGTATTGGAGCGAGAGCCCTCCCTGGGAGAATGCGATCGTGCGCCGGACGCACGTAATGTCGATCTTTACACGCCCTCGTTCATGATAGAGTCTAGCAGGCCACCGCATTACGCGTAAACATCAGTAGTAGGATATAAGTATTTTAGCAAGCTTATTACAGGTTATCTCGAATTCATGTCTGATGAGAGCGAGTGTCGTGAGCATAATATACTTGTCAGAAAGCGCTCATCCTTCTGTTCTGGGCGCTTACATCCTTGGTCTTCCCGTTTGCTTACAGCCTTTCTTACTTTGCTCAAACTCTTGGCGCAACTCGCTCGAATACTCTTTGCAAGCCAGAACCATGGCATCAGCTGAGCCAGGACCTTCCCAACCAGTAGCACCCATCCAAATCTTGTATTGCGGAGGTATCTTTCTCACTCCGTCGCCGCCCCCCATCGCTAACCATCTGCCTGCGTACAGTCTGCACGTTTCCCGTTGAATACTGTGAATTTGGCTCGCATATAACGCGATGCAAGGAATGGTTGCAGAAGGAACATCCGCCACTGTACGACAAATACTACTCAGAAGGTGTTTTGCGTCCCTTGTCAACCTATGATCGCAAGTGACTGATCTGTCTTCCCTCTGTTGTGTCGCCCATTTGAACTGCATATTCCAACCCTGCACACTTGCTCTGATGGACATCAGAGGCACTCCAGGCGAAGCTGGGGACACTCAGCTTGGAGGCACAAACGAAGCTGGAGGAGGATACTGCGAAGAAAGAGGCAAAGGCGGAAAAGAAAGCGGATGCTGCGTTGAAGAAGAAGATGGTGAATCTCACCCGCCTTTCGCCATCCCCTCTACTGACTGATCTTCCACTAAGGCATCACAAGTGAGCAAATAACAACCTGCACAGATGCGCTCCGTCTCTGATGAGCCTTAGGTCACGATTAAGCGGATAGAGCGGAATAAGCGTAAATACGTGACAGCCATCCATGGTCTCGAGGCGTTTGGTACGCCCGGTTCTTCCTCCTATCTCGCCCGTCACCACGGGTTGACACCCTTACTTTCACCACACCAGACGTCGACCTGAAGAAGGCCGCCAAGTTTTTCGCACAGAAGTTTGCGACAGGCGCATCTGTGACGAAGAACGCGCAGGGCTTCGACGAGATCGTTGTGCAGGGCGACGTCTCCGGGGACGTCGTCGAGATGATCGAGGATGGCGTCGGCCTGCTCAAGGGCGTGCCGAAGGACAATATTGTCGAGGTGGAGGAGAAGAAGAAGAAGGGTGGTGCAGAAGGGGCATGATATGTCAATAATCGCCTGGGCGTAAGGTGCGCCTCAAGATAGATTAGGTGTTTGTACTGTTGACGCTTACTACCTGCAGGAAGTATCGGACTGTGTAACAGCATATCTGGCCAGCCTGTATCTCTAGGAACATGTATAAGCAAACAGGGTCAGCAGAATACATACGTGAATGGACTTTCGCTGAAGAGGTGGATCGGAACACGTCTACCGGGCTGGTCCTAATAATATGTGTTGCTACATCAAGGTGACTACAAGATACAGCATTGACTCTCATCTCGCAAGATGTGTACGAGCCTTAAGAGGGGCCAGCGATCAAGGCGTCGCTGCTCACGCTGTTGCTACGGGCTTCCGCCCACCCAGCGCCGCATACAGGACATCACTATCGGCACGCTTGCGTCCTCGGCGTGCCTTTTTGAAGTTGTTGGAAATCAGGAACGCAACATCTGCATCGATCGCCCAGTATTCAGTCTCCTCCCACAGTCTCATACGTTATTACTCACCTAACGACTGCTCGAAGTTCAACCGGGGATCGCAGAAGGACTGTATCCCATCGACCGCGTGAGCAACCTCCTCAAGAAGAAAGACAAAGACGAAGGCCGGCCGACGCACCTGGTAGCGTAGCCCGAGCTGCTCCTCGCTGAGCTCCATGCTCCCACCGAGGCACTCCGTGACACTGAACCCGTCCTCGCTCAGCTCGCCCGTGAACTCGAGGCTCACGCCGTTCATGCGCGAGCCGCACTCGGCGTGGATGCGCATGCACGCCGTCAGCTCGCTAATGATCGTCCCAAAGTTACGCGTCTTGAGACCGCTCGAGGACGTTAGCGTGCTGAGGCAGCGTGAGTGTTAGTGGGATATCGAGCAAACCGAGAGGTGGGTATATGCGCACTTTCCGTGCATGGGATCGCTGATCCAGGCGACGGGGTGTCCAGACTGTTGGACAGCGGTGATGTGACTCGCGAGGTGGTTTTCGATCTGCGCGCCGTTAGTATCTGCACCATTCAGATGGAGAAGCACATAGCAACGTACCTTACCCGCCCCGTACCGCGTGATCAACGTGACCCTGCCCTCTTCCTTGTCCGGGTTCACGACTGCCACCACCGTCAGCGCTCCCGCCCTTTCTCTCCATCTCGTGACAAGGTGCACTCACTGTTGAGTAGCCGCACGAGCTCCGCTGCCTCCATGCTCGGCCCCACCTTGACACCAATAGGGTTGCGGATCCCGCGGAAGTACTCGACGTGCGCCCCGGTGAGCTGCCGCGTGCGGTCGCCGATCCAGAGGAAGTGCGCGCTCGTGTTGTAGTGCACGCGCCGCGCTGCGGGCGCCGGAGAGCCCTCCGCGGTGGGGATCGAGGACGGGATGGCGAATTCGCGCGTCATGGCCTCTTCAAAATCGAGCATCAGGCCCTCGTGGCTGCGTGGGAGCTGGTCAGCGGGTTGTTGGACAGGTGAGTGCGGAGGAGCATGACGCCGCGGAGGAGGGGAAGTGAAGAGGCTAATAGGGAGGGGCAGAATTACCTGGTGTAAAAGTCGACCTCGCCGAGCACGCCGCGTCCGCCACCCTGCTCGTAGCTCGCATGCTGGCTGCCGAAGCCGATCGTGCGCGTGAAGTCCAGCGCGTCAGACAGGCCCTCGTTGATGCGCTCGAACTCCTCGCTGTGCGTATACGTCGCCGTCAGAACGGGTGTGCACGGGACAACGGGGAAACGTGCGTGCTCACCGGAGCGCAGGAGAACGCACGTGGGAAAGTGACCAGTCGCGCGGGTGGTGGAGGGAGGCAAACCCGGAGGTGAGAAGGCCGCGGACGTAGTTGAGCGTCGTTGTTGAGTGGAAGTAGGCACTGCGAGCGGGAAGATTAGATATGCATAAATGCTGTAGCAAGACATTGGGCGATACCTTAGGAGTCTCTCAGGGTCTGGCGTCCTGTCGTTTGGGTCAAGCCTGCACTCGAATTCTCAGCCTTCCGTATAAAGCCTGGGTGCAAGTGAAGCTCGTACCCGTTTACGTTGTCTCCTCTGTTGGGGTGTGTCAGAGTCGCGATGGACATTTCAAGAGACAAGGACCTACCGGAAACTCGTGACCTCGCGGTCTCCAATCTTCTCCATTGGGCTACTGCGAGGTTTTGCGTACTGGCCAGCAATTCGGCCTATTCGTACCTAACAGCAGTGGGTGATGAGACGCAGACGGGGATTTGAATAGCGGTAAACCTACAACTGGCATCCGTGCACCCCATATAAGAATGAGAGAAAATGACAGGATCAGGCCGATCTTATTGGAAATATTCTCCTATAGCACAACATTAGAAGGCTTCTCGATGAGAGTAAACCATACTGACTTGAGTGCATGCGTCAAAACTCTCCGCGCAGTCCCCTGCATGGAGTAAGAAGGCCTCATTGCGCTGTACTTGAGCCAAGCTGTGACGAAGTCGCTCGATCTATCAGACAACAATTCTCATGAGCTAGTTGTAGATGTCGAAAACAACCGAGACCACCTCTGACGGAGTGACTAGCGGCGGTAGCGTGCGGATCTTGTTCAGGACTCTGCGAGTGCATGTCTAGGTGCGGCCTTCGGTGGGGAATAAGGTGACTTGCTCACTTGTCCAGTTTCTCTCTATCAGGGTAGATCACATCCTGTCAGAGAAGTAAAATTCAGCAAACATTCTGGGCGAAATAGCAGAGAGACGCAACTTGTGCTGCAGGCTTGTTCCTCCAAGAATCAGGTGCCCAGGGCTCGGAAGACATCTTCGTAGCGGTGTGTGGCCGAGAGAATTAGTGTCTGTCCGTTTTTGTAAGTTAATCTTATCCTTATCCTCGTACAAAAGTATCTTGTCAAGTCTGGTGTGTCGGATGAAGATGGCAAAATGCTTGACTCGATCGCGATCATGACATGGATCTGCAGATCTCGGGAAATGCCGACACGGTCATTAACCGCTGATGTTGCCGGTCTTGTCTTTGTCTCCGTATTTGCCAGTGCCTGTTCCGCAGTAAGGCAGGGAAATATAGCAACTTATACAATATACACGCGGACTTCAGTATCGACGTCTAACATATTTTCATGGCTTATATGTCCTTCACCTGCTCCTCCAGCCACTCCCACAACTTCCGTCCAACGTCTGGGTCACCCGTCCCCTTCTTCGCCTCTCCCACCCGCGCCCAAGGAATGCAATACTGTACTCAGAAAACATGAACTTTAATCTCATCTATTGGACCATGTGGCTTAAACGCACCTTGCCGCTCAAATCGGCCCCCTCTGGCGTCGTGCCCGCCCACAGCTGCGTTAAAGCGCCCATTTTGGAGTCGGGGAGGGTCGGATTCTGCAGATGCATATGAGCGTGAATGGATACGCACGGAGGTGGGCACAATAGTCACTCACCAAAAGGCTTATTAATCTCGGTCCCAGAGACGGATGCCTCTCCGTGTCCATCTTCAGATTGCCCGGATGAAGAGACATGGACACAAGTCTCTGGTCGGCGTATCGCCTGTGGAACTCGTTCGACACGACAATATTGGCCTACTCAGCGCACAGTCAGGACTCAACAGCTCAGTAAAACTCCACGAGTACGCACGAATTTGCTCTGGAAGTACAGCGTGGTGGGGTGCATCTTGCGCCTCTGCGGGCTGTCCTTGAACGTATCAAACCTGAGACCAGACACGAATTCGTGACCCACGGAAGCGACGTGGACAACGCGCGCCTTCCCATCTGGTGAGGTCTTGGTCGTCTCGAGCAGGATGGGCAGAAGGATTTTGGTGAAGTAGAAGTGCCCTGACGCCGTGCGCGCGGAAGTCAGCGTGATCACAGTGTCAACGTCAACCGTTGCTCACCGATGACGTTTGTCCCGAACTGCATATCATACCCCTGCTCCGTAACCACCTCAACCGGTGGGTATTGTGATGCGGCATTATTGAAGAGCACATGCAATTGTGTCTCCTTGCTATATTACGCTCTGAGAAACTTCGCATCCAGACTCGGAGGCTACGATGTCGCACACCTCAAGAACTCTTCGGCAGCCGCCTTGACCGCTGCTAGATCCGCCAGGTCCAGCTTGAGGAAGATAGCCTCGTGCCCCGTCTCCTCCTTGAGCTCCTCAATCACCGCAGCGCACTTCACGACGTTCCGCCCTGCCATATACACCTTCGCGCCGTGCTCCAGCAGCGCCTGCTCGCACCCATCGTTAATCATGTCTCCAGATCCTCCTGCGAGCCAAATGAACGCACCTTCACGTTCTCCCTCCCGATCCCCGCATTGCCGCCCGTCACGATCATCACCTTGCCCGTGAGATCGGGCATCTGATCCGTTGACCACTTGGGCGGCGGCGGGAGCATGCTCGACCATCCCGAGCTGCTCCGCACGCCGACGGAGAGCAAGCCAGGGATGAAGGACCCGAAAAATGTCGACTGCATGACGGTCGCTTTGGCTGGGGGTACTTACGTGTATGTAGACAACATATTATGTGTGAGCGTGCGAGGCAGGCGCAGCACTCGGGTGGGAACATACACTAACCCTAACTCTCGCGGGGGTTTTAAACGGGCGCCGCTGCTCACCCTATGCCATAGCAATGCCGCATACGAGCAGTATACACCAGAGTTGACGGTCTTATTCTAGAAGGAATTTGCTACTCCCAGGAGACTGTGCTACAGGCGTCTATGTGTGAGTAGAGAGTTCAAACCGTTCACGTTCACTGGTATTGTCGTGACGGGTACCGATTCATGGTGTCCGTTAATACTTCTGGGGCTGCGGTTGACTCGTTCATGAAACATAGTGAAACGTAGGGTGCTAGACGGATTTTGCGACTCTATAGCTCTGCCGGCATCGCTCGGGATGCAGTAGCTTGATGTACGTCTATCCTTGACCTTAGCCACATTGCAATATAGCTGCATTCTACAAACGTTTCTATGCCCGAATATATCATAGGTCAAGTGAAGGAGAGTGCAGTTCAACGTGTCCAGCAGTTGCGGCCTCAGCGGCGTGTGATGTCACGCGCCGCCCTTGTGCCCGCCACCGCAAAATACTTACGTCTGCGAACAGAAAAAGCGAGAGCGAGACTGGCTTCGTATCTGGGGTTTGAACATGCGTGTACGTACACGATTCATATATTTCTCGTTTATGCCCAAAAATAGTACGAGGGATATTGATACTAATCGAAAGTGCCGGTGGTGGTTCTGACGTCATCAGGAGGCGCGAAGGTGACGATGAGCGGGGAGCGGCCTTTCCATAAAACCACCCGATGTGCGGACCAACAGTCATCTTCACTTTTCAACAACAACCATGAGTCTCTCCCGCGTTCTTCGTATTTCGCAGTCCTCCGGTATCGTCGCCCGACCCTCAACATGTTCATCCAGGCGATTCTTGCATAGCTCCCCTCCTGTCGGGGCAGCGCCAGGGAAAGACCCACAGCTCTCCCAGGGAGGCGTTTCGCAGAAGGGACATCGCCATCCAGGCGACGCCCACGATCAAGCTGCGCGTTCTGGCCAGTCGACGGCAGACAAGTCACCTTACGACGCGGCTTCCTCGCACCCTGACAAGCAGGCCTCTCGCCAGGGACTATCGGGAAACCCAGAGGGGGTCGGTTTTGCAGAGCAAGTTGGCTCCGCCAGCTCGAGCGCGGACCACGGGCTGGGGCCATCCGAGGGCAAGGGGGGCCATGAAGAGAGCACCCCGCCTGGCTTTCTTGACGCCGTGAAGAGCAAGCTGGGCTTCAAGACGACAAGCGGGGAGGTGAAGCAGAACCGAGGCGGAGGAGAGGGAGTTACGGGAACAGGCTCATTTCCAGGCAATAAGCGAAGTGAAGGCAGGAAGCAGATGCATACATCGGCAATCACGCGCATGGCAGACCCAACGAAGGGTCAGGCCCCTGACTCGAGCAAGAAGCCGAAGGATAGCACGCATGCGGAGCAGAACGACCATCTCAAACACAGGTCGGAGACCGATTCCGATATATCCAAAGGTAAAGGGAATGCCGCCGCGCAACCTAGTCTTCCTTCACATAAGGTAAGGCTTGGTTTCAGGTAAAAATGAGAGTAATCACTCACTATATGCGGTCAGTTTGGAAAGGATACGTCTGTACCTCAACAGCGTCGTGGATTCCACACGTCTCCTCTCCGGCTCAAACAGGAACACACCGCCGAATCGTACTTCAAAGACGTGGACAATTCCCCTCCGAAGTCGTCTAAGACGCATCAGGTCGACTCTTCCGGCACTGGCGCCAAAGTAACGCGTCCTAATGAACATGTATCTGGCGAGCGCTCGGACGCAGGGCCCGAAACCGAGGAGTACCAGACGGTGAGTGCTGTTAGCGCGTCTTTCAAGAGTGCTTACATTGGAGCGTTACTGACACGATACGTTACAGGTAAGCAAGGACAAGCCGTACGAGACGCCGCCCACACAGGGCAAGGAAAGCGAGAAGAAGCTGCGCTACGGGGGTATGGGTGGGACTGGCAGTGACGCTGGCGGAGAGCCGACTAGCAAGCCGGGCCAAGGACCTCAGGGCGACACTGCTGGTGGACACAAGCCTGAATCTTCAAGCTAGATAGATTGGTCAAAGGCGTCACGATACATATGAAGGGAGGAGGTATCCGACCTGACGAGGTCAGGGATGAGCTAAAGGCTGCATTGTACAGTAGAATAATAGTCGGTGGCAGGTACCAAGACTCCTCGTCCAATCAAAATCGGAACGCATCATGTGATCGCACTGGTGCAGCCGGCTCCCGCAATGCGTGTATTAGCATTGCTTGTTCCAACGTCGACCACTCAGTACTCATTAACATTCCTCGAAGAGCTCATCGTAGCCTCAGCAGAGCATTCAGGATCAGCTCGTGCGACAACCAAGAGGGTACTGCCACTTTCTCGACTGTTATCCGCAGTCCATACTGAGAGCGCGTTCGAATAGGACCTCTATCGAAATCTTGTAATCGAGGCATGGAGGCCGGAAGTGCCAGTGGCCTACCGCTTCCTCCTCCAGATACTACTGCAGACACAGGAAGAACAATCGAGATGCAGGACATGCGCCATCTTCCAGTGTCGATCCATGCAGCGCGACGCCTGAACGCATACAGTGTGTCATACAGGCTGCCCGCCGAGATACTATGCAAGATCTTCCTGTTCGCTGCCGCCAAATATCGTCAAATTGAACTGGACCCATTAGACTATGAACCATGTACGGACATCTCATGGATCGCCGAAGTGTCTCATGTCTGCTGGTACTGGCGTCAGGCAGCAGTGAGCTACGCGGAGTTATGGAATCATATCGTCGCCGAGTTCTCGACACCGTGGATCTATATGTTCCTCGAACGCTCGCTCTCGATGCCTCTGACCGTGATAGCCGAGCTCGGTGAACACCTCCGCGAAAATGCCTTTATAGTCGTGGTAACAAATGCGATATCCCGTATTCAGCATCTCCGCGTACAGGGGTGGCGCCGCAGCTTCAGCAGGTACTTCCCACTCGGTCAAGCAGTTCTTCTCGAGACATTGGAACTAGATACACACGAGAACGATCCCTGGCCGGGCGCATCCGATCATTCACTTCCTTCGTTGCGTCGTCTTCAGCTATCTGCGCCGACTGCGGCATGGGCGCCTGTACTGAAGTGTACGACATCGTTGCAACATCTCGTGATCAGGCAGCACCTCAGCGCACTGTTTCCTAGGGAGTTTATTCGTATCTTACGCTCCATGCAAGATCTCGAGACGCTGAGCTGGAGCGGATCTGTCTTTCTGCCTGAAGAAGGGATGAAAGCCATACGTCTATCTCGACTTCGCTTTATACACCTTTCCTGTTGGCCTTCCCTAGCAGCCAGGTTTCTTACCATGCTGTCCCCCTTGTCTGATGTTCGCCTCAAATTCGAGTGGTCCGTGTACGGGTGCAACTCTGTAAACAGTCGCGATATGCGGTCATTGCAGGCTGTTCTCTCTCCCATCATCTCCCTGTGCACAATTGTCTCGATTAGAAAGGAGGCCAGGTCTTCGCTCGCTATTATTGCGTCGTACTCTGACGCATCGCAAGAACCGTCAAGGACGCTCGTGGATCCAGAATCGGCCCCGCTGGTGATTCAGATAAGTTATTGCGTTACTGATGAATATCTTGAGAATGTATTGGAGTGGCTGTGCAGGCTGCTGCCCTTCGAGAAAATTCAGACGCTAGAACTGGTGGCTAAGTCAGATATGAATCCATTTTGGAGGGCGAGGGGGGCGTGGAAGAAGAGGCTGAAGAATGTGACGGTGGTACGCACGACCATGCATATAATTGAAGGAAACCGAATCCTAGGGGAGCTGTGGGCGGATCCGCAGCCGGGATCTCGAAATCGAGACCAAGTTCCGGACGACGAGCTGTTCTTTATCCCCCGGTTGGAGGCACTCCAGGTTGTCGGCTCGGAAGATAAGAGCAAGGAGAGTGATTACATGGAGGAGATATTGCGGCGGCGCAGACAAGTCCTAGATGAGCGGAAGAAGATGTCCACATGATCAATGTCAGTGCGATGAGTCTACTGGAACTTGTAATCTTTATATTGGCATTGGAATACATATGAGCGAGGTGAGTGCCAAGTTACATATCTCCCTCTTTGTCTCTTTGTTGCTAACCTCATCCAAGGGAGACTGAATGATATGGGGAATCTCGGGTGTAATGCTGTACTAACAGTCTATCATTTTCGTCGATTTTGGTTGTGATCCGCGTGCGAGGCCAAATTCTATGTTGCCTGTTGATGACCAGTCATGATCGTCGACGATTGCCTAGGCCTCCGGCATTCTTGCCTCCTCCGCAGCATCATTAGTTGTACTTAGGTAATATCGCCATGAGGGCCGGCCTGGGCTAAGTGCGTGCCATCTTCTATCTATGTGCAACTGCGACTGCATCTGTGCACTCCCTATACATGCTCGCGGTGGGAGCTCGTACCTCGATCGATGTGTGGATCTTGCTCATAGTGAACAGCTGAATACTCGTCGTCAATACCTTTGGATGCTTTGCTCATACGCCAAAGGCCATGCACACAATCCGCACAATACATGCCTACTGTGAAGTACCCCTCTTATTGGATAATTCTTTCCGTAAGTGGCAGCGTGGCTATGATCGGTTGATGTTGATGGCGTGACTTGTGCATAGGAACTTGGCGTGAGCACCCTACAGGATTGCCGCGCGGCAGGCCCACGCTCAGCAGAAACCCATTCTATCGCCACAAACCTTTCTGTTCTGTTGTGGCGAGAAAAGCGTATCGTGACCTTGATTGAGTAACCCGCACTATCCTTTCGGCATCGATGATGTTTTATGCCGCCTTCTCTATTTAACGGCACTCATCATGGATTCCTCAACATACACAACTGACATGCGCACGGGCATAGTGCCGAGAGACGCCTTGTCAGCATTGACTTATGGAGCGAAACCCGATGCTTAGGTAACGAGTTATTGGATTCCTGAACACAGCTTCGTATCTGAATATTATTTGACGTCTTTGCAGTTCGTTTAGCTGGCAACGTACAGCATATCATTTGTGATTCTATTCTTACATAAATTGTCTTGGCGCAGCCGGCGCATCAATAGGAATGCTCGGCACAAATGTCCGGCGTTCCGGTCATAAGATGCAGGCGCAAACGAATCGGACCCGCATGGCTTGGAATCTGCGATCGTGAGCGTCCTTGGTCATTTCCCCACCTGGTCAGAACTGAGCGTCCTCCACGTGCTTGAGGGTCTAGGTTATGCGGCAGCATATGCACCTACTTACGCGCGGCAGACAACACATCCGACATGCATTCTCGAATCTGCTATTAGGTGGGAGGAATCGATTTCTATTTATTTATTTGAGTCCAGACTAGGATCATGAGGCGACGTGATACCAGACCATGCACCGCAGCGTATCGTATCAAGATATAACATGTTTGATGCCTGGGACGTGGTTCTCCCTCTGTACCGGTTTCTCGTCCTCCGGTTGATACCATGCGGTACAGCTGCCTACGAGCTCTCGGCGAGACCAATCGGTGAGAAGATAGACCTCGATTTTCCCATATGCTGTTCGCCCCGCAATGCGAGCAGCGTATAGCACATGGAGGTACGGTCACACGAAAGGTTCCACGATGGCGATGAGCTTGCTACCCTTAGCATATTCCCGCGTTTCGCATTCCTGCGCGCCAAATACAAAGGGTCAGAGAGACAAGACTCCCATCAGCTAACATTCTGTTCAGCGACAATCGGCACACCACGAGAGGCAAGAAGGGCTGACCATGATGCACAATGCACAATGCTCCCCGGTGTCGGGACGCCATCAAATACACACATGATCGCATTACGACCGCGTCCGTTCGTTGACCGCTTGGCTGTGGTTGCATACATCGGTGCACTGGGTTCCACCGTGTAGCCGCGCGCCCATGGGAATCAATGAGACATATATAAAGGTACGCACTATGTGTTTGCTTATAACTTCGTAACACCTAGCACGATGATCAGCGCGGTCATCTTCCTTATACATCTACTCCTCGCTGTTTCTGTTGCTAGTAAGGCAGTAGATCTGAACCTGTTCTCAAAGCATACGACATTAGAGCAGAGAGCAACCAAGCCGGTTGCTGCAGCTTACTACCCGGACTGGGCGAGCGATACGAATGCCCCATCGGACTTAGACTTCTCCAAGTTTGATATCCTACTGTTTGGTCAGTCAGGGAGGAAACCCCATCATCACGTAACACTGACTCAGTACGTGAATACACAGCATTCGCAACCCCCAACTCAGATTCGGGGATCACTTATGATTCCGGATCCACCTCTACCTTGCAGACACTCGTCAGCAGCGCGTACAATAGCGGTCATGGCACGAAAGTTGTACTCTCCATTGATATGCGTCTTGTACATATTAATCCGCCGCCTTTTACCGAACTATTGGTATCAATGAAAAGGTGGTTGGTCTGGAAGCCATTGGTTCTCACAATCGGTTGGATCGTCGTCCAACAGGAAGAAATTCGTCGATGCATGCGTCAGCGCCGTGAATACTTACAATCTCGATGGTGAGTTCACTTCGTTATGCCTCTTCAAACGAAGCTCAACCGTACTCCGCTTATGTCAGGTATCGACATTGACTGGGTACATCACTCCGCTCACGTCATTACGGTTCAATAAGACTAACTCAATCCTTTCTACAGGAATACCCTAACCAGAGCGGTGCAGGCAACCCATACTCATCTTCTGATGCAGCAAATCTTCTCTCATTTTTCACGGAGCTACGTAGCGCGCTCGGCTCGTCGAAGATAATCTCTGCCGCGGTCACTGATTTGCCTTGGATTGGCTCCAATGGCAACCCGCTGACCGATGTCTCTGCATATGCCAAGCAGATGACCTACGCAAACATCATGTACGTATCTGAAATAATACTCATGGCGCGCGTTCAGATGCTCGTTCACAGGAATTATGACATTTTTGGTGCCTCCACCACCGCGCCTGGGCCAAACGCACCCCTTAGCAACGCCTGCAACAACTCCACACAGCCACAATACAGCGCCCACGCTGCCTACACTCAGTGGACAAAGGCTGGATTCCCCGCAAGCCAGCTGTTGCTCGGGCTCCCGCTCTACGGCTATGCCTCGAAGAGCACAAAGACGTCGCTATCAGACATCGCGGAAGCGAGCCCACTGCTGGGCGCGCACCCCCATGCAAAACCCAATCAGACTATCGCTGAAACTGCAGGCGATCTGAGCTCGTACTGGGGCCAGCAGATTCCATTCAATCAGATCATCGCATTAGGTGCATTGAAGGAATCATCGCAGGATACATTCAAGTCGGCTGATGGTTACACGGAAGGTTAGAAAGTCGGAGTCGTGTGTATCGGTTTGATTCACTCACATTCTCTTACTAGACTGGGACAGTTGTAGCGATACGCCGGTGAGTTCAACTGGATGTTGGAAGCGCCTAAACACTCACAACTCGGATAGTTCCTATTTGATACTTCGCGAACAACCGTCGTCACGTATGATGACACGCACTCGCTTGCGGACAAGGCCGCTTATGCGCACAACCAAGGGATGGGCGGCTGCTTTACTTGGTCTCTGGACCAGGTATGTGCTTTCCTGATCTTTAATCACTATGATTGACACTTCCTGGGTGGTCAGGATTACAACTACGTTCTGCAGGATGTCATCCGCTCGAACTTGGGCTTGTAACGTAGAAGTAGATTATCTCTTTGGTGGTTGGACGTCCTCAAGCGCATGTCTATTTAGGACGCCCACAATGTATTTAAGGGTTGCTTGCCGTTAGTGTATGCCGCCATTCTACCATTTGCCGACTCGTTTGAAAGTATCGCTTCTGGTGGAACTCCGATTTCTGTGCAACTAACGACTCGCAAGGGTTCAGCCCTCAAATCTCTTGCTAGAAATCCGAGAGTCATTCAATTGTCGAAGTTCCAGTATAATTACGTTTACGGTGGGCCTATTCAAGTGTCATGAATGCATACGATCTCGACGGCAAGTTCCCCTTGCGATGATTTATTTACACTTGATTTGTGGCGGTCCAGTTTATTGAGGTATTGGCATAGACTGGCCACGGTACTGTCGACGTGCGATTGTTGTAATGATTTTGTGAGTCTACAGGAGTTTCATAGCCTAAGTCGGGCAGGCAATCTGCGTTCGTCCGCTAATGCTGCGAATCTTGTATGCTTCTTCGCACGACTTTATAGCGCCTTCCGGGTCAACTCCACGGCGGTTGGTGACCTGCCATGGACCAGGTCCCAACGGCAGCCCGCTCACAGACGTCTCTGTGTATGCCGCACAAGTAACTTGCGCACACATCATGTACGTACCTCGTATTTGGGCCATCTTCGGAAATGCGCTTACAATTGTCTCGCAGAAATCACGATGTCTTCGGCGCACGCATCGGCAACTGCGCCTGTCCAGTGACTTCCTGGAAAACACTTCTCAGCCGTGGTATAACGCCCACTCCGTTTTCTCGCAATGAACTACAGCCAACTTCCCGGCCAAGCAGCTGGTGTTCGGGCTTCCGCTTTACGGGCACGTCTTGCAGCGCGCAAAGACGTCACTATGGGTTATCGTACGTCCGCCTGCGGCTTTCAATCTTGTAGCAGTACAGGAACATGACGTTGAGAGCGCCCGCTCGAGTCCTAGCCTGCCCGCTGGTGAGATCGCAGGAAAGCGTGTGTGTGCGTGACGTTTCCTGTGAAAGGGTGCCTCTTATGGATTTGTTGCCTTAAGGTCGGGACAATTGTAGCGACACACCGGTGAGGTGACTGCATTGTAGGATCATGCCTGTGTATCGGTAGAACGACACTTCGAACACAAAAGTTGCGACATAAGACGACACATACTCGCTCGCAGGCAAGGCTGCATATGCAAAACGTCAAGGGATGGCAGGCCGCTTTACTTGGTCATTGGCCCGCCCGCTTGTCTCTTCATTCCCGTCACTGATGGTCGTTGTATGGTCAGGACTACAATGACGTCTTACAACACGTCATCCGATCCAATGCCATAAGCTGTGGCTGGAACAACAGGGATGACTAGTGGGCTTCACGTACTGTATGACCCTTGATGATTGTTCACGACCGTTCATGACCCATTCGTCGCCTGCACGGCAGCAGTTGTCGCTATCTCGCTATCGCATCAGCCCACAAGTTCACATACAGGGAGATGTGCATGGAACCATCACACGTCAGGATGACCATTTGCAAATACGTGTTGGGTCGACGAGTCTAGTCTAAATCAAGTCGGGGACAATGCATCGTGCTTTGTGGAGATTGCGTTGAACCCTGTGGCGGCCCGTGGAAATGAGGCAAATTTGGGGTATCTCAAGAAGCCCGACATCACCTTCGAGCGATGAATTTTCGCGAGTCTGTTATCATTGGCGGACGGATAGGCATAGCGCTAGGAGCGACCGCGATACGCCCACAGCAAGCGCGCACAGAATCCCGACTTGCAATGGAACTAGCCTATTAATGATATGACCTCGATGTTTTTCTAGAAGATGTTACACAGGCCGGCTGCGATCGGAATCAGTACCATAATACTGCTTCTGCACGATGATGGGCGGCAAAGCCATGGGGCTCGGGCGGCGTATTCCTACAACGGGTCATGATAGAACCTGCCAACTATCGCGCCAAGCGCTGATTACCTTTTGGGTTGAGTTTACTTTGTGTCAGCGTGTGGGAGAAGTCGAGGATGTCCGACCCAGCGCTAACTTTAGAAGTCTTAAGATCTCTCTAAGCGAGCATCCAATTACAATGTTCGACGATGCGCTGCTACTGGCGCCCAGCGAAGACGTCACCATCATACATTGTCCATGAACTGCATGTCGCTCAGCCTGCGATTATTTCAAAGATGCTGGCCTCATGCACGGATGACTCACCATGCACGACACCTCCGCATGCAACAACACTACTATTTCTGCCCGTTCCACGGCAATGGCTTGGAAAGGTCAATATTGCCGCCGCTAATGATGATCCCTACTGGGCCTTTGATGCCCAAATCCTGGAACGCCGGGCTTCGCACGGCGGCGAACGCGGCGGCACCGCTGGGCTCGACAACCAGTTTCAGCCGCTCCCACATCAGCTTCATCGCCTCCGCGATTTCCTGTCAACAGCAATTTCAACACCGACACTGACTCCCTTGAAGGCAGCTCCCCATACCTCGTCTGATACGACAATCACACGTTCGACCTTCTCCTGGATGATAGGGAAATTGAGCACGCCCACGGGCGTCCGCAACCCGTCCGCGATCGTGACAGCCGTGACATCCTCTCTGCGCCTCCCTTCGCGCAGACCCTGCGCACAGTCATCCGCGCCCGCCGGCTCCGCGCCAAACACGCGCACGCCCGTGCCTTCCGCCGCGAGCGCCGTGCCCGCGAGCAGGCCCCCGCCACCCACGGGTGCGACGACCGCCGCGAGCGGCTCCGGTGCCTGTTCGAGCAGCTCCAGCAGCGCGGTGCCCTGCCCGAAGATCGTGTTCGCGGCGTCATACGGCGGTATAAAGGTCGCGCCCGTGCGCGCCTGCACGGCTGCGAGCGTGGACGCCCGCGCGGGCGCGTTGGGCTCGCAAAAGGTGATCTCGGCGCCGTAGGCGCGAACCGCGTCGACTTTAGGCTGCGAAGAGTTGTCCGGCTCGCAGAAGTGATGCGGTTAGTGCTTCGCCGCGCGACGGATAGAATAGGAGGGAGATACCATCACGACGTAGCATTTCACACCGCGCTCTTTTGCAGCGAGCGCCAGGGCGCCCGCATGGTTCCCTGCACGCCACAGACGCAGAAAGCTCCAGACCATGGCAGGCTGATATCGCAGAAGTGCTGCTCGCCTGAACTGTGCGTGCACACACCCTTCTCAAGCTCTGCTTTCGTGAGACAACTGAGGCTGTAGCTGGCGCCCCGGAACTTGAATGCGCCGCCCTTCTGGAGGTTCTCGGCTTTGAAATAGAGAGAGTTCTGTCCAGGGAGGGATGCAGACAGAGAAGATGACGTGAAAATGGGCGTGCGATGGATGAGCGGCTGGATGATCTCAAACGCACTCTGCACAGAAGATCGGTTGAGAGCAAGGTTCGGTGGCGAAGGCGTGGACATCGCGGAGTCCTAGTTGAGGCACAGTTCAGAGCACAGTTTGCGAACGACGTAGTGGATATCGACTAATGCTCGCGATGAGTTCGCCGGCAACTGCCGAGGCCAGAATACAGCGTACGATAGCTTGAACTATAGGAACTTTTAGTAATCTTGCGTGAGCTGAACAGTGACAGTCGGACTCACTAGGCATACCGTGTACATTGTATGCAGACCGCCAGACGCTGCAACGATTCGCCAGCTGCTTATGGGTGTCATAGCAAAAACACACTTACGTCTGTGAAGCATTCAACAGTTGCCGTCAACTAAGACGGAAAACACAAGCACTCAAAGGAACACCAAGTATCAAGCAAATCAATCGCCCTGGCGCTCTCTAGCTCGCTTGAAGGATCAGAGATACTGGTCGCGGTGCCATGCTAGCCAGACTCGTGGTATGCCCTACGTTATAGTTCGCTGCCAAATGCAGAGTAAACACAAATAGAACTCGTCGGTCGCAATGTCATACCGTGACATAGCGGTCACATATGGTCACGACTTCCGGAAGAGGAATGCTACCTTCCAGATGTGGCAGGCGGTACGCTAAGCCGCAAAGGGAAAGTCTCACCCAATGCACACCTTACGTAACAATGACCATGCCAGCAGGACGAAACCTACGATGCCTTCCGATGGTCTCACAAATGGTGATCCTGCTCTGGGACCACCGTTGTCGACTGGTCCCTCTGCAGCTGGCTTCGTTATCCGCTCTGATGTGCCATCAGCATACCGACTTGTCTGGGGCCCGGCCCATCTCCTTACGCCGAATGAGCCGAAGGTGGCTGAATAGTATACTATTCGCTGCGAAATCTCGACGCGAGGTATGTGATCGATGTAGCGAGATGGCAGCGACTGCAAGTGCCAACTTGTTACTGGGGTTTGTATCTCGAGCTGTGTCCGACGCCCCGCCCCACACCGTGAGACAACCCCCTTCCGGCTGCAGTATTATTGTCGATTTTGGATCGCCCGAATCGGGTATCGCAACGCCATATCGCACCGCGGGCGTCCCCCCGAGTCCCCCCCCTGCAGAACAACACCGCTCCCTCCTAATCTCCCCCCCAGGCGAGCGCACAAGATGGCAGACCAGACCACGCTACAGCACGGCGCCGCCGAGCCCGCCCCGACGCTCTCCTCGCCGACCACGATCGTGCACCTCCAGTACGACAGCAACGCCCCCCCGCCGGTGTCCTCGCCCGCCTGGACGCGCTTCGTCTGCATCAGCGACACGCACTCGCGCATGCTGCCCGTCCCCCCGGGCGACGTGCTCCTGCACAGCGGCGACCTCACCGCGACGGGCACCTACGCGGACTTCCAGCGCACGATGGCGTGGCTCGTCGATCTGCCGCATCGCACCAAGATGTGAGTATGCCCTGCTCAGTGAGTCTCCATCGCTGCGCAGCCCCGATGCGCGAGACGCCGTGCTGAGCGGCGGCGGCGGACGCGTGTGTGTGTCTCGCTTGCTGAGGATCCAGAATCATCGCGGGGAACCACGACCTCCCCCTCGACCACCACGACAGCTGGTATGATAACAACTACAGTCGCTGGCACGGCCGGCAGAAGCAGGTGCGCGATCCTGCCGCCCGGGGGAGCTCATCTCATCGCTCGCACGAACAGAGCATCGGCCTGATCCAGGACCTCGTGCAGGGTCACAAGGCGACGAAGGCCGGGATCGTGTACCTGGAAGACCAGACGCACAGCTTCCAGGCCAGAGAGAATGGACGGATGTGGACGGTGTACGGTTCCCCTGTGCGTGGAGCGAATGCGGATGCTTGTTCGTCGCTTACCGCGGACCCGCGTATCTCAGTGGTCCCCCTACTTCCACAACTGGGCATTCAACTACGAGCGAGGCGATGAAGCTGAGAGTGAATAGCAATCACCCTATTTCCCCGCGCTCGAGCCGTGTCCTAACGCCGATTATTACATTTTCTCTCCTCTAGAACTGCTCGCCGCCTTCCCGAAGACCGATATCCTGTCAGTGCTATTCTCGCAAGCGCGCCTGTTACCCCAGAACTGACGATTGCCGCCTCCGTGCATCAGGCTCACACACGGCCCCCCCTTCCAGATCTTCGACAGGACCCTCACGCACGAGCACGTCGGCTGCGAGGCGCTCGCCGCGCGCCTGCCCGCGCTGCGCCCGCGGCTGCACGTCTTCGGGCACATCCACGAGGCACACGGCGCGCTCATCCGCGAGTGGCCCGCCCGAGACGACGCGTCCGACGCGGAGCGGACGGCGTTCGTGAATGCCGCGAACTGGCCGATGGGGCCCCGCGCGCGGAGGCAGGGCGGCGGGTACGTGCAGTTCGGCGAGGCGCCGTTCCAGCCGGTCATTGTGGACTTGCTGGACGACGCGTGAGGCGCGCGGGGGAGCCGAGGAGGGAGGGGGAGGGGGGATGTGTGCAGTCGTTCTGTTTCACGGCCGCATTCGCGGGCGGACGCTGTAGCAATTTGTCTTTCTTCCAGACGTCATCAGGCCGCGCTGTGTAGCATCATCTCTCAGATCGTACCCGCACGCGTTCGATGTTACACACGAATGCCGTGTCTCTCCTTAAGTTCCACAGTGTGTGTGACAAATTTCACGGTCTGGATGGAGGACGGGGGCGGTGTCCGGTGTCGGCCACCGGCACAGCCACGGGCACCACCCAACGTTCCTGTGTGATGCCGACGCGCATTTGCCTGACTCGGTGCCCGACAGTGCGTCTGCGCGGAGGCCCGACGAGGGCGGAGGACCGACATATGCTATGCTGTACGATGGACAGCGGAGCGGGGCGATCTGTCTCAACTTGGCAGTCACGCAGCAGTCGGGTCCGTTTGGGAGCTGGGGAGACGGCCGGAGATCAGGCGGGCTCGCCGGCCGGGCGCGCACGGCGACTCGGCCAGTTCTCGAGTGCGTCTGCTCGAGTGAAGGCCAGCGAAGGGACGTCGGTCGCTATGGCGTCCCCGGCGAGCAACAGCTTCATGAGCTGCTCATTAACCTCAGCGGGTAGCGCCCGAAGGGCGGACGGCTGCTAATCTCGAGATTCAAACACGCGCAATATCAGTGAAATGCCTTTTGTTGGCATATTTAGCCCTGTGACATGTACAGGGTGCCTTCAGAATTCGGACATGTTCGAGAGGGGCGTTCGGTAGGTTTCTCAGAATGGCGAGTGCTTGATTGGGACTACGGCCAGTCGAATTGTGACGCAAGGATAGTGTCCATCGGTCGAGAAGTGGCCATCAAAATTGACAAATTCGATCAACGGGCTGGCCCGATCATGTTGCTGTTCGTCCACCGTCCGGGGGCAACATCGATGAAAGAAGAAACATAACAAGGGGCAAGACCAGGTCGGTATGTTCTTCCCAGCCACTTATGTCAAGGGTCCAGGCGGGGATCGCCCCCATTGAGCTTCTTTGACAGTAGCGCTTGCACCGCAGACGTCAACCCGAGACCAGATTCGGAGCGTTAGATACGCATCCGTCGAGCAGCCAGCTGTGCCGCGCAATCACCAAAGACGCCGCCTGGAATGGACCCATCACCAATGGCGCGATAGCAACGAACGGTCCATCGGACACACGCAAATTCGCGGCACGGGTAAGCTCCGGGCGGTGCGCAACCTAACTCGCGCGGACCAGAGTTTGTGTTAAAAGCACGCCCTGGACGAACCCTGGGCCCCAGCCAACCTGCCTCTGCTCGCGCTCTTCACGAATATCATCTCCACCCCAAACACGACGACGATCATGGACGCAGAGCGCAAAGTGTGGTTTATCACTGGTGTGTTCTCTTCGTCGTGCTCTCAGCCACCGCGTCGTGCTTCTCTCCGCACGGCGACATGGCTGCGAAGCACCGCTGCTTCCCGTGACACGCCTTCTCATGCACATCCGCAGGCACGTCTTCCGGCTTTGGCAAGCGCCTCGTCGCGTCTGTCCTCGCACGCGGCGACTACGTCATCGCCACCGTCCGCAACCTCGAGAGCTTCACCCTCCCCGACGGCGACCGCTCCCGCCTCCGCATCGTCGTCCTCGACGTCGCCGACACCGCCGCGAACATCCAAAAGACCGTCGACGAGGCCCTCTCATTTTGGGGGCGCATCGATGTCCTCGTCAACAACGCCGGCTACGGCATCAAGACGCTGCTCGAGGAGGGAGGGTGCGTCGCGCTGTCAGGCTTCTCGCATGCCCACTGGACGCTGACATGCTCGTCTGCAGCGCGGCCGCCGCCCTGAAGCAGTTCCAGACAAACGTGTTCGGCGTCATGAACGTCACGAACGCCATCCTCCCCCAGATGCGCGCACGCAGATCAGGGACCGTCATCATGATGGGCAGCCGCTCCGTCTGGAAGGCCGACACGCCCGCCGGGGGCTTCTACGTCGCCTCAAAAGCCGCCGTGCACGGTACGTCTCTCCCACCGCGTCCCGCCCCCGCCCTGCGCTGACCCCGCCCCCGCCAGCCCTGGGCGAGTCGTATGCATGCGAGCTCGCAGAGTTCAACGTCCGCGTGACGATCTGCGCGCCGGGCGCGTTCCGCACGGAGAACGTGCACAACGTGCCGTACACGTACAACGAGCACATCCCCGCGTACGACGCGTTGCGCACCGAGAGCATGAGTCGCTTCGCTGCGGTCACCAAGCACGCGCGCGGGGACCCCGCCAAGGCGATGGAGGTGCTCGTCGACGCGGTGCGCGGGGAGGGCGGCGCGGCGGGGCGCGAGCTGCCGCTGTATCTGATGCTCGGCAACGTGACGTATGCGCATGTGCGCGCGAGCTGCGGGCGCATGCTGCGCGAGATGGAGGAGTGGGAGGACGTCGCGAAGGACCTGGACTTTGACGTCGAGAGCTGAGTGCCGGGCACCATTAGAGAGCGGGCGTAACATTATAGTACATCTAATAGATTCTCTTAGATAGTCGCTGGTGATACACGGCTACATCATCACTGTATCCTAGATAGACACGCGAGACCACACTTGCTTCAGATGAGCACACTATAAGTGGCGCCCGAAGCAATGTGAAAGACTCACCGTGTACGTGTACCTCCCGGGTCACTCGTCCGTACCGGCGCAGAGTGTGTGTGCGAGAAAGTGCCAGAGAATTGTGGTGCGAGGGAGAGAAGGAAGATGATATTTCTCGACACCGACGCATTTCATAAGTACAGAGAGGCTTTGACACGAGTGACATCATACGAAACCTAGGAGGAGTGAATGACGCACAGCATAGCAACAGATCGAAAGAAGTCCGAAACAGAAAGACATATTCTAAACGCGGATGGAAGCCTCGTCCCGGGCACAGACAAGCGAGACTCGCCATTCCGGATCACGTCCATAGCTATTGATGTCTCAGCTTCTCGAAGGTGTACGCCCCCGACGCGTCATATTTACGCTCGCGACCTGCCGCCCTCAGGTGCGTGACGACGTCGGCACCCTCGATCAGCCTACGACAGCTGCTTCGACGCCGTCATTGCAAGCTTTGAGTCGCCGAACAAACAGGATTAAGTACGTACTTTTATGTCGATCTTGGCAGAATGGAAGCGCGTGAAAGAGCAAAACATAGAAGGAATGAAAAGAGACTAGACCGAATCCGTCGATATTGTTCTCCTGGGATCGGCGCATTCTCCTCCACCACACCGCCATCCACGAAGGTAGGCGTAATGTTGCCATTTTCATTCACAGTGCATGCGATGCATCACGCATGTCCCAGGAACAACCCACGTTACTACGCGATTATAGCTGTTTTCACGAAAGATGTCGCGCACGTCAAACACAAAGAAATTCTCGCTGAACGACCTCCCACTGAGAACACGAATACCTCGACAACTACTGAGTGTATCGTCTTTATTTTTGCTGCGCTGGACTCGCCTTGTTGTTCCGCAGGTACAGGTACCAAAATCATCGTGAATTTCCAGTATTTCAATTTCGACATCTTCGGCACCCCCTCTAAAGCGAAACTGTTCTTGCTCGCGAACACGACATCGGCAACTCATAGGATGGGTATCCCTTGAACTGGATGGGTGCGATGGAGGGTCTGGTATGCTAGTAGTATGTCATTCACAGTTGCTTCACTTTGTGTCCTTCACATTCTCGGGCGCGATCGTCGTGTCCTTCCTTACTCCTTTGCATGTCTCATTGACAGGCACCACACTTCGTTTGTTTCTATGGGTTATATCTTGACTTTGTACTCCTAAAGACCCCCTCTACCATCCATTCCATCACTATTGCATGTCCCTAGTCTCTCTGGTTTGCGACACCTGCATACAGCATGGCTCGCTCTGTTTCTGTTGTTGTTCTTTGTCTTATTTACTTGGCATCGTCTTTCAATTATTAGTGTGATTGAGTTCTACATTATACATGATGTGGGTGGTCAGATCTGGAGTACTGAAGGTAAGTCATAGCTCTTTGTGAACAGCCGGGATACCATATGCACCTATGATAATACTGGGTGGCAAGCAGCTATAAAATCATTCTGGAATGATTTATAGATGGCGCTACTGACCCATGTGAGGAATATCATTGTCGAGAAACATAGGCATGTATAAATTGAGGATGCAAGTGGCGAAGTACTTGCAAGTGTAGCAATCATGAATATGACTGGCAGAGCTAGTGCCACAGACATGTATGAGCTATGAAAGGCTTAAATGTAGCATCAGAATGGGGTGAGACAAGGTAATCCCATCAATACGTGAACACGGCTAGGAGTACGGCGAGAATGGGACATACAACAGGAAGCAGACTTTAGCAACACACTGCAGCTGTATCACGCCCTCCATAGCACCCATCCAGTTCAAGGGATACCCATCCTACGAGTTGCCGATGTCGTGTTCGCAAGCAAGAACAGTTTCGCTTTAGAGGGGGTGCCGAAGATGTCGAAATTGAAATACTGGAAATTCATGATGATTTTGGTACCGGTACCTGCGGAACGACAAGGCGAGTCCAGCGCAGCAAAAATAAAGACGATATGCTCAGTAGTTGTCGAGGTATTCGTGTTCTCAGTGGGAGGTCGTTCAGCGAGAATTTCTTTGTGTTTGACGCGCGCGACATCTTTCATGGAAACAGCTGTATATTGCGTCAGTGATCTACAACTCTGATCTAGATCTAGGGGCAGGGGCCGCTCTACGTATATGCTGCAGCCACAACGTATTAGTATAACGGACGGTGGCTCGGGCGCTTCTAGACCATAGCACTGGGGACACGAGCATGTAAGAGTCGAATGGGCGGCAATGAAGCGTGCAAGAGTACCGCGAAACGAAATATCGGACGACATCTATGAATACAGACAACCGGGCATACGAGATCATGTCACAGCAAGAGGAGAGCAACAGCCGTGATAGCCCTGTGCACAACATGAGCCCTCGTGGCGTGGAGAAAGACAGAAAGGATCACGCACGCAGAGGAGACAAACATGGCGGTGTCTGGGGCAAGGTGAGCACAGAGACTTCTACACAGCAGGTCCGACTCACATTGGACGAGAAGAAATGCCTGGGATGCAACAGTGAGCGGCGTCCCTCACAGCAGCGCCGAAGAACACGACCCACCGAGAGCGTGTCCGCAGTCCCGTCCGGCGAATACAGAGACGACACAATCAGCTGGCTGCGGGCGGGCGCAGGGCGCCGTGAGCAACTGTGACACGCCTGCGCCAAAATCCGCTCACTTGACAGCCGCAGGCGTCCCACTCAGGAACATCGCCACGAACCGCTCGGCGAGGGCGGCGCGCTCAATAAGCCGGCCCTTGACCATCGCCTGCACCATGAAGATGCCGATCACGGGCAGGATGACCATCTTCGCCGCCATCGCCGCCACCATCGCCATGACAGGCAGGCGCGAGAGCGGCCGCGGGATCTTCAGCCGCGCAAAGGACCCGCCGAGGATGATGAGCGACAGCGGCACGCAGATGCCGCCGAGGAACTCCGCTGGCGGTGCAGACACGCGTGAGCGGGGCGGGATCGCGGTGCGGGCAGCTCACCTGTGTCCATGACGAAGGCCAGCGGCGGGTTGCCGTCGGGGCCATGCCAGGCGGGGCCGCCCTCGCTGCGCACGTCCACGAAGAGCGCCTTCAGGTCGTCGATGAGCGCGATGGGCAGTGCGAGCGCGAGCGCGCAGGTGATCGGCGTGACGGCGGCCGTCAGGGGCTTGAGCGTGTGCTTGAGCCGCGAGGCGAAGGTCGAGCGCGCGGGCTCGGGAGGCGATGCCTGTGGTGGGCCGGATGCCAGTGCGGGAGGCGGTGCGGGCTGTTGTGTGCTCGGCGCGCGAGGTGCGATAGAGAGTCGAGACGTCCGCCGCGCGAGCTGGATGTCGGGGTCGTTACTGTAGGCGAGGTCATCTATAGGCGTTTGATCCTGAGGGTCGATGGCGTCCCCAGCGAGATCCGCCTTCTTCTCCAGTCCCTTCTCGGTGTCGGACTCCACGTCCGTCTTGTCGCTGGCCACGCTCGACTCCACCGCAGGCCTCAGACGCAGGACGTGTCTCGCAATCAGCCCCCCGATGGGCTTCTCCTTCCACGAGTAATGTTGCTCTGCCTCCTCGCCTTGCGGGATGCCCGGACGGTAGTCCCAGGACAGCGATCGCGCGGCGCCGCCTACCCAGAAGACAAGGTGATACGAGACGATGAAAATAGACACGTAGGACACACCCACTGTGAGCCCCCGCGTGTCAGCAGTACGGTCACACGAGCAATCATACGGAGCGACGCACGCGCGGGATCCGTGTCCGGGTTGAAGGGGGCTTCCTGCATGATGGACGACACAATCGCGTTCGCTACCGGGAGGGATCAGTAGGCGTATGTCTGTGGGTCCCCGCAGGACGTCTTACAGAAACACTAACGCAGGTTCCCCCAGTTACTCATACCACACAGCACGACGATACCCTGCCAGAAGTTGCGCGGGACGTAGAAGAACTCGCGGATAATGAGCCCAAACGAGAAGCCCATGATCTGGTAGGTGAACGCCGTCAAGAAAAGCGGGCCTAGAGCGGATATGTTGGACGGCGTGAACGCGGGGACGACGTTGGCAAAAATCAGTGCGGGCAGGGACACGTTCATGCTGATTTGCGAGGCGCCCTTGGATGCTTCAGGAGAAAAAAGGCCCTTTCTTGCGAGGAAGTAGCCGATACCTATCCCAATGTATCTGGTGGACATGCTCAGTCGAATTTGCGCAGGTACATTCCAGCAGTGGAGGAACACTCACGTTTTGATAAGGGGCATAATGCCGCAGTAAATCAAGTATCCCGCAGAAGGCATGGTTGTAGCGGTCGTCCTGTTCAATTTCAGGGGGGATTGGGGTCAGCACTACTCTCGTCAAGGATTTTTATACGTACAAGAGCGTCAACTTATGGAATTTGTATGGTAGAAGTCATATGGAAGCGGAAAGCAGGCGACCTAGCAGTACGGTCGTGGGCGATGCTCGGTAGCCGCGGTGAGAATATAGCAACATGAGACATACATGAGATGATGCATAGTGACTCAATCCGACCATGGACCCCGCCTCATGTGGCTAGGCGTCGACGGCATTTTCGGACGAGGGATTGCAGATTTGCCAAGATACGGTGCCGTGATCGGGGTTCCGCGCCGGTATCTAAAATCTGGGGTAAGTCGGCTGTTCTCCGCAATATTGCGATCGGTCTCGAAGAAACGTTGGTCTAGATGACCGCATGCTGCCACGTCAACATCGATCTGCCAGTTGGCAACAAACGCGACAGCCAAATTTGCGAAATCAAAGGTACTCCAAGGAATGCCTTCAAGAACCAATATCATCAGGAGATGATGTCGGTGTGAGATGCGGACGCGCTTATATCTTATCATCGGAACGCCGGCGATTTGTGGCGGCCGCCTTGCCAAGACATTTTGTGCAAAAATAGCATCCTCATGGACCAGTACTTGCAGGAAGCTGAAAAGACGTCACATAGTAGCACTCAGCAGTCAGAATTGGGATCGTATTCGGAGCTACACCTTGTCACCTGAATCCTGTTAGTCGACGCTGCTCTGGGTATTATGTCCATATTCGGTGTTTGCGTGGTATTCATTCTGAATCATTCACTGCCTTGGAAGTGCATATGGAAATGCTTGGCAGACCGCGGATGCCGATGGAGATCGGGCAACCTCTTCACTCAAACAGTTTGCGGTCATAGAGTGGAAGATTTCAACAAAAAAGACCGGAACATGAGCAAGCAACACAGAATCAGCGATAGTAGTGCTATGGAGCAACCAACCACGCACCGTTTGTCACTGTCAGAGTAGTCTGCGAATAAGCAGTCATATTACATAACTAAAGCTCAGGACATGTTCCTCAGCCGCGCTGTCTACAGCAACCGGGGAAAAGGTACTTCACAGCAAACATGTATACTGCGGGTCTTACCATTCAACTCGTGGCCCTTGACGTAGTGAAACGATGACGTCTGGAGGCATGGGTGACGAGCATCTAATTTACGATTGAGAGGAAGGATGCACCGTGGAGCGTACCCGACGCGGGTGCAGTCACAGACATGGGATGAAGAAACTACTCTGGTGCTGCCCTCGGCATAACACGACATTGGGGGAGCCAACAGGATGCCGGTGGAGTCGACGAAACGAGCGGGCGAGGGAAGAAAGAATCACTAAAACACGAAGCACAAAGAATTCCGAAAACGCTGGGTCGCAGCGTCCTCCAGTCATTGTTAAAGAAGAAGCACAGGCTTCGCAGCAGCTTCCGACTACGGACATCAGACGTCCGACTGCCGGTACAACGTTCCACCCAAGATACCAAACATCTATCTGTCCCATTTGCATTTAGATCAGCAGCGAAGAGCAATGTATGTGACTTGACACTCACCTCGCCCATATACATTCTACCCAAGATAGAAATGACGAGTTCCACTAGACTCACCGCACTGAAATTGATCCTGTGGACATCTGGTGCCACTCGTCGAGGACACATCTGCGCTGCCGCAATATCTCCTCCATGTGATCACTCTCTTTGCTCTTATCATCCGAGTCGACAATCTGGAGCGCCTCCAACCGGGGGATAAAGAACAGCTCGTCGTCCGTAACTTGGTCTCGACTTAGAAACCCCAGCCGCGGGACCGCCCACAGATCCTCCAGGATTCGGTGTCTTCCGATGGTATACGCGGTCGTGCGCACCACCGTCACATTCTTCAGCCTCTTCTTCCACGCCCCCTTGGCCCTCATTACGTGCACATTTCCCGTAGCCAATTCAAGCGTCCGAATTTGCTCGAGGGGCAGCAGCCTGCACAACCACCCCAAGGCCTCTTGCTGAAGATTTTCGGGCCCCCGTATCCAGATCACCAGCGAGGCCAATTCTAGATCAATGAGCGTCCTCAATGGTTCTTGCGATGCGTCACGGTATGACACAATAATGTGGGGTATTTCGTTGGTGGGTTTTCGGATTGAGACAGTTGTGCACGGAGAAATGATGGGAGAGAGAACAACCTGCAGTGACTGCATATTGCGAATCTTTCCAGATATGCAATCATAGGTGTGCCAATCGAACTTGACGCGCACATCAGACGACGGAGACAACATAGTAAGGTGTTCGGCCGACAGGGAAGGCGAACAGGCAAGGCGTATGGAGCGAAGGCGAGATAGATGTATGGCACCCATCCCTTCTTGAGGTAAAATGAATATTCCTATCAAGCTCAGCGTCTCGAGATCTTGCATAGAGCGTAAGGCACGAGTAAACTCCGTAGGAATCGGGATGTTGTGGGACTGATTGATCACGAAGTGCCGCAACGACGTCGCACACTTCAAAAGAGGCGCCAATGTTGAGGCCGGCGCAGATACCTGAAGACGACGCAACGAAGGAAGTGAATGATCGGATGCGCTCGGCCAGGGATCACCTTCGAATGTATCCACTATAAATGTCTCGAGAAGAACTGCTTGACCAAGTAAGAAGTACCTGCTGAAGCTGGGGTACCACCACGATATGCGGAGATGCCGAACACAGGAAATCGCACTTATTATAACGATTCTGAGGGCATCTTGGCGGCTGGGTACAAAGAGGTTAGCTGTCACGGTCAGAGGTATCGAGAGAGAGCGTTCAAGGAACACCAGGATCCACGGTGTTGAGAGCTTGGTGATGTCGATATGATCCCATAGCTTGGCGCAGCCCACTGCTGCCTGACGCCAGTACCAGCAGACATGAGACACTTCAGCGATCTATGGGATCGTCGGGCCTGGTACGCCGATGCAGTGGTTCTTTTCACGATATTTGGCGGCAGCGAACAGGAAGATCTCCCATAGTATCTCGGTGGGCAGCCTGTATGGGACATTGTATGCGTTTAGGCGCCGCGCTGCACAGATCGACACTGGAAGACGGTGTATGGCCTGCATCTCGAGTGTTGTTCTCGTGTCGGTAGTGGTATCTGGAGGAGCAAGCGGTATGGCACTCCCGACCTCCATGACTCGATTGCAGGATTTCGACAGAGGTTCTATTCGAACGCGCTCTCAGTATGGACTTCGGCTAACAGTCGAAAAAGTGACAGTACCCTTTTGGTTGTCGCACGAGCTGACCCTGAATGTTCTGCTGAGGCTAGGATGAGCTCTTCAAGGAATGAGTGCTGAGTAATGAGTGGTCGACGTTGGAACAAGCAGTGTACGTGTGGACCATGGCCCCGCGATCACATGACCCATACATGGCTTGTCTGCGTCCGGATGTCCATCACGCGTTTCGACTTGAATCTGGGTGCGATCGCTCTTGATCATGCAAGGAAAGTGCGCATACATTCATTTTACTGGAATACGTGTCAGCGCATCACTCTGATGCCCTCTAGTAGGCTCAAGACGCGCAATTTCGAGACGATCAGCGGGCTCATAGCGGTATATACACGCCCATGTCGAGCACGGCACGCGCATAAACGGCACGGGCCTTGAGGACGTTTCAGCGTCACAGAATGCTTCTGCGAGAGCAAGAAGCTCGGGGAAGGGTGCACGACCACTACCAGGTGCGTCGGCTCACCATTGTCTTTGTTTGTCGGCGAGGATTGGTCTTGTACCCCAATGTTCCAAATCCGCACCTCACCACCGCGGTGGTCCGGGTGCGAGGATGATGCGGGTGGGTATGAGACCAGAAGGGTCATTCCCGCAGCTGCTCTGTCTGTGCTCCCCGATAGATCCTCGCGCAATCGCTGTGTAAGTGTTGTCTGATATTTGAGTGATCTGGAAGAAGACTTGTTGACTGACTAGTGCAGACGTTGCGTTCCGATCTCCAACAACTTCTAGAGGGGCGCACCGAGGAGGCGCAAGCGTGCTTTCATGAGCATGCTGTGCGCGGAGTTGGGCAGATGGATGCTGGCCTGACTACGGGGACATCGTTTTCTGAGGTCTGCTGAGAGCCTCGCATTAGAGAAGTAGAGCGCTGTAGGTTGTAGGCCTTTTGACATCTCAGCTCTGTGGTGACAGTCTGTGCACACCAATACCGAACCTCACCCCTCGCTGAAGCTTGACATGCTCGATCCATGGGTCAGCTCGGCTTTATCCACTCATATCCAACATGTAGAAGGAAGCTCGCCACCAGAATCGCATTAGTGATGAATACAAACATACAGACTCATACAGATCGGACCTTACCTTCGCAAACCCGTGAAAGCACTTATATGTCCAACATATGCAGCAATACAGAAATACAAACACAATGGTTGAGATGATCGGACACAAGACCCGGCGTTCAGGTCCAACCTCTCGCTGAGCCGCGCCCACCGCCATGTCCCCGCTCCTTCTCGATTACAAAGAGGGCATCTCGCATTGTGATCGCCCTTCGCATATCCTTCTCGTCTTGCATCTGTGATTGTGTTTGTTTCGTGGGCACATAGGGCCGCGCCCATCCTCCCGCCGCAGTCGCGCTCGGCGAAGGAGCCGTCGTAGTCGCCGGGGTGGTCGCTGAGCCCGACGTTGCTATGGGCTTTGGCTTCGGCGGCGGCGCTGCCGCGTTCGCCTGCGTCATCCAAGCGTATTTACCAGTACTCAGTCCGGCTGCCTGTGCTGCCACCGCGTTCGACATCTTCTTTCGCGTGTCCTCGGACATGTTGCGCGCTGTAACGCCTGGCCCATCCTTCTTTTTCTTCTTCTTCGGTCCACCCTCGCCATCCTCGCCATCCACCGACGTTCCCGCTGCGTTCTGCGCAGCGAGCGCGGCCGACTGTGCCGCCGCTGCCGCTTCAGCGCGTTCTTTCCGTTCTCGTCGTACACGCATCTCTTCTTCGCGCTCTACGCGCTCGATCGCGGCTAGCTGTTTGGCGACGTCGCTGCGGACGACAACGCTCCACATAGGACTGCCATCCTCGTATAGTGATGCGGGTCGGTCGAATTGCGCGTCCGTTCTGTGTGCAGACGCGTCGATCATGGCTGTGATTAAGTCTTGTAGGCGCGCGCGCAGGGAGAGGGCGAGGTAGTTGACAGTATCCTCCGAGATTTTCGTCACTTTGTGTTGGCTGCCGATGGCGCGCATAGTCGTGCCCAGAAACCTTGTGTCGAAATTAGGTTTTGCAGGCTGTTTTCGGGCGCGGTCCTCGTATGACCTGTAGCTCTGGTACTGATCGTATGGGTTCGATCTATGTAGGTGGTCCTCCTCTGCCTAGATGCCTGTTGTGTGACGATGACGGATGTAGACAGGTGAGAAAGACGCACCCTAAGGTCCACTCCCGCACTCCCCAAAGCATCATTTAGTGTAGCAATATCCGCTGTGTCGATTGTGTTTGCTTGTGTGGCTTGTCTCGAGGTCGACGCTGCCGGTTGTATTTGAGACTGTGTTTGTGACAGTTGCGGTTGTTGCGACGATTGCGAGGTTTGGTAAGTGTAGTAATTTGGCTGCTGATAGTATTGCTGATGGGCTTGATAATAGTTTGGCCTATAATGTTTAATCAATGAGTGGGCCCTAGCAGTAGCAACGTTCTTACGTTGATTGCTGTGATTGCTGTTGGAGCTGAGGATCGATGGGTATCTCTGAGTAGCAAAGATATAAACGATAATGCTGTTGCTATATTGTTTCGCAACCTACGAGAATTCCCCCATTGCGCAGCAGAGAGAGTTGGGGTCTGGCTGTCGTGCTCCGACTTCATGGCTCGTAGCTTCGTGATAATGGCTATACCAGCTTTGTTGGGGTGATCCGCGAGCTTGAAACGATGTTTCACATACACAAAAATGGTTCTGAAAGGGGCTAAGAGTCGAGACAGCAATAAGCGTCGAAACTGAAGGGAGGAGTATGTACGATGTTGCCACAAACGGTTTGGCCGGCATTTGCCTCTATGGGCGTTTATTATGGTTACGTAAACTACAGTTGGATTATTCAGTCCCAGCGTGCGAGCGCATTCTTGGAAATATACTAAAGATCTTGTTGATGTAGCCCAAGGGGACGGCGTACTTAATCCTTCGGATGTGCGAGTGAAACGCGTCCATATATGTGAATGCTCATCAAATCATGAGTAGAGAGTAGAACAGTACTACTTACTATCAGCATACGGCGTATTCTAAGTTCTTATGGCGCCTCAGCGGAGTTTAGATAATCCATGGAAATCCGCTTGGAGCTCACTGAAAGTGACCTCAGGCATCCTCTACTCTAGGACTAAGGAAGCAACATTTGTTGCGTCTTTACGATTTGTTGTTTATAGGCAAGGCATTGATTTTCTGACTTCTGTGAGTCAGCGATTGCTGTTGTGTAAATATCCTGGGAAAGGATCTAGCAATTGAACAAAGGCAGCCTCCTCAGGTTCCTTGTGCGCGCATTCTACGCCTAGGAAGTATGGTAAGAAATCCTACTGAGATCTCCATAGGGGTCTGAAGGAATCATAGGTCGTATGCCAATACTTTCTTCGTGGCCAATGCAAATTTGGAAACCAATGCAGGAACGAACATCCAAGAGACGCCCAAAAGCAAAGCGGATTTGGGAGTACGTTGTTTTCTCGATTCCATGTGCTTTGGCCGCTGTTGATATCGTGCCACAGATCAATCGTGGACGCCTAGTGTCTCGGGATCTGCCCCCGTGCTTTTTAGGTTCGTTATTCGTGCCTTTCGTTACCACCTCGTCGCTCACAGACCGCCACATCTTTCGCGATGTGCCCCAGTGCTGAGAGTATTGCTCGAGACCTTGACCCAAATGCTGACAAGTCGGAACGCCCCTCATGGCCACTCGCCACGTACGGCCCTGCAAAATATCAGCCTAACCTCCTGCCCGGACTAGACGAGTCGCCGGAAGAGCTGCGCGTGCGTGCAGCTCTGGCGGCACAGACAAATACGACAGCTGAATATGTACGTCCTTTACCGATTTTAATGCCGTGACGGTCTAACAAGTACCTACGGCCACAAGGTGAAATACGAGGCAGATAGAATTGCTACTGCAGGGCGGACAATTGAGGTTGCACGCATGAACGTACAGGACCTCCTCCAACAAGCTCAGCGCAATGCCGATGGAAAGGTTTCTCCCGGCTCCTCAGGCTCGGCTTTTGGAAATGCCACATCAGCTTCTGCTCTAGGGAAACAATCAGGAGCATTTGGCTCCACTACCTCCCCATCTGCATCGGGTGGTCCGTCTGCCCTCGGCCAGCCGGCATTCGGTCAGTCAGCCTTTGGCCAGCCGGTAAAGGGAGCTTCTGCTTTCAGCACGCAGTCGCAGCCGACATCAGCATTTGGCCAGGCCGCGCAACCGACCTCCGCCTTCGGCTCGCCCGCGCCAGGGCCAGTGACTTCCGCATTCGGACAGCCCAGCCAGGGTCCCACCGCGTCCGCCTTCGGGCAGCCCACGCAATCCTCGCTCATTAAACCTGCGTCGGGGGCGTTTGGGGGCAGCACGACCAGCGGCGGTTTCTCTGCGTTCGCCAACCAGCAACCGTCCGCGTTCAGCCTCGCAGCGGCGGCGAACGTCCCGAACACCTCTGGAGGTTCAGTCTTTGGCCAATCATCTCTGGGCAACACGCCGTCTGCTTTCGGCAACACCACACAGACCCAGCCTGTGACACCCGCGTTTGGCCAGCCCGTCAGTAGCGCGAGCGCAAGCAATACGCCACAGTCGGCGTTCAGTTCGCTACAGAGCACACAGATGACCTCTGCGTTCGGCGCGCCGCAGAACGCGCAGGCGGCCTCCGCTTTTGGCACGCCACAGAACACTCAGGTGAATTCTGCATTTGGGACACCGCAAGCCGCGCAGACGATCTCTGCGTTCGGCACACCGCAGAACACTCAGGTTGCATCTGCATTTGGAACCCCGCAGAACACGCCGGCCACATCTGCGTTCGGCTCGACGACACCCTCGCAGCCAACGTCCGCATTCGCATCGACCGCTCCCGCGCAGCCTAGCGTGGCACCCGGGCAGGGCGCCAGTTCTAGCGCGGCCCTGCCCAAGGCACAGGCCTCGTCAGGCAAGCCTGACTTTGAGGCCGCGAAGAAGAGGTGGAAGGCGAAGCCAGGGCGGGACAACTATGATGACATGCTGCCAGCTGACTATGCCGAGGTCTTGCCCCCTGAGGCCATCCAGGCGTTCAGGGCGGATCGCTTCGAGCTGGGCAAGATCCCAGAGTTCGTCCCACCGAAAGAGCTCCGCGGGCTATAGCCGTATTTGGACGGCTCTGATTACCATTCTGCTCCTGCATGGCAAGTGTCCCTTCTCTGAGTGACATTTTCCCCTTCATTGTACACATACATATTTTCCTTGTACTACGGAACTCATCAATCCATCCTTGTGTCTTTGCCTTTTGACCTTGATTTCTTTCATAGTCGTGTTCTGCGGCAACCATCCGCTCATCAATCGCACATTGACCAAGCTAGCGTAAACACAGAGCTTAAGCCTGCCGCAAATCAAGGCACAACAGTTACATCAGCAAATGCCTCGTTTTCCCTTCTTCTGAATCGACGTTAGGAGCAAGATTGGCTTCTGGACTAAAGTCAACCCATTCGACGCAATTGCTTCAAATTGCACCGCAGAACCCTCGTCCTTTTCTTAATTCTCATGTTGATCTGTATGTTTCTTGCTTTCGTTATCGTGTTCGCAAAACCTCGCACTGATCAAGGAGCTCGCCATCAACGCTATGCCACCTTACGTTTCAGTACGAGTAGACAACGGCAAAGTAAGCGTACTCACAATCTCGTGTTCTTGAGCTGATCCTGCTCCTTGCTTGCTTGCTTCTCCCTTAGGATGCCTTCAAATGCGTCTATGAGCCGCTCTTAGATAGCCACGTACTTGAGCTGCTGAACGTTATTTTTGGCGTCTGGTCCTCCTTGTAATCGACCTTCCAGTTCGTCAGAGCCACGGGATCATGCTTCATCGCTCGACGCCGATCGTATCGAGCGGGATCACCCAGTTTCCGCCGCCGCCGATCCAGCGAGTGCCGGCGCGCTAGCTTAAAGGTACGCGCAATGCCTCTAACCTGGCGTCCGACTTGTGCTTTACATTTATCACCATAAATTCCCGTGACTCGTGTTTCTTCACGTCGTCGGTTGCGTCCCAGAATAGAAGTGCTGACTGCTGAACGCTGTTGTTCGAGCGTGGCGAGGCAATGCGCCTTATCGTAGCTGATAGTATTCATCACCGGATGCTGTAAGGCATTGACTGTGAGCTTGGTGCATATACGCTCTCAGAGGTTACTCGCTCGAATGAAACCCGACGATGGCAGCCATGGAGCATATTTCGTCCTCGGTGACGACTGTAACGGTCGACGTTGAATATGTGGCGCGGCTAGTCCTGCTCAAGCGAATCAGGGCTAGTGTAGGGCAAATAATTCATCGGCATGTAAAATACGGTTATTTACTGACCCAAGTTTGGGACCCTGTTTTTTACATGGTAAAATATGTAAATTACACTAAGTCACGGGACCTTGACACACGTGATCTTGCCTGGCACGTGATGTTTTCCGGCATGTAAAAAAAGTAAACAAATGGTAAAAAAGATTAAGAAATGTAAAAAAAGTCCTCAGGAGCACACATATCACACACAAGGCTGAATATATGTATGTCATCAGTTCTAGATGACATTGGTGATGTCGCAAGCATTGTAGAAGTGCACCACTGCCAAATTGGGCTTGAGTGTGGCACCGTGGGAATGTCCAAGACGGCGGTTAGTATGAATAATGAATAGCGGGAGTAAAAACAGTTCAGTAAATTTTATAAATAGGTTTATATAGAGATGAAGGTCCAAAAAGCTGCATATTAGCTCTACAAATAACAAATATTGTCGAACCCATACCCCGGAAGCTGGTGCAAGGCACAAAAAATTGTCAGCCTAAGCGGTGGCTCCCTGGGTGGGTCCAACACGCGACACACCCTTATTTACATTATTTACACCTCTCAATGGACACCCATGTAATAAATTGTAAATTACCTGTTAATTACCTGTAAAAAAGTGCAGGGTAATTTACACCGATTTATTCGCCTTACACTAATCAGGGCAGCTGCCACAGTGCAAGCAAAGAGCAACCCGTGACAAGTTCTATTTCTATGCAGATAACGTGATCGGAGAAGAGTCTGCGGGGAAGTATATAGGTCTTACGTCGTGCCAGTGCATGGAATGCTGTATTCCATCGCCTATCTTGGCTCACATGCACCTACGGACATAGTGGCGAAAGCAGAGCACAGATGATTGTGTGAGCAGTATATGTATGCATTCACTATAATTCGTTGGAGACGAGCTCACACTTGAATGTTTGAATACTGAATGGTGGCGAGTGCGCGTCTGCCATCCCGATCGCGACCGAATTTCATGATGCATCAAACGCGTCTTGTCACACTACGTTACGTCGCCGTGACATTGCTATGTCTTCACTCGTTCTGTCATTGTGCTCTCTATCTCTACCATCGAGTCTACCGCTCACCTTATTCAATCTCTCTGAGGAATGCATTCAAGACTAGTGACGGGCATATTGCCACGTTTATCGCCCGTGAGACAATCTTGCTTGAAGAGGAGCCCTCTTTCTACCTTCAAACGAAGTCTGCGGAATACGATTTCACGAGGTTCTGTGGATGTTTTGCATCCTGCCGGTGAAGACGAACAATATGATTTCGGATACTATGACGTGATCCTGCCCAAGGAACCATTCGTATGGGGTGTTTCACACATTCACCCAAGGGCGTTACCTGCGCACATCCAGCGACCTAGCTACGCAGTTTCCGAGAACTCAGCGGGAACTCAGAGTAGTCACACTATCGTTCCCGCACGCAAGCTTGCAGACCTTACTGGGGAGAACAATGCACGACTGCGGCGGGCGGCAAGCCTTGGGAGAGAAGTGCTCGAATACGCAGGGAGCTTGGTGAAGGTAAGCCAAATGACCGAGGTGCAGGACTACAGGTTGCTCGAGCTCTGGCAAGTCACCCTGGAATGCCAGCACTCGCATAACCTGTGGCATGCCCGCTCATACGAGGACAGAACGACGGCCAACTGTAATATACAGCCTGGTGTAACGACAGATTATATCGACGCACGAGTGCACGACATGATCATCGCTCGCTTGGCGTACCCTTCGCCCCTGCTCTATAAGGGATACCCCAAATCGTGTTGCACAAGCATCAACAATGTCGTTACACACGGCATCCCAGACGAGTTTAGTATGTCTCCTTTGTCTGACGAGGATGGTGAATAGACCTGTGAATATTTCCCGCAGGCGGCCTCTCCAAGACGGCGACATAGTGAACATCGACATCACAGCGTTCAAGGACGGCTTCCACGGCGATACGTCCCGCACCTTCCTCGTCGGCGATGTGGTGAGCCTAGCCACGCGCATATGCTTCTGCTCCGCGCGCATTCTTACTGGTACCAGGATGACAAAGGTCGGGAGCTCGTACAAGTGACCGAGGATGCGCTGGAGGCCGGGATCGCAGCATGCGGTCCCAACCGGCCTTTCAAGGGCATCGGCAAAGCGATATTCGAGTCGATCAGACATAAAGATTTTTGCGTCTCCACACAATTTACTGGTCATGGAATCGGCGGAGACTTCCACAGGCCACCCTGGATCTTACACCACTGTATGCGCTTCCTACAACCCCTATGAACCAGCTGACAAGGCCACAGTGAATGATGAACCCGATGTAATGCAGCCCGGGGACTGTTTCACGATCGAAGTACGTCCGCTAGCAGTACTGGACTGATCCGTTACTAACGGCGCGTTCTTCCAGCCATGCATCATTCAGGGGTCGTCCCCACGAGCGTGGATCTTCCCCGACGGCTGGACAGCCTCCACCGAGGTACGTCATTTCGCGTTTCCATAATCATCACGGATGCTAAATCTTCAACAACGACCATTCAGAATTGTGCACGCGGTGCGCAAGCGGAAGATATGGTTCTGATCACGGATATGGGCGCGGAAGTGTTGACAAGACGTTGATTGCCTGTGCTTCTTACTTTTAGTGCTTTAAACGAGATGCGATACAGTAGTGTCCACTATTGTGGCGCATTACGGCAGGTTCTGTTCATGCATGGAACAGGCGGGAAAACATGCCGGGGTGTCGTTGCCGAGGCTTACCCAAGCTTCCAAAGCAGAGATGTCGGAATTTCACTCGGTATGAGTCCCTAAGTAAGTATGCTACCTGCGTCATGAACAGCTGTCTTCCAGTCAAGCTACTCTCCGAGACTTGCGCCAGTCCGCAATAATAACGTTAGGAGATTTCGCGGGACTATCCATCTCGCTTTGGCAGGTTCTGGCTGCCCAGTGGACCAGCCCGCTCGACTCGTAAGGCATGAAACCCTTCTCATTGTGGAGTCTCTTCACGATTTTCGTAGCCCTTGAGGCTGAAAGGTAAGTGGTATACCTCATACTAGAATAATTCCGAGAGGGGATGAATACTGGAGATTCCTGACAGCAGACGACACGCAGAAACGAAATTTAACCATATCTAGTACAGGCAAACTTGAACTTTGTTATTATCGTAACAGGTAGATGGCAAGTTGTGGCGCATATACCTCGTTTCGCCTCGGTAACATCTGGTATACCGCAGCGTGACCTGTGTACAATTGTGACCAAACGCGGGCAGGATACGAGAGAAAAGAATTGTCTACAAGAAGACCCGAATAGTGCCATTAGTGCTACATCAATGATATGTACTCAAAGTACATTGCGATATATACTGTACGACAGCGTTACGACATTCACGAATACAGGGTATTAGGACGAAACAGAGATCCGTTCATGTACGAAACGAGACAGAATGTCCGTGAGGTCCACGTCCTTGCTTCCAAGGATAGCCTCCGTTTTTGCAATCATCGGCTTCGCCTTCGCCATCAGCGACAGCAAATCCGCAGCCATTTCGCCCGTCATCCCCCTTCGCAGACGTTCCGCTAACGTCATCGACGACTGTCTCCTCGTTGAACGACGCTCCTTCAGAACCTCTGCTGGATGGTGCTCCACAACCATGTCATCGGCATCTGCGTTGTGGGCAGGGGCCTCGAATTCGGGTTTAGACAGCCACATCGCGAGTTGACTAACGGCATACAACGTGACCGCTTCCAGATGTCTGCGTATCGTTGTGACACTCTCGCGGACATCTAATGCGTTCTGGGTAGGCGTTGCCGGGGTCAGCGCCTGCGCGGCCGGTCTGTCCACGAGGTGACGGAGGACATCCAAAGAACAGTTGCCCAACTCAAGCAAGGTACCCATTGACGCAGACTCTCCAAGGACAACCTTTGAGTGCTGCAACCACACGTCAGTGACGAGTAGTTGAATAAATTCTTGAGAAGCTTACAGGCACGATCAGGGCTTCGTGTATTGGCCAGTCATCTTTCTCTCCAATGAGCACTGTCTCCGCTCCGCCAATGATGCTCAGAGTCGATAGGATCGAACCTGAAAGGCGAAACAGGCGATGGACCAAGCGAGCCAAGAAAGGCCTTTTGAGTGGATCCACAACTTCGGCGGGAGTGTTCACGGACGCATTGTTGTTCTCTGCATCAAATTGGCTGCGTTCATGCGCTGTGATCGGCTCGAAGAGGCTCGCCAAGTGGTTAGGGTGGGTCAAGGAGTAGTTCAGTTGCTGTAACAGTAGCAAGGCGTCATCCGTGAAAGACCGCAGCGCTCGCTTGACCGCATCGCTCCCAATGTCTCCTGGTGCGTTCTGCGCGATTGCATTGAAAAGGTTCACGACCTGCTCCATTTCTTCGATCAGCGGAGAAGATAGCGGCTCGCCAACCGTCCAGGACAGCGTTCGGTGGATTTGGTCCCCGTATAGCTGAACAAGGCCTGCGGCCTCTGCATAGAAGAAATGTCCATGGCGACCGAGCGATGCGACGACACCAGCGATGATGGCCAACATAGAGCAATAAGCTCTGTGCGCAGGACTTCGCTCGCCTGGCATTTCAGGCAGAACAACGTCAATCATTCCTACTCTGATAGCGGTAGTGATAGGGTTCTGGCTATATGCAGCGAGTATTCCTTCGCTTGCGAGCCTCTCCGCAGCCAGTGGGACACTCGCCAATGCCATGTGGAATGCTAGGACGTGAGGCGCATAGAGAGGCTGTTTACGCATCCGAAGTAAGGCAACATCTGCGAGACCGACGAGATCCAAACGGCTGAATAGGTGAAGACTGGTCCGGATTACATCAGTCTCCTGACAGCGGGCAAGCCAAAGCGATGGAGATGGGTTCAGATCGAGCCTGGTGCATTGTTGGAAGACCGCAACGAGTAGCTCCAGGTCCTGGTCAAGGTCGATATCAAGGCCAAGGCTAGCTGTGTCAAACTTGAAGCGGAGGCTGTCAACGACCAGCAGCAGCGTCGTCTCCAGCATCATGGAAACGGACAGGCGCTGCTCTGCCGTCAGAGCCTTTGGACGGCGGACAAGACTCCTGGAATGTCGAGCGCAGAAGTAGATAGTCTGTAGGAGCGGCCGATGGAACGGAACAGTGGCTTGACCCAATAGCGATTTTCCCGGTGGTTGTGATGCGCTAAGAATAATACCACGCACGCTTGCGACCAGGCTAATGAAACTTGCCACTTGCTCCTTCGTGTCGCTGGTGGAGAACCAGATGACTTCGAGAAGAGCCAGAAGAAGCGACAGCCGTGCATGGTGAATCGTCCCCATCATATCCCCGGAACGCTTCTCGACGGAGAGAAGCCCTGAGATGGATGCAGCCAAAGCCAAGAGAGTGGATCGCACCGAAGCAGTTCCACGGAGATATGTGACAAGTTGCAGGAGGAGGAATTGCCACGATTCCGTCAATGTGGTTTGTACATATGTTAGGGAGAGATTGAGATTGACAGACATCAGCTTCTTATGTGCAGCAACCGCGCCTTGTGCCGTGTCACCGAATGAATAAGGCTGCAAGCGTATTTGGAGAAGAGCAGTTGAAAAGGCGAAGTTATCTCCATACTCACGTTCCACGATCGGATCATGCACGCGCAGATGGTCAAGAGTGAGAGTCGGGAAATCGGAGTTGATTTGCTTTGCAAGCTCGTCATGGAGGGAAGGATCGTATGAACTTGTCGCCGCCTCTAAGACAAGCTTCGTCAGCTGATCTTCGGACTTGAACATTGCCTCGATTGATTTGTAGCTAGCAGGCTTCGCAGATTGCTTGTCATCTGGGTGTGACTGAAGGTGCATCCGAATGTCCAAGCTCAAGATATGAGCGGCGTGACACTTCACCGCAGTGCGGTAAGCATAAGAAGAAACCGCCGCATGTAGATCAGAACGCTGTGCTCCATCAACCTCAGCATAGTCTGCAGTCCTATAATCAGGAGAAGGCCCCAGCTCCTTCCCTAAAATTGCGGCAAGATGCTCAAATAGACGAGCGTCCTGACATATTGGCTCCAGGTGTTGTTTATGCTCGTGTGCATGTTCCCAAATCACATCCATGAAACGCAGGAGCGAGGCGAGCAGCTCTGGATTAGGATCCCACAGTTCCTCCCATTGCTGCAGCATGTCGCATGCTAGGGTAACCGCGCTCGTTGACCTGGACTTCGATGCGTCGTTGCCCCCAGTATCCTTCTCCTTGCCCTTTTCTGAGACTTTTGGCATTGGTTCTCGGAAGTGTCCAGTGACAAACAGTCTAGCAAGTGCGGGCTCCTTATCGACGGCGAGAGTGATGAAATTCCACAACGCATGTCGTAGCTGGGGTTCATCATACGGATGCTGCACGATGCGTATCAGTGACGCGACAGTGGCCTCGGGATCTGATAAATGTCCAATAATTGTTGGGGGCGAGCCTTGCGTGGATGCGAGTGATGAGCATAGGGCAAAAAGCACGCGAGTAGCTTCAATAGGCACAGAGGCGCCCGTGCTCCGATCCTTCACATACCCAGCAAGCGCATCGACAGGGTCCACCTTCGACGGACCACCATCAAACGAAGCCACACTCCCTCCAACTTTAGCGCAAAGGGCTTGCTCCAGGAGAGATGGCTCCGTGGACGAGACGAGATGCGGTTTGAAATTGAGCAGAACGCGTGTGAGGCGCAGGTGAGACTCCATGAGGTAGACCAGCCGCCGGGCATCACCATATCGCCGTGCCGCATACAGCATCCCAAGCACAGATCCCGCACCCGTCAACGAAGACACCAGTGGCGTAATGGTGGAGGTCGTTGCTTTAGCCAAGAATGCCTCCGACAATATCTGGCTCAGCGCAGTGAAAGGTCCTTCTTTCAGTGTGGGAGGTGCGTGCAGCATCACCTCCGTATACAGCGACGACATGCGCCGCGCGATCTCGAACCGATCACCTAGCTGTGCGTATTTCCAGCCCACGTGTTCCACCCAGATCTCTGCGTGCACAAAGCGCACAGCTCGCAAGAGCACCTCTTCCTTTACTTGTTGTAATTTCGGGGTGTGCTGTAAGACAGAGATTACGGTTGTCGACGCCTCATTAAAAAGTTGTTGAACGAGATGCAGAAGGGCTAGCGTCATCGTATACTGCCCTGTCAAACGCTCCGCGGTAAGCACGGCAGAGGTTGCACCATTGCTCTTCTCAGATCCGAACAGGGATGCTGTGGAGCGGATGTACAACCAAACACGGGTGGAGTAATGTGGCTGAGCAAGTAATGCTGCGAGAACACTGATAGCTGACGTGATCAGCGGGGCGCGCGGGGCACCCCGCGGCTGCGAGGACGATCGAGAGAGTGCCTCCTCTAGGACTGCTGTCGTGAGTTGGACCAAATCTGGCGGCTGTGCTTCGACCATGGTATGCGCCACAACCGGATCACTGCTCTCAAACGTATCGAGCAGCTCCGCCGCTAGGCCAGGATTGTCCTGCACCACGCTGCGAATGAGATCCAGGATGTCCATGACGATTGCATCGTCTCCTTCGCGATCCATTTCTGCGCCAATGTCCTCTAGCCGGAGAGGGATCGGTCGATGACTACCACGCTGGGAGAACGAGATGTCACCGTGAGGATTACTTGTGCCAGTGAACCTACGCTTGCGATTGACGTAGTCGGTGAGGAACTCGAGTAGTAGCATCCAGCCCGAGTGTTCGTGCTGCCAAGACACTGCAATAGCATCGCCGCCATCACCACTGAGCAGACGACCGATAGTCCTCGGCGGGAGCGTCGTGCCGCCGGGAAGTTTAAGGGCCCGCAGATTGGTGTATATCAGACCACCAGCTACAGACGATGACCCATGACGTTCGGGCATCTTTTCGTACAGCGCCTGTGCACCGTTACTTGCATTCGCAGGGACCACTTGCGTGTAGGTAGGCAGTTGTGCAAGAAAGTCGAACACATAGCGCGTGCACATTTCACGCTCTTCATCGAGGATCCCAGTGTGAGGGGAATAATTTGCAGTCACGAGCGGGTCAGTGTCGAGGAAGCCTGTCGCAGAGAGCGCACGGAGGAGCCGTATCAACGGTCGTGGTTGTACAGGGAATCGAGCACGTGCAACGTCGAGGATCGCGCGGCGTGCATTGCCCCGCACCCAATCTGATTGCCAGAATTGACAGCAAATGCCGGAGACGGATCGGCTTTCGCTGCGGCCAAAGAGCGCGATCCAAATCTCAACGAAATCGTCAAAGTCTGGGATCAGTTCGATTGGAACGCTTTCGACAATCGCAATCACAAGCCCTGCGATAGTTGTCAGCGAAGACGCACAGTGAATGAATGCAACTCACCCTTGAATACCGAACGGTACGCAACCGCGTTAGGGTCCGTGAGTGTTGAGGCCGTCCTCCACGCGATGGACGTGACAAAGAGTGGTGAGGTTGTCAGCAAGGTGAACATTAGTTTAAACAGTCCCACGTCGGGGTCCAGACACGTCCGCGCCATTAGCGTGAATATTGGTTCTCGCTCCCTCGAGTATGCCCTCCCAGAGTGCGGCATAAGCAAGGCGATGAAGTCGTGGTGCGCCTGCGGAAGATCTATCGCCTCGGATGCTGCCTGTGTCACTCGCGAGAGGACGAATGCCCACGCCATGTACGTGCAAGCGTAATGACTGTCTGTGTGTCCCAGGACGAGCTCGTGTATCCGCTTCATCGACTCCGTTGAGGCCCAGTACAGCTTCGTATCTTCTGACTTGGGCATCAACTCAATAGCACCCGGCTCCGCAGCCCTCTCAAGCTCTAGCACTTCGAGGGTGAGCAGAACCCACAGCGCCGCACTATCGCGCTGCAGCTGCACGCCTTCCTCGTCCAGAAGAAGCGTCGAATTTTGCTGTGTAGAACCCAAGTTCGTTTCGTATGCCGTCTCGAAGATGCGTACCACCGACGGCCCGTCGCAAGACGCGTAGCTCCACATGGTCCAGAAAAGCACCTCCAGGAGAACGAGTTGCTCCTTTGCGTTCTGCCGTGCCCACAGTACTGCCTGGCGAGGATCCGAGCTAACTCGCTCGGGCAGAGGCGCCTTCGTCTTGCTGGCGTACTCCGCTAGCAGTGCCCGCGCGAAAGCGTGGCCGTCCGTCAAGATCCGAGACAAGAGATCACCAGCAATGCCATGGATGGGGTCCGCCGCGTTTTCGTTTGCCCGGAAGAGCGGTATGAGCGTTCGCAAGAGGAAGAGCCGTTCGGAGTAATAGAACGGGGTGATGGCCTCGACCACTTCATCAATGATATTCGCGCCTTCGCCGCCGGCGCTGTCGGGCAGGCCCTCGTTATATAGGAAGGAGCGCAGGAGCACAAGCGCGGCAACTTCGTCTATCTCGAATCGCGTGCTGATGGCGAACGCGCAGTCGCGGTCGGCAGGCTCGACACGGATCGCCACACCGTCGCCGAGGGTGACACTTCCCGACTCCAACCTCTTGCGGGACCCAGAGGAGGGGGCGCCAAAAGGCGTAGATACATTCTGAATGTGAGAGATGCGAGGCTTGACAAAGTCGGCGAGCTCTGAAGGAGTGTTACCCTCGAGATGGCCGGAGAGGAAGGAGTGCAGCTGTTGGTATGTTCTGGGGAACGTCAGAATAGTTGTATGAGAACAATAGAGTATAGACTTACATATCAATCAGGTCAGAGCGTTTTGACGATTCTCCCGACATGCTGAGCCGCGAAAATGGGTGGGAGGAGGAGGACTACGCGCTCTGCAGCGGACAAGGTTGCAGACAAGGCGCGACTGTCACGTGATTGAAGCCTAGTTGTTACCCGAATACATGACTTACTTCGGGTATAAACGCTCCTTGTTAACCAACTGCCTGGTGGTCTCCTCGCTATGTCGCAGGCAATTGGCAACGTCTGTCATTCAAAAACTCATGGTCTACCATTGACTCATACCAGCTTGATTTCACAGACAGCCCTAGCATATGCCCGAGTCTGGCACCATGCTGATGCTTCCGAGCGCGTCCTCGGCAAGCTCGCGGAGCGCATAGCGATCGTGCTCATGGGCAAGCACAAGCCAATATTCGATCCTAGCGGTATGTACCTGGACACTGTTTCTACTCATACTTACCGCTAATGACGTCGCCTCTTTGATTTCCAGCCGACTGCGGAGACTACGTCGTTGTAACGAATGCTCGGAAGGTGAAGGTGACGGGGAACAAGGCGCAGCAGCTCGTCTACCGACATCACACGATGTACCCCGGAGGTCTCAAGGAGATTCAGTACAAGGACATGATGGCCAAAAAGCCTGACGAGGTGTGTCTTACTCCTGTGTCCGTCCTGCCCGCCACCCATCTTGTGTACTGCCCAGATCATTCGTCAAGCGGTGTCAGGCATGTTACCAAAAAACAAGCTCCGAGAGCGGAGACTTCAAAGACTGCGTATTTTTGAGGGGGAGGACATGGGTATATTCCAGCACAACATCTTGAAGCGGTGGGAGGACGGCACGCTACATTAGACTTATCCGTGCCGTCTTGACGATTCGTGAGTAGACGGATTCATTTGCATAATTATCACTTCGAGGATATGCTGGAACTGTCGCTCCTGTTCTCCCTACCTTTTTATCCATTTCAGACTTCCTCGTTGTCAATAACTCTTAGGATATGCGCATGATGCCTGCCGACCGTGAAAGTGCACAACAAACCATGCATACAACGCGAACTAGTCAGATTCAGGAACGAAGTCCTCGTCATCAGAATCCTCGTCCCCGTACGGGACAACATCCAAGGGCAGGACAACGCCTCTCGTTCGACGCCGGTTGGCCTCTGCGTTCATCTCTATTCTGTCATCTGCAGCTTCGGAAGCTCCTTCTTCCTCATCAGTCGTCTCGTCCTCCTCGTCAGAACCGAACACGCCGTCCTCGCTCTTGTCCTCGCTTTTGTGCCCGCGGGAGCGCCGTCGTCGTTTACCCCCCTGCGTGTGCTCTTGAGCTGCTTCTGCTTCCATCGCCGCCTCCCACTCCTCAGGCACGTCTCCGGAGAACATCTGCGCGATGTGCTCCTGAACAAGCATGCCTAGCCAAAACATTAGCATCACCACAGTATGTATGCACTGACAATACACACCGAGAGCCATCAATGCAGAGCCGTCAAAGATCTTGTACATGTCGACTTTGGTGGGCCGATCACGTCGAGAGCGACTATGACCCCAGCGTCGCGTCGCCTTGCCGTCCGCGTCTTCGTCTTCATCTTCGTCTTCATCTCCGCCTGATTCTTCGCGGTCCTCATCCTCAACGTCGACATCATTCTCGACATCATCAGAAGCGTGTCCGTGTTCGGTGTTTGCAGTTCCAGGCTCCTCGGACTGGTCGCGATTGCCCTCAGGCCGACCCCGTAGTCTCTGCAGCCGCCTAAGCCTCTTTTGCTGCCTCGCTTCACGGGAGGCATCATACAGTTGGCCCATCGCAGTGTAGTATGTCGTGGCGAAGTAGTGTACACATTTCAGGAGATCCTGAAGGGTATGTACGTCAGCAGGCCGGGATCTCGCTGAGAAAGGAGACATACTGAGGACGGGACGGGTAGCTCGGCTAGCCCATCATATTGACCGTATGAACCACTTCTGGACAGAGCGTTGGTGTCGTCCGTGGGTACCTGCGCGGATGTAGTATTTCCCAGGAAACTGTAGTCCTCGTGGAAACGCCGTCTCTTGTGCGCGCGGGTACCTTTCGGCTCATGTCCTGCTTTCCGCTTTCCTTTCGCCCTGCTCTTGCGTGAGGGGCCAGCCTCATATTCGCTACCGTCGCTGCTACTGTCGTCCTTAAGCTCAAACTCCTCACCGTGATCACACTGACCATTGCCGCTGTTCTCGTCTTCCTCTGTGCGCACTGTCCGCCGCACTTTCACCGCACCAATCCCGCCGGCGTCGCGAGCAATCCAGTTTCCCCGCGTGTCGAGCGCAACATAGTTTGCTTTGCGTAGGCTGCGGTTCGCGTCTCTGTTCTGCACACGTGAACCGTCGGGGTGCAAACGAAGGGCGGAAAGATCGTGGACAGTGCTATAGCGCTTCAGCGACATCACAAAGCACAGCTTGAGGCTTGAGTATTATGCGGGAATATAAGTTAGGGTGCTGTGGTTTCCCAGTTTGCGAGTGTGAGCTGTCGACAGCTTGTGGTTCGACGTTCGAGTTTACGTACGGATGATGTTCACGGCCAATCGGAGTGAGGAACGGAGAGTATGTGCTCGTGTCTGGCCGAACAGACGCCGGCCGACTTCTCGACGACCCTATTCCTCCTCAGCGGTTGCTTGCATACAACGCTCTCACCCTCCTTATTCTTGTTTTTTCTCCTCTTCTGCCTGCTCTGAAATATCTCGTTCCCTCTGACTGTTTACATCTAAAACACCCAACGGACTGGACTGGAATCCACATAAGCTACACAGATCGGCTAGAACGCTCAATCGACACTTCTCTACGAACCGGCATATGCAGCCATGCCGGACTACGTTTACGCGCTGCACGAGTTTACCCCGGAGAACCCGGACGAGATCTCGCTCAAGGTTGGCGAGCGAATCGAGGTCGTAGAGAAAGATGACGAGTATGGTGATGGCTGGTGGCAAGTGAGTTCGCCTTCTTGGTCTCTTGACGGTGTCCCGCGCTCGACGTGTCCGCAATGAATGGCTATTGCACTAAGCATAGCGGCTTTGTGTATGGACGTATGGTCGAGGCTCAGGATCAACATTGCTGGGTTCGTGTGGGGGTCCTGTCCATGCAGCCTTACTCGCCGAATATTGCTCTCGAACTATTCTCACTCGTCTTGGACAATCATGAACTGCGATGCATTTGCATATATTGTTGCTGCTTTTGTCTCTGACCACCTTAAGTTGCGACGTTCATTGTTACGAAGTTTCAGCCAAGGGCTGGTCCTATCAATCGGTCCCTTGACCTTCGCGAAGCGAAGCAATTGCGTCTACTGTAATCACACAGGACTGCAGGGGCGATACCCATTTCTTCACTGTGAAGAATGCAGAACAACAAGCCTTGTCTCGCTTGTGACTCTAAATAGCGCCGTTACCATGCGGCCAAGTCCTCTTATGCAGGCGAACGAGCTAACCATGTTTTCTGCACGTTCACCATCTACTCTCATATCTCCTACTTTATAGTGTCAATATGTTTCTGACAACCATCAACTCTATCTACCTTGCATTTCAGGGCCGCAACTCTTCTGGGAAAGTCGGCTTGTTTCCGCAGAGCTATACATCCGCCAAGCCTCCAGCTGCCCCGCCGGCTGTTGTTGTGTCTAATAGCACGAATGCCTCATCTTCCTCATCTGCAACTGACAGCACAGCGCACATCCCTGGTGCACTTCCCACAGCGACGCAAGCAGTGCCCGCCACTGCGGCAAACGGGTCACAAACCAACGATGCGCGTGCTTCGCACGACGGGGAAGTGATGCAGGCGACCATGACAGACGTCCAGCAAGCCATCGAACAGCTAGGGCACCGTGGAGGCGACGATGCCTCGCGGTCATTCAGCTTCGCAAGCTCGCATTCTCAGTCAACCGACCACTCCGAAGCAGAAGACGAGGAGGACGGCGGGGATGAGCACTCGTTTGGGTGGTCGCGCGGCGCGCGCAAGAAGCTAGCCATGCGCGCCGCACAAGAGAACGCGGAGCGCGAGGCACGGGAGAAGGAGGTCGCTGGGCAGAGCGCGAATCGCCTCAGCAGCGGCCCGCCAACGCCTATGCGGCTAGTGGCCCCGCCGATCGACGTAGAGGTGAGCGATGAAAGTGAGGATGAGGATGAAGACGAGGACGAGGAACACATCCGCGAGCGCAGCCCACGCAGCGTCGGAACGGTTGTCTCGCAAATACCCGAGGAGGACGAGGAGCAGGGCTCGACGGCGCGCATGTCGCCGCCCTACACGCCCATGCACTCGCGTAGCGCCAGCGCCGCCATGGACTTCCGCAGGTCGCCGCCGCCGATGATCATGGTGACGGAACAGGCGCAGAGCCTGCGCGCGCGACCGTCGCGGGACAGCACGGCGCACATTATCCCGTCAGAGGACTTCATCGTGCCGTCGCCGGGCGCGGATGAGACGGACATCCTGACTGCGCGGGCGGAGCGGGGAACGTTCCCGCAGGCGCAGCTCGCGACACCGCCCGGGCACGAATCGCCGCCGCCATCGCCGCCAGTCATGAATATTGTCGAGCCGTCGCCTGTCAAGGAGGACGACATCCTGACGGCGAGAGGGTTTGCACGGCTCGAGAAGGCTGCGTCTGTGCCGCCTTCATCGTCTTCCCCATCTGCGTTTGCTACACCGTCGGGGTCTGTATCCGCCTTAGGCACTACCGTGCTCCCAAGTGTTGCGCCGTCGGCGAGCGCGGTGGACGTTGCGGAGGCTGCACAGCTGCCGTTTGCGGTGTCGGTTCATTCCGGGCTACCATCCCCAAGCGCCTCGTCGTTTGCAGGTTCGATGAACACGGGTATGCAGCAGACACTAACACCTCCCATGTCTGCGGTGGGAAAGCCTGGGGGCGCTGAAGCAAGGGGGTTAAGTGTGGGGACGACAGAAAGTGGTAAGGGCAAACCTGATGGCCATCCATCCGAGTGGACTGTTGACCAGGTCGTGGAGTGGCTCCGGTGGAAAGGCTTCGACGAGGGTGTATGCGAGAAGTTTACCGGTGATTGTCCATTCCCTCTTAGTACCATTTCCAGAATCCTCACATTACTTGACAGAGCAAGAGATCACCGGAGACGTGCTATTAGAGCTCGACGCGAACGTGCTCAAGACCGAGATTGGCATCGTCGCCTTCGGAAAGCGCGCACGGATCGTGAACGCGATTGCCGAGTTGCGCCGTCCGCCGTCTGTCTTCGAATCGCCGTCGCATACGCCCGCGCCCGTGATGACGCCGCGTTCGCAGACGGCCCAGTCGCTGCCCTATTCGCATTCGCACTCGGCCAGTATGCAAAGCTCTGCCCACACACATGGGTCTTCAGCGTGGGCATACTCCCCAATGTATGCTCCTAGCGCTCAGGTGCCTCTCAGTCCAGGACTGTCTGCTGTAGGCGGTGACAGTACAGCAAAGCATGGGTGGCCTTCTAGCGAGTCTGAGCCACAGGAAAGCGAGAAGGAGAAGGAAGGGCCGGCAATGGGCCTTGGTCTTGGTCTCCAACCTGCTCTGCCAATTAATGGCAAGGACACGGTGAGTTGTTACCTGCGAATATGGTCCGAGCGCTGACATCTGATCATAGAAATCACGCCCTGCTCAGCTTGTGCTGGCACTTTCTCCCAGCGACGGTGCAATTGCAACGACTGCTGTAGGCAGCAGCGCGTCACCGACCGTGGACGAGGATCGCGGCGCGATGAGCGAGGTAATGTACCAGCTGCGCTAAACCGGTAGTCTGCCTCATTAACGTTAGACGCCTGTATCGTAGAGTGAATCAACACTGCCCGAAGCGAAACACAAACGCAGACTCTTCTGGCGCAGCGAAACAGGGTCTGTTAAGGAGAAGACCTCACTCCATGAGACTGCAAGTCGGACATCGAAGGACGTCGCGGTCCCACACACTCCACCATCCGCGTCCACCGTTCCGTCCACTCCTGCATCCACTCTGACATCTCCCACGGACTCCAAGTCGGAACCGACAGACGAAGCAGCGCCTTCTATTCCTACCAGACGGACGTCAAAGAAGCGCGAGAGCGTGGACGGACGCAAATCGTCAGACCGCCTGAGTCTGTTCGGGTCCGGCTTCTCTGGGACGCTCGGGAAGAGCGGCAAGAGCAGGAAGCCGCCGCCGAAACTCGCCACGTGCGTAGATCGTCCGTCCCGCGCGATCTTGAGGTAATGTTGACCGCTTGATCTGCAGGACGACCGAGAAGAGCGAGGACGAGAAGCACACACATCATGGCACGTTCTCCAGGATCCGTGAGCGGCGGGCGTCCAGCAGGCCGTCTACCGCGGACGGGGCCGCTAAGGAGAAGAAGGCACCGCCGCCCTCCATCAAGGAGGTGAAGGAGCCCAAAGAGAAGGCGGAGAAGACCGCGGAGAAACCCAAGGAGAAGGCTGAGAAGGAGAAGACTAAGGAGAAGGACACGGCCGTCCTGCGGAAGCGCACGGTGTCGACTGCTGAGGTGCCCAAGATCGATGTAGCGGCCATGGCGTCCGCTGCTGGCGCACCAAAGCTGAAGCCTGGGCAAAGCATCCTAGAACAGATCGGCACGCCGGACTATGAGGGTTGGATGCGCAAGAAGGGTGACCGGTACAACGCGTGGAAAACTCGCTATTTTGTGCTCAAGGGTCCGCATCTTTACTGCTTGCGGAACAAGAGCAAGTCGGTGCGTAGTTCCGCTACTGGTCTCGTGTGGTTCTCAGGTCCTGATTTGCCTAATAGGAGAGCAAGATCAAGGGTTATATCAACATCGTGGGTTACAGGGTCGTTGCGGATGAGACCATTGATCCGGGGCGGTATGGCTTCCGCATCGTCCATGATACCGACAAGACCCACTACTTCAGTTCTGAGGAGAAGCCAGTCGTTCGAGAGTGGATGAAGGCGCTCATGAAAGCGACAATCACGCGAGACTATTCCGGTACGTATGATGGAGCTGTATACTTGATCTGGCACTCACGCATCGGGGACTTAGACATTGTCGTGTCTTCATGCAACATTCCGACGATCCCGCTCACCGTGGCCCAAGCGATGAACCCCGCACCTCGACCGCCTTCGCCAGGCGCGCGCGCGGCTACCCAGCGTGCAATGCGCCCAGATAATCCACACCAACTAACCCAGCGTGATGCGCAAGTTCTACTGATGGGTGTGCAGGCCAAGGACAAAGGAGCGCTAAGCGTCGAACGCGCACGGCTGGACTCATTCTTCACGAACGACACCGTCTCGATTACGGGTACGGAGCCGGGATCACCTAAGTTGCCAGTCGCTGCCAAGGTCCCACCACGGCCATCGAGGGAGCTAAGACGGCTGAGCTCACAGCCCGAATCTGTAAGGACATGTGTTATTTTGTGATTCTCGATACTGAGTGGACCGCGCGACTATGTAGCAATCAGCCGTTGACGCTGACCTGATGGAATGGGCCAATGCTCATCTCCCGACTTCTCTGCAAATGCTAGATCCCACAGGACCTATTTTTGGTGGCCTGGCTCTTCTCCGGTTGGCAGAGGACATCAAGGGCAAGCCAGCATCACCGCGGGTGCCTGATTCTGCGTTCCCGTCGGGTCCCAATGACGACAAGCTAGACGGACTATTCAAGCTGTTCGACTTCCTGCTTGACAACGACGTGAAGATGGGCACAGTCAGTATCAACGATATTCGTCAGGGGAGGAAGGACAGGATCGTGCAGCTGCTACGTGCGCTGAGAGCGTGGGAAGACAAGCGGAAGGCGATCGCCCAGTCACTTGGTCCCGGCGCAACACCGGTTGGTGCGTACATGGCCATGGCGGGTCCAATTAGCTATGGACCCAAGGCATAAGCTATTCCAGATGCTTTCTCATTGCATATTGCTTTCTGCTATGATGTTTTGTATCTTATTGGACACTTACTAGCCTGTATACGTATAAGCATGATACCCCTTGTTGAAGTTCCTTTCAATCTTGGAAGTTAAGTAGTGCGCTGACCAAGTGATCGGGAGCAAACCCGCGAGTGTTCGGTAGATGCCGCTCTTCTCAAAGTTCTTCGATTGGCGATGTCAAAAATAAGTCGGAGCGTGGTTGCAACTTGCCAAGTACTAGCTCGTTCACTCTGCGCAATGTGAGATTTATGAATGCGGAGTTCATTGTTATGCAGCCACCGTCGTGTTTGTGTGAGCGAATCTTGCAAAGCATGTGACATACGTGACGACCACATGACCGAGACATATGGAGGCGCGTCCTGCCCTTTCTTTCCTCCTCAGTCGAGTATTACGCGACTGAGGGTAAGTACATATTTTTCTACCTTATTTTATGTAGCTTATATGATTTTAGGTCTCGTAAGTAGTATACAGTTGTGATACAGAGCCTCGGCAGAATTCTCGGCGATGGGCACTCAAATTCTCCAAACGGCTCTCCTCACGGGCAGTTGGGGTAAGCAGCTCGGGGATCCATCATTGGACCCCATAAAACAAACGGCAAAAAACGTCGTTGATGGGGCGTTTCGCGATGTGCTTACGTCTCCTGCCGCTCGAGATCTGTTTACGGCGAAAGTAAGCGATGAAGAGATCTCGAATCGACCCTTAGATGAGTGGTTCGGCTTCGCCTCCTCCACAGCAGACATTACAGAAGACGACGAATTCCTTCGCCTATGCTGTGCAGTTGCACTCCTCCATGCCTTCGTCCAGGCGAACTGGACGGGCCCCGATCTGGACCTGAAACCCTTGGATATAATTTCCGGCTCTGCAGTGACCGAAGATCTACTCCATCAAAAGTCAATCACCGAGCTCGCGTATGGCGGCGAGCCCGCCTACCATCTCGCTCAAGTACCTGTCTTCCTTCGCCTAGCCAAACTCCTTCTCGATCTGCCTTATAGACACTGTAAGTCGATTCCATGGTGGCGCCTTCGCGCCTGGCTTGTCCATGAGCAGGTCCTCGACGAACCCGTTGCCGTCCCTTCCGATCTCCTGGTTTCTGTAGAGCCGTTGCTGCAAGACTTTGCGTCTCATCCTGATCTCGCGGGCCGCCTCATCCTCGAACAGGGGCTGCTAGAGCATCATCTTGGGCATGACAAAGCAGCGGCCGATTATTTCATCCGTGCCGCCCGCGCCACCCAACTAGAATACGAGCTCACAGGAGCCCTCGGGAAGCGCACAAAATTCCAACAAAACGATATCACACAGCTCGTCCTCCTTGCCGAATCTCGGACGAGAGAAGACGACGAATCTGCAGCCGATGAGTCAAATCCCGGAGATGCCGTACCTTCTGCTGCTGTTTCAGAATCTGTCGCTGACTCCTCAAAATCAGTCATGCCCGATACACTGGCCCTAAACGACGATACGCTGTTAGAGCGGACAGAATTTACATCTTCGTCTGCAGGCTCCCGGCTCGCACGCATCGACCCGTCCTCACAATCACCCCTCCATCCTCTAGACCAATGTATACTCCTGGCTCTATGTCTGAACGTCCGGAATACTTCTCCGTCACACGGTCTCACCGCGGAGCAGATGTCACCGTACGTGTCGCGCGTCATCTCTCATCCCCGCAATTGGTCTGTGCACACCATGGCGCTCCTGCTCCGTTCCCGCCTCGAGGCGCACCGCACACGAACGGTCGAGCGGTCGACGCTGCAGCTGCAGGCACTCGTAGACCAGATGCCCACCGCAGACTCGACGATCACCGAACGCCTGCGATACTTCCACGCGATCCCGCTCCCGAGCAAGTGGGAGATGGAGCGCGAGCTCGCGCTGCGCTTCCTGTCCATCGGCGTCGTCAAGTCGGCGCTCGAGATCTTCGAGCGGCTCGAGATGTGGGAGGAAGTCGTCAAGTGCTGGCAGAGCATGGAGCGCCGTGACAAGGGCATCGCTATCGTCCGTGATTTGCTCGAGGGCCGCAAGGCAGAGGCAGAGACGGTCATCTCGCGGGAGAAGACATCCTCTGAGCGGCGCAGGCAGGTCCTGGACGCCACGCGCAAGGCCAAGCTCTGGTGTCTGCTTGGCGATCTGGAGCCTGAGAATGCGCTGGAGCACTACAACCGCGCGTGGGACACCTCGCAGGAATCGTCCGGCAGGGCGATGCGGTCGCTCGGCGGCTACTATTTTGCACGCGCAGACTACCCCAATGCCATTACCTGCTTGCACCGCGCCGTCTCCATAAACCCGCTGCTCGGCCGCTCCTGGTTTATACTGGGCTGTGCCTATGTTCGCGTCGAAGACTGGGAAGGCGCCCGCTCGAGCTTCACTCGATGCGTCACGATTGATGATGAGGATGGCGAGAGCTGGAACAACCTGGCCAGCGTCTACCTGCGCATGGGCGAGGCAGGAAAAAAAATCGAAGCCGAGGACAACGCGGACGGCGAGGTAAATTTAACCATCGCGCGTTTGTTTTGAAATCGGCTGACCGGTTTCCGTCTAGCTGGAAGAGCAGGCTGCCCAGCTGACGGTGTCAGATGACACGAGCAAAAGCATACCATTCGCGAACAAGATGCTGGCCTTCCGTGCCCTCAAGCAGGGCCTGAAGTTCGGCTACGATAGTTGGCGCATGTGGTCGAACTACATGATTGTGGCGATGGACGTAGGAGAATTGAATGAGGCGTGCCGTGCCCTCGCCCGCGTCGTCGAAGAGCGGAGCGCCAAGGACGGGGAGCAAAGCGTCGATGAGGACGTGCTGGAACGTCTGGTGGATGCGGTCACCAGGGCTCCCGCTAACGCCAACGACGCCGTCGAGGGTGACATAAGTACGGGAACCGTGGCCAGGAATCCGAACGAGGGGCACGGGCTATTAAGACAGGTCACTGACCTCTTCGAACGCACCATCCTGCCCCGCGTCTCTTCGTCGCGGATATTCCGGGCCCGAGCGCGGCTGTTGACCTGGCAGGGCCTCTGGGAAGAAGTCGTGAACGCCTATCTGGAAGGCTATCGGTGCAGCAGCGCGGGCACAATGGAGAAGGGGGAGACGGACGTAGGGAAGTGGCGCGAGGCGGTCGAGGAGGTGGTGGACATCGCGGACGTGCTGACGAATTTCGGGCCGCGCGTGGAGGGCTTCAACTGGAAGCTGCAGGCGCGGAGCATCGTCCGGACGTTCATGGGGCGCACGAAGGACTTCGAAGATGAGCCGGAGTGGGCGCGGCTCACAGTCTTGCAGGAAGAGATTCGGAAGGAGGAGTGAGCGGCGGCGATGGTGGGGGACACCGTGTGGGTGGTGGGTTGCTTCCATTGTGGATCAGGGTGAGGTCGGCAGGCAGGCCGTGACTGAGTGCAGTAGAGTTCGTGATGAAATGACATGAGGCCCATTGAGAAGATGCACGAGTGCAGGGCGAGTTCACCCGGTGATAAGACTTGCCGGATGCGTTGCATTTGCATTATAATAGGAATGGGCATGGGGATGGGCATGCAAAAACGAAATCTCCGACCGGATCGAAGGGAACAATCAAATACGATAAAGCAGGGACGCGAGAGGGTCTTGCCGCTGCGATGCAGGACACAATGTGCAGGTCACCAATTCAAAATCGAGGCGATGCGGTTGAGCGTGAGCGTTGTTACGATCTCTGTGATGATGGCAAGCGCGGAGAGCCTGACGGTCAGGCGGGCGTGGAACTCGTCCTGGAGCTGGCTGGTTTCCCATATTGCCACGGTGCTTCCCTTACTATCGATGCACTGCGGCAGGGTCTCAGCATTGGAAGGGGCAACAGTTGGGAGAAGAGCACCGATCGGACGCACCTCCAGTCCTTGGGGAGCAATCTTCCATTTGTACTCCTTCCCGTTCTGGGCCACGAAGTAGCGTGAGCTTAATGGCAGATTAGGGGTCGTCAGACATGCGGAGCCGATGAGGGCGGAATCTTGAACATACGTGCTGTTCTCCCTCTTCTGGCGGCGTGCGCTCGACATTGACTGGTGCGGGCTGTTACCGTAAACCAGGTACCCCGGTGAGCGAGTGGGTCCAAAGTACAAGTATGAGTTGCTGGGCCCCATAACTTCTGTGTGTAGCTGTGCCCATGGTGCTTCGCGAGTAATTCTCATAATAAGGTTAGGGTCCTCCTCAACCTGTGAAAGGGTCACAGCTTAGAATAATCCCGACCCTAGACAGTCGGCCGCCGCACCATAGAGCTACATAACAGCCGTTCGATAAATGACCTAATGGTAGTACAAGAAGTAAGAATAGACTTACACCGTAAAGGCTCGCCGTCGTTCGCTGTCTTCGAACCGCGCATTCCACGGGTCAGCACTGTACTGGAAGAGCACATATGACGCGGACATGAAGTCTGTGGAAAGGAATGCGCTTTAGTGGGAATTACGGGTTGCTCATATTTCACCATGTTGGTATCTCCAAGTTCTGAACAACGGATTCCCGTTTGAGCCCACAGCCTCAGATCTGGCTAATCCACGTGCGAGCCACGAGGACGTCTTACGACAATCGATTGGTCGACTGAATCCTGGATCAACATCATGCATCTGTAACGCGAGCCACAAATTATCGTGCGACACAAGAGCCCCCATTATTACCCACGCTTACTCCCATAGTGCGCCAGAACGTATACCAGAGGGACCATGGTCGGGAGTTTTGCCATGGCACGACATACCTTTTCATTATCAAAGCGTCAACAAACCGATAATCAGCAGACTGAGATCCCGCCTCAGGTTTGCATCATTATGCCGCTGCGATCATGGAGACCACGTAAAATTATACGCAACTGTACATACAAGATCCCATCTGCGTTCGAGTTAGATCGGGCATGAGCAGATATTGCGGAGCTTTATATTAGCGCACTTACGGTGCACAGCCCTCACAACATCGAATTCCAATAATTTACGACATCCATGCCATACCTTCACATCAGCACGCCACATGTGGTCTGTGGTCCAGTCCTGGAAGCGCGTCCGGGTAGGTATCGCATATTCTCATGCTCAATCATATACTGAAAGATGGTGTCAACGAACACGCATTCAGTAGTCGGTCAGAGAGCCCACCATGCACAATCCCTGCATCACATCATGATAGATGCATCAACGGGCGTGAACAACGGCAGCGGACATTCGTACCGTAGAACAAGGTCCAGACGAGGACGAACGAGAACATATTGTCTTGACCAGGGTTCACAAGTTCCCACCAGCCCCCTGGGACATATTTCCCCGGGCGCCCCTTGCACTTCACGTAGATACACGCGGAAGTGAGCAGGGTCGAGAGGATGAAGAGCGCGAAGCCAAGCGTGTTCTCAAGACCAAGGACACCGGCGACAGCGCCAGCAAAGCATGCTGAGAGGAACTTGACAGTGTACAGTCGTGCGTTGTTATACTGAACGTTCGGCGGGAAGAGCAGCTGTGCAGCGATGTCTGGCGTCGCGGACATGGTCGTCGGGGGAGAGCTGAAACTCAGCCGGCGCAAGCGGGTGACACGGAATGGTCACGTAATCACAGATGAGTCACCCCTTTGGTCACAACACAGATCGGCCCTGTGACAAGACTGATCAGCGTCGACTCAAAGCGATCAGCCACTCGCCGCACCTGCCAGGCCTCCTCCAAGACCGCCAGAATTTCTGGCCCCTCTCCATGCACGATTTCCGAAAAATAAATGTCGGCGTGCTCGGCGCAACGGGCACTGTCGGACAGCGTTTCATTACCCTCCTCGCCGACCATCCGTTCTTTATTCTCCATGCCCTTGGTGCATCGCAAAGATCAGCCGGCAAGCCCTACCCTGCCGCGGTGACTTGGAAGCAGACAAAACCAGTTCCTGCTGTTGTGCGCAACCTCGTTGTACGAGAATGCAAGCCCGAGTTCTTCACAGAGTGCGAAATTATCTTCTCTGGCTTGGACGCCGACGTCGCAGGCCCGATCGGTGAGTCATTTATGAGTTTTCGATGTCTACATGCGCTGAGGGTGTGGTGTAGAGGAGAGCTTCAGGTTGGCAGAATTTGCCGTATTTTCCAACGCGAAGAACTATCGCCGTGACCCACATGTTCCGCTCATTGTGCCCCTAGTCAACTCCTCCCACATGGCTATGATCCCTCAGCAGCGTGCACTGCACACACCGCCACTCCGCAAAGGATTTATTCTCACAAATGCAAATTGCTCCACGACTGGCGTAGTCGTGCCACTCGCTGCACTCGAGAAGACGTTTGGGCCAATCGAGTCGTGTATGGTCACGACAATGCAGGCCATCTCTGGCGCGGGCTATCCTGGGCTGCCGAGCCTGGACATCATGGACAACGTCGTGCCATACATCTCCGGCGAGGAGGAAAAAATAGAGTGGGAGATGCTCAAGATCCTCGGCGGGCTCACGGAGGGGGACGACGGGAACAAGGCGTTCGACATGCACGCGAAGCAGCCGCTGCGCGTCTCCGCGATGTGCAACCGCGTGCCGGTCATCGAGGGGCACACGGAGTGCGTGTCGGTGCGGTTCGCGCGGCGGCCACCGCCCAGCCCGCAGCAGGTGCGCGAGGCGCTGCTCGCGTACACGTCCGACGCGTGGACGATGTCGTGCCCGTCCGCGCCGCGGCACACGGTCTTCGTGCACGAGGAGCCGGACAGGCCGCAGCCGCGGCTGGATCGGGACTATCAGGCGGGCGCAGGCGTGAACGTCGGACGCGTACGGCAGTGTCCCGTGCTGGACATCAAGTTTGTTGTGCTCGCAAACAACGTCGCGATCGGCGCGGCGACGAGCAGTATCCTGAATGCGGAGCTGGCAGTGTGCAAGGGGATAATCTAAAGAGACGCAGCATGAATAGAGAAAGGGTACATGTACAGTTAATGAGAGACAGTGCGCGGCTACAGCGAGTTGGTTGCTGAGCGCTGAACACTGATTTTGCCTGCGTGGATGTGTGCCATACTTGAAAGCTCGAGTCAGACTAGCGCTCGCCGCGTACATGATCGAGAGTTGATCGAGATCGGCGAATGTAAACTGACTTTGTTGCGGCTGTTGTTTTCGTATCAACCTCCGTGACTGCTCTTTCTTTTCCGCCTCCATCATGGCCGCACCCTCAACGTCTGCAGCAGCAGCCTCGACCGCCGAGCAGGATGCCCTCCGCGCGTCCACCTTCCAGCGCCTGCACCCCAAAGTCTACCTCGAACGCTTCCTCGCCGAGGGCGTCCGCCCCGACGGCCGCGAGTTTGGCGAGTGGCGCGACGTCTCCGTCAATGTAGGTCGGTATGTCCGCCGCGCTTCTCCGCGCTGCACCGCTCACCGCGCCCCGCAGGATCCATATCCACAGCAGACGGCTCTGCGCTAGTGCGCATGGGCGACACGACCGTCGTGTGCGGCGTCAAAGCCGAGATCGCGGAGCCTGAACTTGACAGCCCGGGGGACGGTTTCCTCGGTACGCTCTCTTGCTCATGGGTGTCCAACCGCTCATATGCTATCGTGTGCACTGCAGTACCCAACCTAGACCTTCCCGCCATTTGTCATCCAAAGTTTAAGCCCGGCCCGCCAACAGAGGAAGCGCAGGTGCTCTCCGACCGGCTGAATGACGTCCTCGTCGCGTGAGTATCTCTACCCCTGTGCGCGCGGAAACCAGCCCTTGCTGACGCAAGGCGTATGCCGTGCAGGTCAGGCATCGTCCCGCTCCCTTCCCTCTGCATCGAACCCGGCAAGGCGGTGTGGGTGCTCTACGTCGACGCGACGTGCATCAACTACGACGGGAATGCGTTCGACGCGACGCTCCTCGCGATGGTCGCGGCCCTAAGAAACAGCACGTACCCGTCTCATTTCCCACCTCCACGTACTGGCTGACAGTGGCAACCAGCACGCCTCCCAAAGGCGCGGTACGATGAGGAAACGGGCCGCACGGTCTGCTCACGGATGGAGCGCATACCGTTGCCGGCGCCGCGCCTGCCCCTGTCGATGTCCTTCGGCATCTTCGACGCGTAAGCCCCGTCCCCAGTCCTCACACGAAGCAAAGCGTGCTAATAGGCAAACAAACAGCACACATGTCCTGTCTGACCCGACGTCGTTCGAGGAGCCCCTGCTAGACACAACCATCTCAGTGGCGGTGGACGAGGCTGGCGGACTCGTCTCCGTGACGCAGCTCGGTCTGGGCATTGTCGGGAACCAGAGCATCTTGATGCAATGTATAGCTGCTGCCAAAGAACGGCGGTCAGAACTCGGCAAACGCGTGTCCAATACATCGTGATTGTGATCCTTCATCTGTGTAGGACCTGATGTTAGTCGACGACCACAAAACACCGAACAGAGCAGAGAATCGAGACCGAAATATCAGATTACTGCTCCTTTGTACAGTAATTACAACATGCTCTAGACCTATGTCAACAAGGGGTGCGTCAATATACGGGTTGTACAGAATAAGTTACAGCACAAAACGCGGTCTACTGCCACAGATCACATTGACGACGCGGCTCTATTCGCGCCACGATTGAGAGCGACGTAGCCCTCGATGACGCCCATGAGGTTTCCCGCACCTGACGCCTTCTCGCCCTCGGGCAGCCACTCGCCGTTGTTCACGCACAGCACCTTCATCCGCTCCGCGTAATTGAGATCGGGGAGAAGCTTCGGCGTGATGAGGAAGTACTGCCCGCTGTCCGGCTTGCAGGTGACCTCGACCAATGAGTTGTGTACCGCACGCTCGGCACGCTGGTCCATTCCCTGTGTGTTCGATGTCAACATATGCATGCAAGGCCAGATCTATCATGATACGCGTACTTGATTGATCTCATCTACGAGCGAGAACGGAGCGCGCGCCTCCTCCGTTAGGCTCATGAGATAAAGTATGGTCGTGAGAGAGCGTTCCTAGCACATGACGGTGAGCAATTTGACCGTGCTTCCACGATGGCAGTGCCATTCACTCACCCCTCCTGATTGTCGCTCTCCTGTCAGAAGCTGCAACTTCTCGTGATCACGGAATTTGACCAAGATATCAATGGCCCATTTGTCGTAATCCTCGTGCGGACGAATTCTGACCTCGCCGGCACAGCCGAGACCTGGATATTGGATTAGCTGAATTGCGCACTTTCAAAAATGTTATAACACCGACGGTCGAATGCAGCTGAGAACTTCTGGCCGATACTATCCACGAGCCCCTCGAGCGCCGGTTGCCAGTTGTCCTATCATGGAGCTCAGCTTAGATGTGTGCTTTGAATATTCAAACCACCTACTCGAGCGTTCTTGATGGTTCGCTCCACGCGTTCTGCCCTCTTCTCTCGCTCATCAATTGTATTCGAGAGCAGGTCAATCTAGACGCCGTGACATCAGCGAAACAGATCAAAGTAGGAAATTAGACCGCACCTCAGCTTGGCGTCTCCTGTACTGGTCGACCACGCCTGAGTTGGTCTGCAGGTTCATCTCAAGTTGCGCGCGTTTGGCCTCAAGTTCTGTGTGGATCTCGACCGCAGACCTCGCATTCGCTTCGCCACTCTGTGCGGTTCTGTGTCAGCAAGGAGTTAACTACCAAGCATCACGATGTGAACCGACCTCTTCCATATCTCTGAAACGAGCGCGCGTCTCGTCGTCTACGGAAGCCAACTTGGCCTTGCTAATGTCAAGCTTTGCTCTGGAATCTTGCTTGGCAACCTCATATAGCTTATGAGCTATACAGACATCAGCCTAGTCTCCCTAGAACTGCAATATGGTACCTTACCGTCGCTGAACTCCTTGAGAGCTCTCTGATAGATTTCTTCCCGCGCGCTGACGAGATTTTCGAGCGCAGCCTTGTTCGCGGACACCTGGCAGTGCCGCAGCGACAGGCGAGTAGCCTCCATCTGATCTGCAAAGACACTCTGGATTGTGTTCTTCAAGAAGATCAGCCTCATGACAGCAATACGGCAAATTGCACACATACAAGGCATTCCTTGGCAAGCTCTGCTCGTGTTCGTGCAGTAGCAAGAAGAGTTTTCTTGTGCTCTTCGCGCTGAACATCAACAGGGGGCGCAGAAAGCAGTTTTGCGAGCTCCTCAGTCTCGCGCTCTGCATTGCACATCAGCGCGACATTCACTTCGAGGTATATAGTCACAGACCGAGTCTCAACCCGAGGTTTGTCAGTCTTCGCGTAACCTCCATGACGGTCTCCTTGCGACGCCGGACCGCGTCCTACAAACAAGTCGTGAGAAGATATATAACAACAGCCGAAAAAACATACATGCTGGGCCTTGAGTTCTTTTGTCTCATGTTTGATAGTGGCTTCCTCCGTACTGAGCTCTTGGGCCTCTTGCTCACACAACGAGAGCTGTTGCCTTGCTTCGTTGATGGCTTGCTCAAATCGTCGCTTTTGAGACTCGTCCACTACATATAATTCATGACCAAATGCGATGGAGCAAAGTCAAATCGAACGAACCTACGATAGAAACAAGGTTACGTGCAGGCCGAACCTCTCGTGTCGAGTTTTGCGGTAGACGCTTTCCATATCGCGATCTCGTGACGGTGTTGAAGACGTTGCCTATAATGTAGCTGGAACCACCACCTTCGCCTCTGGGTCCGATTCGCGAGACCATTTCCATAGCCCGCTTAGGATCGACATTGGGTTGCAGTGCGATAGCCTAGAATTTCAGGAACCAGGGATGATCGAGCGGAACACCCAGACAGATATTAACGCATTTAGTAATGACAAACTGTAACGGGGCGAAGCAGCAGCTCACGATCCGATGAAGGTTCATGTTGGTCGTCAAGAACCACTTCAAACCCTCCGGACAGCTAACGTAGTCAATCGCATAACCATCAAATCCGAGCTCGTGCATCTACAAATATATTAGTCCATGCTCAATACACGACTTGAAGCTTACCTCTTGCATCGACATCGGTGGAGGTGCCAGTTGGCTTTCGTCCTTCCTCCGATACCAGGTGTGAAGTCGCAGTCTGCGACCGACAGCGTCCGGTGTATCTACTAGCAGTCGGTTGAGCAACTGATAGTCTTCTTCACATTGTGCCACGAAGGTCTATGCGTTAAGGTCGATGAGACCCAGAAGTCCACGCTAACGAATGAGACGACAGACCTTCAGTTGACTTGCGCCGAAACATGCCTCCACAGCGTTCACGAAACGCCTATCTGGGACGGTCACACAAATCATGGGAGGTTCAAAGATCTCCATCTTGAATCGATGCCGGTTATCTCGCAACCATTTCACTGCAGCACCGCAGTCATGATCCCAGTTCGTTAGAGCGTCCAGCTTCCGGTGCGATGCATCGTCTAACTGCTGTAGCCTTTGCACGAAGCAGTCCTTGAGGGAATGCACGAGATAAATTCGAGTGGAAAAAGGCTTACCCGCGCGTGTTTTGATCAACGATTGCTCTATTCCTAGACTCTTGCTCTACATGTCGCCTCTGTTTGCTCTGAAGCTCTTCCATACGATTTCTCAGCCCAAGCTGTAGCAGATTGATGTTTTTCTAAAACATGGACATGCTACTCTTCAGTCTTCTACTCGACGCCTTCCCATTCATCAAGGTAGAACGCACCATGTCATCATTGATCACATCTAGATCTTCGACTTTGGGAGGATTGTCTAATTGTTCCCGGATTTGCGAGATGGTTTTCTCGGAAGTGGAAATCTTTTTGACCCGTTCCTTTTCAGCCTTCTTCGAATTTTCGAGCTCGGTTTTCGCATTTTCCGACTTGGCTTCCTGAAAGACCGTGTCAGAAACACTTGAGCTCGCGTGTGAAGCCATTCCACTCACCAACTTCTCAATTTCGCTGTTCTTTCTCTGAATCTTGTCGAATTTCCTGCGAATCCCGTCCTTCTTCTGATTGCGTCGTTCATCGAGGTCGCGTAGCTCGCGCTCAAGCGCCCTGTGATCGCATTAGAGGTCTTCATCGAAGCAGAAGATGTTGACATACTTTTTACGCTCATTGATGGGAGCATTCTTTGCCTGCAGCCTGAGGACACGCTCGTGCAGATTACGCTGTCTTGTTTTGGTTTCAGAATACCGGTCCTTCGCCTCTATGTACTGTCTGAATGGGAATACGAGTTCCAGCAACTCAATCTAGTAACAGATTAGGCTACACTGCCGTTTAAGTTTCGACTGCATGCACCTGTTTCTCTAGCTCACGACGTTCTTCGTAACGTCGGACATCGCGTTCGAGATTGGCATTGCGCTCTTGCATCGTTTTAAGTTGGTCGCGATCGCTGTTCAGTTTCTAGATCAACGTCAGTAAAGCCCTTTTTATCTTCCATATGGGATTGCTGACTTCCTGCATTTGCTTCAGATCCTTTCCCGAGCTGATAAGCGTATCATGCCATGAAGTCATACTTGCGTTGCCTGCCGCGCGCTGCGTTTCGCGGAGCAGCTGCTGAGAGCTCATCTGGGCAAATTCTGAGACCTTGTCCTGAGGCAGGAAGGTACTAACTCATACATGAGCAGCAGTCCGCCAATCTATTCACATAAGAGAGAGTAATTACTCACCAGAGGTTGCTGACTTGGACGCCGAGCTCAGCCATGCGGGCATTGATTTCGCGACCTGTCGCAGACTGTCCGTTCAAGGTGAAGTTCGAGCTCTTAGACTTTGCACTTAGGGTTCGCTTGATGACCAAGTTGGGCTTCCCTTTCGGACTCTTCAGCTCGATCTCAATATGACCGTTGTCTGTTCCGATCTTGACGAATGAGTTCAGCTCAGAGGCACGGCCCAAAACCTGATATTGTGGTTAGGGCCGATTTCCCAGTGGCGAGCGCGCAGATCACTTACGCTGGGCGGGAAGTCCAGTCCCAAACAAATAGCACAGGCGATCGTGCTCTTGCCAGTGCCGTTAGGCCCAAAGATCATATTCAGGTATGGACCTGGACGGAACTCGACGTAGTCATATGTCACAAAATTCTTGAGCTGTATGCGGACAATGGAGCCGGGGATGAAGCTAGGGAGAAATGAAATGTTGAGTAGGAGTAGAGGGCACACATCGAGAACACTCACCCGTCGGCATCGCGAGGTAAAGCTTGAATACGCGGCTTGCTCTCCGGCGTGAAGGCCGCGGGACGCGAATCGCCCTCTTCGTTAACGCGGACGCGTTTTCTGCCCTTGGGAGACGCGCCGTCTTCCTGCTCGTCCTCTTCGTCCTCTTCTTTATCATCCACCTCAAATCCCCCCTCCACCGCCTCGCCCTCCGCATCATCATCCTCTTGCGCGATCTCTTCCTCCTGCAGCTCTTCTTCCTCAGTGGCGCGCCGGCGCCCGAGGCCTCTTGTGGCAGGCATCTTCCCCTTTGCCTTCTCCGAGTTTACCCTACGCGCACTGGAGTTCTCCTTCTGCGAGTCATCACTAGCAATAGACTTGACCCTGCGGGCCATGGCGGGTGCACTATCGCTCTAAACGCGACGGAAGCGCGGGAGTGACTTGATGGGTCAACGACAATGAGCGCATAAGCGCGCGTTGCCCGTCACGCCTGTCTTCAGGGTCGGTCATTTCGCTTCACTAATTAGCCGCCGGTTTCAAAAGTCAATCTACGCGTTAGGCGCTCGATCCTTGCAGCTGCAAACATCGGCGGTACCAATATGTCCGGCAGTAAATCGAGTATGTATTCGTTTACACGACAGCTTTCTCGAGCCGGTATTAAACATAGTCTAAGATACGGGTAGTCTTCGTCACAGGCAACGCGAACAAACTAAAGGAGGTTCGCGCTATCCTCGCTAAGTCAGGCGTAGAGATCGATTCGCAAGAGCTCGACAGTACGTACACCCAGTAACTCACTGGCCGGTTCTGCGTGTTAAATTTTCTTGTATCCTAGTTCCTGAGATACAGGGAAGCACCCAAGAGGTTGCCCTAGCAAAATGCCACCGTGCCGCCGAATTGCTCGGAGGGCCGTGTATCACTGAGGACACGGCCCTATGCTTTGAGGCGCTGAATGGACTTCCGGGACCGTACATCAAATACTTTCTGAAGGAGCTTGGGCATGTGGGTATGTTCAGATCCTGATCGCCGCCATGTTCTCCGGGTCGCGTAGACTAAGTGATAACCATTGGTCTAATAGGATTGAACACGCTGCTCGATGGTTTCCCGACGAGAGCTGCATGGGCTCTCTGTACCTTCGCGTACAGTGCAGGACCAGGAACAGAACCTGTCCTGTTCGAGGGGCGTACAGACGGCCAGATCGTCTCGGCGCGAGGCGAAGGCAAGTTCGGTTGGGATCCTGTCTTTGAACCGAGCGGTACAGGGAAGACGTGAGTGGGTTATTCAGCCTTGCTTTACGGTACTAAGCTCAGCATGACAGTTACGCGGAGATGAGCGCGGAGCAAAAGAACACGCTTTCACATCGATACAAGGCCCTGGAGAAACTGCAGACGTATCTGAGCACGATGAATGTATAAACCGCGTGCGGCACGCTACAAGATCGGAATGAAACGTATAGAGCAGGTAGAGGTCGATGTATATAAGAGCGGCCAGGCGAAAATACAGAAGCACATAAAGGCTACAATTTGGGTTTTGGCTTCGCCTTTTCTGATGCTTTGAAGGGTGCAATCGTGTGCGAAGCGGAAATTAGAAGCTTTGACGTTCTCTTGTCGTACACCTGTTCCAAACAATATGAGCAACCACTAACATTCTCCAATATGACTGCCTCAGTTACCTCTGCGCGCGCTGCTATGATGGCACCGCCCATGGAGAGTGTTGTACTGACCATCCTTAACTCTGTCCCACTATAACACACGCTCTTCAGCGAATGCCTTTCAGACCGGTGAGGTATACATACCGCGGCGCGCCTCCATGCCACACGATGTTCATCGACGTCGACACGCCATTTGCGTTAATGCCCGTGATGAGGGACAGCATTAACAGCGACGAGAAAGTTCCGCTAAGGGTTACATCTATGAATACGGCATGAATCGAACAGGCAGGCAAATGGCTACTTACACATCGACTAGATGCGCCGAGCACCCTCCCGCCAGCATTCCATGCACATTAAGCATTCCTGTCGCACATCCCGCATCCGTCATGTGAGATCGGGCCAAAGAGAGAACGCACCTTCGTCCACGGTAAGCTCACACACCGTCTGCGACTCCAACGATATCTTCCGCAGCTCCTCCGGGTCCTCATCCTCCCGGACCAGAACATGCTGCCCGCCCATGCCCACGCGCCGGATGCACACCTCGGCGAACTTCAAGTTCGCGAGTGCATCATGTCCAAATACGTGGCTGCCGGGGTAGTTTGCTATGTGCCATGCGAAGATGCTCGCCCCGAGACGCTTCATCTCGAGCGTCATGTTGCCTTTTATTTGCGCCGGATCATCGTTGGGCGGCGGGGCAGAAGGGAGTTTGCGTGCTCTGGCGATGATGTCCATGGGCTCGGTACTGGAGGAGCACCGGACAGTGGGCGGTGCTGGCAAGCAGACGGACAAGCTGTCCCCGCGGGAATCATGTTGATTCGTCTGCCATCATGGACATTGACCGTGTCTCGGGAAACCCCCGTAAGGCATGATCATTTCCTTCTCGGTCGAATGTTCCTTGGATTTTGGTTAATGCGAGTAACCAAAAGCTGCGATCTCGTAACGAGTGTGAAAAAAGCAGGCGTCTTAGAGCCACAACAAGTATTCCAGAGTCATCGTCAAGCGTAGTACTTACATATGTTGGACTGGGCGCGACCTCGTCTCTCAGCCTCTTTCAGCGCTCCCACGTTGTCTAGATCTACGATCCACCCGATCGGAATTTGCCCTTATCCATATTAGGCAGGTCTTCAACTTCACCCGCCAAGACCCGAAAAACTAGCGAACATGCTCCTATATGTCGTTCTGTCTGTTGGTCCATCCCGGATCTTCTTGAAAAATAAAACCTACATCCTTGGCGGGGATATGGCAAAGATTACCTATCTGTACTACTGAATCAACCACCGTGACACGAGCTGGCGGGCAAGCATGTGCGTGCGGACTCAGCCACACGTCACTCACCGGCGGATGTAGTACCTGCTCGCGAACGACGAATATATCGACTTCGTCGCTCAACCCTATGCTGAACGGCTACCGACGGAGTCGGACACTCGCAAGGTGGCCCAGGCTCTGCGTCCGGAACGAGGTCAGTCGCTTTCACAATCGTCCCTTTTCGGGAGCGGATGTGCGGATGTATCACCTAGTCCAGCGGGGCTATACCCAGGTCCACACCCGAGGCCCCGCTTCCCCCTTGTCCGCACACCCGTCTGCCGCACATCCATATCCGACCATGTGAGTGTATATAGCCTCCAGGGCGCGTCCCCATAGAGCAAGCCAAGTTCGACGGTCTATGTCTTCCGCCCTTCACTCTTTCGCCATCCCTCCAACTACCTAACACACGCATCATCTCCATGGCTCAGTTCAGCGCTATCCTGCCGAACTTCACTGGCTTGATTTTGTGCAAGGGGCGCATGCGTCTGCGCCTCCTCAAGGTTCTAGGCACTGGCGCCTACGGCGTAGTCTACCTCGCACACGACATGAGCTCTCCGGCGCACAGTCCGGCTCACTACGCAGTCAAGTGCCTCCTCAGACATCCTGAGGAATCAGAACACCACAGTCTTCAGCAGCGCGAAATCGCATACCACACGAAGGCTTCATCCCATCCCCACGTCGTCAAGCTCCACGACATCATAGAGGAAAAATACTACCTCTATTTGGTCCTCGACCACTGTCCTGGCGGCGACCTTTTCAGCGCCATCATCGAGCGTGGCGAGTTCGCGAACAACGACGCGCGCATCAAACGCACCTTCCTGCAGTTGCTCGACGCCGTACACGGCTGCCACGACCTCGGCATCTTCCACCGTGATCTGAAGCCCGAAAATGTGCTGTGCTCACACGACGGCGATCACGTCTTTCTAAGCGACTTTGGCTTGGCGACTAGGACGAGGCTTAGCGTTACATTTGGATGTGGCAGTTCCTTCTACATGAGCCCAGGTTAGTCGGCACTTTGCAATCGTCTCTGCACACTCGCTGAACGTCGCCCTGTCCCTACTCAGAATGCGTCGGCGCACACACTTGCAAGCGCCCTTTTGTTACGTCGGTCTCGGATATCTGGTCCCTCGGCGTCATCCTTGTCAACCTCGTCACCGGGCGCAACCCCTGGCACATCGCCTCGCCTGCAGATGACCAGGGCTTCGCATCATACCTCAACGAGGGCGAAAGATACCTCACGCGCATGCTCCCCATCTCGCGCAGCCTTGGCGCCCTCCTTGCGCGCGTTTTTGCCACCGTCCCCGAGCAGCGCATCAACCTCAACGGGCTCCGCAAAGCGATCATTGAGCTCGATACCTTCTTCCCCGAAGCCAAGCCTTCCGAGCCAGCTCCGCCAATAGCTCACGCGGTGTCCGTGGACATCACCGATTTCGATCGCTCGGACGCCATCAGCAACGAGTCTGAGGAGCTCGAGCTTGTCGAGATTCGCCCGCTCCCGTCCGCTATCACCGTCACACTATCCCCGCCCGTTCTGCGTGTCGTCAACAACCCGTCCGCGCGCTCGACGTATCCTTCTACCGCGGTCTCCGACGGCTCCGACAGGACTGCCTTCTCCGAGTCGCTGTTCTCGGAGGCGTCCGAATCAAGCTCTAGCTCCGAGAGCGAGGGACCAATCACGCCCGAGGTACACCCCGTCGAGGTGGTGACGTCCGTTCCCTCAATCGCGCTCGAAGCCATCAAGGGTCTCCCCGAATGCGACCTGCAGCTGGGCTTGACCGGCATCGTCGATGCCGCCGGCTCTGCGAGCTCTTTGGGCCTGAAGAAGCGCAAGATGCCACTCTCGTGGGAGCGTTTCGTGGAGAGGATCCGGCTGCGGGCGTGATAGCATGTCGCATTTACTACATCTCCCCGGTGCTGGACGCCAAAGATGATGGACAAGACGCTTAGTCGTGTAAAATAGCCATTTTATCTGGGCTGTCGTAGATATTCCGTCTCGTTAGTGTATTATGGAATCCACGACGCGTATTTCTCGCACTCACGCTGTTCAGTCGCGGTGTGAATGCTAAGCGATGACAAACACAGCGAAGTGATCTCGTCGCACCCATGCGTCTCAGTCCCACCTTACTCTTATCCGCAGCGGTGGCATGCCAGGAGAGAATGAGAATATTTGTACGAGAACCGGAGGCATATTAGCTGCTTATATGCACGTTGAGACAGCAGAGCTGCTTGAGAATGCGGAGTCACACACGGCGGCGGCCTGAAGGGGGATGAGGCACTGTAGGAACACGATGATGCCGTACTACGCCCTTTTGTCATGGGCGGCGAGATGACAGACAGGACGTCGAAGATAACGACAACTAAGGAATCTTACATGAAGTCGAACCAGCTACTGCGACTTGAGAAAAGATTTCGTTCCGATACTAGTCTTGCTACTCGAGAACGGTCGGAGAGCCACTGAGTGCGGACTCAATTTCACGCACGCCACAATTATTATTTCACGGTCTGTTTGTGCATTCCAGAGACGATTATTTGCTGACGCTTGAATTCACGGTTTGGCAAGCAGTATGAACAGAACGTGACGGGGTTAAAAGTGGCACCGCACTCACTAATATTATGGCACGATACAGTGGCCACCAGGCCAATGCGCCGACGATTATTGAACTTGATGAAGCTTACAGTACGACGAATGATGAAATCGATTTTATTACAGTTTCGTCTTTGGGGCCCCTGGTCTCATTTTGATGTGAGTACCCGAAGCTACCAAGCGGCGATTTGTCACGTTCCAGATCTTTATGCAGCGACGAGATGATGGGATGATCAGTCACTAAAGTTCAGGTGCACATGTGCGGTGCATAAAACTGACCTCCGTTCGCGCAGATACTGAACGGCTGCTTCTGTGTGTCGTGACGTTCACGATTTCCAGGGTGTCGCCCCTGCGTTGGGATCACTCAATCGACGGGACGACCAGCAATTCAGGTCCGTAAGGGACGTACGCTTTGGCAGCTGCATGGTATATCATGTTGATGGCTTGGGATACCCGCTCGGCAGGACCGTCAGTGACAATGTCCAACAAGCCGATGGTGATAGATGAGCATCTGTCGACCACTGAGCTGTGTTTCTCATTTGAATGCGCAAGAGGATACACTGACATGTCGACCAGATATGCGAGACAACTGTCATGGATGCTGCCCAGCGCGCTCCTCATATCTCCCCGGACATGGTCGATATCAACATACGCAGGCCTCACGACGGATGCCCACCTCTCTGGATCACAAGTTCGAACACGATGTGGGCGTGCCTGTGCCCGTCTTTCCCGCGCCTAAGCATCTGCATCTCCGTGACCTTCAGCTGCCTCATGATGCCGTCCCCAAAATCAGTCGGCTCCGTGTGATGCATGAGCGAGATGATGAGTCTCTGCTTGATCTCCTCTGGGAGATTACCCTGTGCGCCATCTATGATGTCGTTCAGTAGCCGATGTCGGTCACTGGACATGCTGTGGAGCAAAGGCAGTTAAGGGAGACGATGACAGCGGGGAGGCGAACGTAATCGCACTCGTGGTATCACGTATCGGGATATGAACTCAGTAGCTTACTAGTAGCGCAGCAGCTACGTAAGTGGACGCTCTAGACCTGCACCCTGAAATCGACCTAAACCTTACCTGTTAACAGTGTCCGTAAGTCTCCTGAGAGTAGGCAATCCTTTCAACCTGCGCCGGTTCCGGATATCCATAGTGTCCGTGGTGGATGCTCCTATCATTGTCCAACAGCGAGACGCTCAAGTTGAGTTCCATTCAGGAACAAAGCACCCCGTGTCAGAAGATCAAGACACACCTCTGAACTTGAAACATGATAGAGGCCGCCCGTGCAGTGGCACAGTACGGCCACCGTGAAAATGTCTGCAGCTCGTTCCCCGTGATCGCAATGGGGAGTCAAGCTTACCAGACAGAAGTGAACACACGTACCTGTCGCATCTGTGTAAATGCCTCATGTGACAGGACGGAGACACTATCTAATGATGTCCCTAGATATCACTGAGGCGATACAGCATTGAAGACGTGCAGGTACACAATTGTACAGATGAGATGACGCAGAACTATAGAACATTTACATGAGCACGATCACAATTTCGGCTTCGGCTTCGGCGCTCCGGGCTTCATCTTAATGTGAGTACCAGAAGCAACGAGGCGCCGGTGCGTCGCGTCCCAGATCTGCGCGAAGTTCATGAGGATGCATACCCGAGTTGAAACGAAGAGACCTGCCTCTGTTCGGGCAGATACTACGCGACTGCCGCTGGAGGTCGTGACATTAACTATCTCCAATTTGCTGCCCCTGGAGACAGGCAGGGTCAACCATGAAGCCAAGTGTTATATACGCCGTCAAACCCACACAGGAGCACCTGCGTGATAAACCATGTTGAGCGACTGCGAGACTAGCTCTACAGGACCATTGGTCGCGATGCTCAGCAAACTGAGGGCGACGGATGAGCAGCTGTCGAGCCGTTAGTATGCGCGCTTCGCGGGGACGTGCCTGGTAAGTGCTCACACGTCGACGAGGTACGCGGCACAGCCGCCGTGGATGCTGTTAAGCGGGTTCGTCATGCCTTATAGCACGTCTCAGTTTAGGCTCTTATATCCCACTTGAGTTGTTGAGGCGCACCTTTCTGGACTACCAGCTCGAACACGATGCGCGCATGCTTCTTGCCGTCCTCCTCACGATCATACACCCGCAGCTCCTTTGCCTTCAGCTGCATCATGATGTTGTCCAGAAAGTCGTCTGGGCGAGTAAGGAATGTCAGGGCGGACACGAGCTTCTGCCTGATTTCTTCAGGCAGGTCGCCCTCCGCGCCCTCCAGGAGTTTGTTGAATGCTTGCAAGCGGTCGCTGGCCATCGTAAGGGCTACGGTGTTCACTGACGGTGGTGCCAGGGGATGCGATGGCGATGGGAAGATAGGCGATACATGAGATATACAAACCGGCTAGAGTTCTGTTCTGATCAATCCTAGCGCAGGCGCTTGTACTAGGACGCACGGATGAGCAGTTGCCTTTCTGGGAGAGCATTCTCTCTGTAATCCATTTCTATCCGCTTCTGCACCTGCCACTCTCTCCTTCCAGTCAACTCTCCTCCACGTTGTATATCTCTCCTCCCAATAAGCCAAGATGATGATCAAAGTCAAGGTTTGTCTGCGCCTTGCGATCCCACCATATGTCAGCATGTCAAACTGAGACGCGCTCTGGTGTCCGTAGACTCTCACTGGGAAGGAGGTAGGCCGATCGTACACTCCCCCGATGTAATACTTATTGCAACATTTCTCACTGTGGTCTCTCGTCTCCTCCGTTTCAGATCGAGCTCGATATCGACCCCGAAGACAAGGTGAGTTTACGGGCGCAGTGTGGCGTGTAAATGCGCTTGGCAAGAGCCTTCTCATCATCCGTACAACAGATCACACGTATAAAGGAGAAGGTCGAGGAGCAGTCTGGTGTACCTCCACCCCAACAGCGCCTGATCTTCGCTGGTCGGCAGATGTACGCACTGTGATCACTCGTGGACAGGTCAAGAGCACTGACCGTCCGACTCGCTTATAGGCCCGACGACAAGACAGCAAAGGACTTCAACATCACCGCAGGCACAGTACTGCACCTGGTATTGGCTCTCCGTGGGGGCTGCTAAACATCACCCGCATCGTGTGTAGACATGCGGCATTTGTTGTGCGATTAATGAAGAGAAGACGACCCTCCCATTGTACTCTCGTGCTGTTACATGTTGTGCTATATGACCTGCATTCACGCTGTGCTTCACTATTGCACATGAGTATCGGATCGGGCACATAAGCAATTAGCATTCATAGCAGGCGTACATGAAGATCCGCGCGCCGGCGTCAGGACGCGAATGCAATCGACAAGAGATAGGCAGCAAAAAACAAAGCATGAACAGCACCTCAGTCATAGCGTCCACGCCGCCTGGGAGGGCTCCTGGACCTTGACAGCCGTCTGTCTCGCCCACCTCTGTCTCTGTCGGCCCGCAGATCCCTTCGCGGTGGGGGCGGGGAGTCCCGTCGCGGTGGAGGAACACGTCGGTCCACGTCGCGGTCACGGTCACGGTCGCGGTCCCTTCCAAAGTCTCCACCACGCCCGCCACCGCGCCCGCCCCGGGACACCGGGGGCGCCGGGTTCGAGTCTCCACGCCAGTGTCCACCACCCCTGCCCAACCCACCTGGCGGGCCAGCAGCGGGTGCCGCGCCCCCGCTCCACCCGCCATCAGTACGGCCGGCGGATTTCCATCCGTTCGCTGCGGCAGTGCTGGTGCCCGTGCCTACGCCGGGCGCAGCGCCCTTGATAGCGAGCTCGCCGCCGGGGCCGACAGCGACAGTCGCGTTCTTGGGGAGGAGGACCGCGACGCACAGGTAGTCGCCAGGCACGAAGCGCAGCTCGTCGAGCGTGCGCTCGTCTGGGCCGGGGAGGACGTCCTCGTCGGTGAGGAGACGCGGTGCGGTTGAGGTGAGCGAGCCGGGCTCGCCAAGGATGTCGCGCGAGTAGACGATGCCGAGGTCTTTAGAAGCAAGATGGCCGCGCGTGGCGCCGTCGGCGTAGAGCGTGCGGAAGGAGTAGCGGGCGAGAGGATGGCGGATCTCAGGCAGGGCGGGCGCGGTTGCGCGCAGGGTGGTCAACAATTCGCGGAGAGTTGCATCCTTCCTGGACAGTAGTCAGCGTGTGCTTTGGGCACTGAGTGGAGCTAAACAGCTCAGCTTACCAGGTAAATATCTGTTGTTCGTCGGTGGTGGGTATCGGACCGTCCTCGAACTGAGTAATGCGGTGGAAGCTGCCAATTTTGATGAAGGTGCGTATGAGGAAGGGGGCGGTCTAACAATCGCTGGGATGTTAAAAAGCAGCTTCCCGGCACAAGCGAGAGTCAACGCGTACCTTTTCACGGTCAACGATAGGGCGACCTGCTGGGGTTTTCTGCTCCATGCTCCCGGATAGACTGGTATACAGCGAACAGGTTGGCTTCACGGCAGCTTGACCAAACTTGGGAAATATGACTTACGTAATAAACTCTTTACCCCTGTGTGCTCTCGGGCGCTTGATGCACCTCCATGTCCTGCTCGCGCAAGCGACAGCGCAGCGATGTTGACCACGCCGACTCCCCTTCCACCAAATTCTTGAGAACCTTGGAAGAGGGCTCTGATGCTGTGGAACAACATACTAGCCTCAGGATAGTCACCGACCTGGCTAGTCTGCACAGGATGCAGAACGACGATACTTTTGCGAAAGACATGGATGATGTCGACTCTCTCTTTGACGATACCCCGTCGCCACACTCTGCAGTGGAAGGCTGTGACGCTACTGAACCCACAGCAGTACAGTCTACAGCCCCAGACCACGTAAACACCCCCCTTCCAGCCCGACGCACCGCGCCGCCTATCCCAGGCCTGTACTTTGACCCCGCTCTCCGCCTGCCGCCCGAACTGGCGGAAGACGCGATGTGGACGTGCATACGCATGTACTTCCAGAAGAGCGCCGTCGACCAGGTCATGCTCTTCGAGCGCGCCTCGTCCCCCGGCAGGGGCCTCCCGCGCGTGCTCACCGCGCTCCTCGCCACACTCGCGGATCTTCTCCGCCCGCTGCTTCCGCCGGAGAAGCACACGCTGCTGTTCCCCTCTGAGCCCACGGGCTGTGCGCGCCAGGCAATTCTGAACCTCTACTGGCCTGGCGGCGGCATCATCCCACACGTCGACCTGCTCGACCGCTACGGCGACGGCATCATCGGCGTCAGCTTCGGCTCTGGCTGCGTCATGCAATTCGCCAAGGTGCTTTCTGGCAGGGGCGACGAGCCCATGTCGCAGCGGGTGGACAGTGGGCCACATGGTGAAGGCCAGCAGCACGGGCTGTACCTTCCGCCGGGGAGTGTGATTGTTCTTACGGAGGAGGCGCGCTACGGCTGGACGCATGGCATTGAGGAGCGCATGGAGGATGAAGTTGAGTGTGAAGACAAGCCAGGAACGGCGGGCCTGCTGCCTCGAGATATCCGTCTGAGTATAACATTCCGCTGGCTTCTTCCTGGTGCAGACGTAGTCGGAGGACCTATCCTTCAGACGGTGCAGGACAATCGTGCCCATTGACGAGCTCGATGCCTTTTATCTTGTTTGACCTCGTATGCTCCTGGCATACACTGTACAGAGACGTAATGGAATACAAGAGGATATCCAACTAGATATAAAGCATGCACACATCGCTGATCATCCCTCCGTGAAGACATCGTCAGTTCATAAAAAGGTATAACTTAGTCGTCTCGCTGTGCGACGCCGACTTTTCTGTCGCGCTGGTTGACTGCAAGATCCTGTCAGCAATTTTTCGACCTGCCTAATTGCAGAACTACTCACAGACAATGTATAGCGACTTGAGGAACACGTCACCGAAGATGTCGTACTTGAGGTTGCCCCTGCTCTGGATCCCACCGAAACTATGTCCGTCGCCGGCGTCACTGTACGCAAAGTCTACTTCGTTCAACTGTTGGCATGTTATTAATGATACGCTCTGGCGAATGCACAAGGACACTCGCCCTGTAGAACGTCTGTCCGATCGCAAGGTAAAGCTCGGGGATCTTCGCCGTGTTCGGGTATATCCACCCGCCGCGGCTGTTGCTATACCGTGCGCCCTGGATATTCCTGTAGATCTCCTCGACAACGTCATCATGTACGAGGCAGAGTGTTGTACCCGTGTCGAGGATTGCAGTGTTGTTCGGCCGCTTATGCTCATGCCTATTCACCACATACGCGGTGGAGCGTACCTGCCAGAATCCCTGGGAGCTGTGGCAGAGAGGTGAGCGCTCAAGCGAGTGCAGCATGGATTGAAGGAACGTACTCGTCGACGTGATGGTCCACGATTGGATGCTTAGTGACATTATGGTCAATGAAGCCTGCTGCCTGTATCAGCCGCGTCATGGAAATGACATTGTTCGCTTACCGAAGGAATAGAAGCTCGGCTCAGATCCATGTCCGAGTTTGCACGTAAAAACGGGCTAAGGACAGACTATGTTGGCAGGTATCGTCGATGTGCACTGAGCTTACTGACTGGGTCGATCAGCTTCTGGTTGATCATGTTCTCCACAGGCGTCGCCACATGATGCGGCTTCACGGTATTGAGTTGAGGAAATGCAAGGCCGAGCAGCCCGTCGTTACCCTTGTCTGTCAAGAAGCCAGAGCTCAGGTGTTGCGCCACTTCTACCGCCTGGCCGTGCAGGTGTACGCCAGCCACCCTGATGTGGTCGGTGTATACATCGCCATACGCGGACGAGCCGTCGCCGTAGGAGATCTTCCAGGTCCCGTCCGTCTTCGAGGCTGTGGCAGAGCGATGGGGATGATACAGTCGGTGCTGTTCTCTGTACTGACTCGCCCCTGCAAGCTCAGAACTGAAGGGTTGGTAATATGAAGAGGGGCCTTATGTGAAGAGAAAGAAGCAACCGACCTCCACACCCAGAGATCTGATGAGCCTGTATCGAAGTCCAGATGCAAAGTGACGGGAGGCGTGCCGATGCTCACGGGAACGACGTATTCGAGGCTGCCAGATACGCGAGCTCGATCAGCCCCACGCGCATCTGAGATAACATGGACTCACTCTAAAGCCCGTGCACGATCGCACATGAATACCAAGTCAGCACTCGCGGATCCGATCGCCAGATACAGGGCGCACCGTTCTGGATGGCTTCCGCCGGCACCTCGTGCTCGATGCCCTTGTCTTGCAGGCTCCGTATCTTCACCACGACGTTGTTGCGGTGCGCGAATCCGCTGTATTTGCCCGCTTCGAAGCCGTATCGCCTGGCTGCGCGCGCATACGCGGAGTAGAACGAGGGACGGAAGCCACGCCCGTACCTCTCGGGCCGGACGAGTTCTTGCAGCTTCTGCTCGATCTCTTGCATGGCGGAGGAGGGGTGCGAGGGACGCGCCTGCGGTCTGGGTGGGCGACTGTGGGTCCGCGACAAGGAGCGCTGATGGTGTTGGTAGTCGTCGTCCGGTGGAACGGGCTTGCGCGCCTGGGGACGCTGAGAACGCTGAGAGTACTGTGAGGGCTGGTATCCTCGGTGGGAGTCGTCCGTCCGTGCGACGTGGGTCTCGTATCGGTCGCGCTGATCTCGGTAATCGTCTGGAAGAATAAGGCGCGGGTCGGCGTGCTCGTGGTCTTCGTCCGGGTGGGGAAGCTGATTAGGCGCGTCTGGCCCTGAGTGGTGACGACCGCGACGCCAACTTGGCGTAGAGTGGAAGCAGCCCATCTCCGGTGTTTTATATGAGATGAATGACGGGCGTCGAGAGAAGGGCACCTAGACTCTTATCGCCGCTGCATCTATGCCTGTGTTGTCCCGCAGCGCGCGTTAGGATGCATGCATGCACCGTTTGAGCTATTTGCGTGCTCACCTTGTGGTCGGAGGTAGACCAGGCCCTGTATGTGGGTTCTAAGAATAAGGACGCGGCGCATGGTACTTGCATAGACCGAACAGGTGCTTACGCGCTTGTTGGACACCCTGGTGGGAGAAACTGGCGTCTGTACCGACCAGTGACCGGTGACCACTGACAAGTCGGGGTACTTGCCTGCAGTGTTGCACAGCCGTATATAACCTGTAACGTGACTCGCGTCATACTACGAACACAACCGCGTCTGAGAGCGTTCTACAGGTTGCTCATGCTATGCGTTTTGCAGCCCTTGGGAGCGTGAGAAGTATGAGAAAGACAGACCGGCCTGTGACCTCAGCGAAGAGCTCAAACCTCCGGGCATCGCGAGCAACTCAGGTACAGATCCGAGATCCGAATTCAAATTCATTCTATGTAGCTGTAGATTTTAATTGTAAAATATGACAGCGTTGCGCTGAGGCACCCGGACTCGCTCGGCGACCGCTCTCGTCACGGTGTACATCGCATCCGATTAGTTATTTGCAAACCTTCCTGCGAATGAACGGGCCAGGACGACGAGACTAATCTTTCCAAAGTCCATGTGAGACCTTTTACAGGCCCCTGTTGTGGATTCGGAGGAGTCCTGCGTACCCGTGTAAAGTAAGGGTGTCAGCAGCCGCAATCGATAGAAAGGCTCCCGATGACTTCGATCTCGAGGAATCCCTTCACGCTACTTATGGTATCTATCGCACGTTGTGATTTGAATGTGCCGGCTGAATCACTCGACCTTCCATGTTCATCGCATGGTCACTGGCATGGCGACTATAGCTCGCGTCACGATCTGAGATTCTGTTTGAACATCGATTCCCAGTTCGACGGTACGGCGTCGATCCTCGGAGGCTTACAAAAGGGATTTGCTCTATATATGATTACGGCTGATGACGGTTTCGTCTTCATAAGCCGATGAGTACACGGAAGGTCGCAAAAAGGCTCATATAGCCGAGCCCCCCTGAAAGGCTATTCCCAATTACCAAGTTGTAGCCGATCATCGCACCAATATTTGGACGACCTGATGAAACTGAAGATGCACCTCTGTATCTTAGTGACGGGATCATCATGATTTCTATGTCACCGCGGACCCGAGTAGCAAGGAGTCGAGGCCCTGAGAAACGGTTGTTTGTGTGTGTTAGGATCCAAAGCCTTCGCCTTCCAAATTGGGAGGCGGTATGAGCCCGCTGATATCTGATCCGGGCAGCCACAGGAAGCGCACGGCCCACACTCCCGATAACGGGCGGTGTGTCTGGTCATCTGTACTTGGCCCGGATGGCTTCTGTGGCCCTACCCAAACCCGGAATTCGTCATTTTTATTTTCAGCATTTTCGACCTGCGGCGACGTAGTACTATTAGCACCCGGCACGCCCTCCACAATAGTCAGTGCTATCTCCAAAATCGCGCCATGATTTCCCTGCATCACGGACACCACCACCGCATCATCCCGTCACTCAGGAAACTGGGGCCGGGCGGCTTTCCCGCGACCCGTGGTCATGCGTGAATGGCGTATCCTCTACCATACTCTCGATCCAGTTGGCGCGCAACATGTAGGCCGCGGCTACGGCAGCGTTGTTGATTGACACCGCCCGAGCTCTTGTTCCGCATGAGCGCGTCGACTCGCGTAGTTTTCCCAACAGTCCGGCAACTTCTATTCAGAACCCTCTCTTGGCTGGCTTGCAAGCCGTGGTAGACTCGTGCCGGCAATCGAGGGTGCGACGATGTCCGCCCGTCACGGCTAGCACAATCTGGCCGCGAACGGACTCAATCGGCCAATGTCAATGTTCCCAGGCAGCGGGCCTATATATGACGGGCGCAACGAATTATATATCAACGCAGGCCTTCTTAACTTCGTGTTATCTCCGCAACGTCTTCCTCTACCACAACCACCCTCCATGTCTGCAGTAGGGTTTTTATTGCTGGGCTTTCTGGTGACAGTGGTAGCATGGGTGTCGCGGCGAATTGTGCGATTGCGCCGCATTGCGTCTGCTCTCGACAACATCCCAGGCCCTGCGTCTAGCTCTTTTCTACAAGGTAAGGTGGTGAGCTGGTTTGCAAAAGTCAACTTCACATTGTCACAGGCAATATGGCCGACTACTTTGGGCGACAAGGGTGGAAGTTCACAGAGCATGTAGCCCAGGACTATGGCGGCATAGTCAAAATGCATGCACTTTGTGGCGTAGGTTTCTTTCACCTCCTCGATAATGCAGGCAATTGATCCATTTACTTTCGTCAGGAACGTATGCTCTGCGTCCAAGATCCTAAAGCCTTGTACACCGTCTTGATCAAAGAGGCGAGTGTCTTCGAAGAATCGGATGCATTCCTCAGGCATGTTTCTGCTATCATGCGATGCGCGCGATTCGCTTGATAACCGTGCTTGCTTGCAGCACCAACCAGAACATATACGGCCCAGGTTTGCTCGCATCTATGGGTCTGCCAAATTACCTCTTATCGATGGGCTAGGCAACTTATCCACCAACAGGCGAACAGCACAGGAAGCAGAGGAAGATGCTCAACCCCGTCTTCTCCGCTGCTCATATGCGCCATCTGCTGCCGACATTCTACCGGATTACTGGCAAGGTGCACAGGCTCTCCGGTGATTTTGCACAGATGGAGTGTCTGATCATGCTGCCCGTCCATATCAGCTTCGTGATGCAATCAGCTCCCAAGTATGGGAGGGCCCCCAAGAAGTGGACATGATGTCATGGATGGGCCGTATCGCGCTCGAATGCATCGGCCAGGGCGGTCTGGGATATTCCTTCGACCCTCTCGTGGGCGGCAAAATGACTGACGAATATGGCAACGCACTGAAGAGGCTATTGTAAGTGGCGTCTGTGCCCTCTAGAACCCCCACACAACGTGCTCATGAGTTAATTATACTTTTGCACAGCCCCACCCTGCAGGAGGTGAACCTCTGGCGCGAACTCTTGCCGTACGTAGACTGGATAGGAACCCCCTCGTTCCGGCGGATGGCGCTGGATCTGTTCCCGGTCGAAGCAATACATAAACTGAAGGGGATTATCGATTTAATGTCCATGAAGTCGACTGCACTATTCCACGCCAAGCGGGGGGCGCTGAAAATAGGCGACGAATTCGTCGTGCGCCAAGTCGGCGAAGGGAAGGACATCATGAGTATCCTGAGTGGGTGCACTTGCAGTCCAATTGATGGCCGTGCTGAATACGCGAACAGTTAAGGCCAACATGATGGCAGACGACGCCGACAAGCTCCCAGACGATCAGCTTATTGCGCAGATGTCGTGCGTTGACTACGGCCGTCGGGACTGAGCTCACGCTGACTGGACATGTCAGAACGTTTTTGCTTGCTGCCACCGACACTACCTCAAATGCCCTTGCACGCATCTTGCACAATCTCGCACAGTATCCCGAAGTGCAGGGAAAACTGCGCGCCGAAGTGACCGATGCGTTCAAAGAAGGAGACCTACCGTACGACAAACTGATCCAGTTGCCATATCTTGACGCAGTATGTCGAGAGACCCTCAGACTGTATGTCGTCAAACCCACAAATTGCGTCGCGACTCATTTGGGCCGTCTATAATCTGTAGCTATCCTCCGGTCACATTCTCGACACGCGTGTGCGTACCAGCTTTGTCTGTTCACAAAATGACCACTCACCGATGTATGTGTCCACTAGCCCCAGGGAGGATTCCGTCCTTCCTCTGTCCAAACCCATGATCGGCGTGGACGGCAGCGTTATGTCCGAAGTCCCCGTGCCAGAGGGCACATTAATTGTTCTTGGCGTGCTTGGCGCGAACACGAATAAGGCAAGATGGGGCGCGGACGCTCTGGAATGGAAGCCAGAGCGCTGGTTGTCTCCGCTGCCTAGTACGTTGACGGAGGCTGCTACACCCGGGGTGTTCTCGCATATGTACGTCAATGCTGTCGGTGAACTGACGGCTAAACCAACCACTAACTCCGTCAACCTCTAGTATGACCTTCCTGGGCGGTAAACGCGCGTGCATGTAGGTTCCGTAGACTTCGCAGTACTGCAATATGCTGATGTTTACGTAGCGGATTCAAATTCTCGGAACTGGAGATGAGTCTGTGTCCTCTACCTATTGCATTCCTACACGTGCACTCGCTGATATATTCACCGTACAGAGGTCGTGCTATCGACATTGATATCCACTTTTACCTTCGAGTTGACGGACAAAGAGATCTCCTGGAATCAGTCTCCTGTCCACTATCCTTCTGTTGGGACTGACGCCACGGAGCCCTGCATGCCTCTTAAGGTTGGGCTTGTCAATCGGGTTTGACTTCGTTGTTTTTGACTCCTGGCAGCCGCGGGTTTTACGCTCTCTCTCTTTCTCTCCGCTCTTCGATTTTCATCCTTTATACCGGCTATTTTCATCTTTGTCACCCACACAACTAGCCCTATATCCCTTCATATACCATCGCGAATTCGAACAAATTGACTACATCGGCTTGGAAACTAGGATCTGTCGGATGCTTTAAATTATGTCGTGAACATAGGGTGAAGTGGTGTAGACATGAGCCCCTCCACCTCTCCGGCAAGCTGCTAGAGTGTTGCCCTCGACGAGGATGGTGCACAAGATATGATGAACATCTTAGGGCGCAGAGCGCCAATTTTTAAATACCGACATTGTTGTTGGTGTCAAATAGCTTCGAGACAGCTGTTTGAAAATCAAAGTGATAAAGGGGAATGCTTCTTGAACGTACTAAGTAAGTTTCCATTAGTTGAGTTGACGTCGCAACGACTAAGAGGGATACATGAACTTCCACAAATAGTGAGCCTTCGCAGGATTACTTGCCAAGGAACCCTTGTTGTATCAGATGTCCGTCGGAATTCTGTTCTCTTATCTAGGCATCGAACATCCCCAAACTGGTATGCCACCCATTGTGCTGTTGGAACTTGAGATTGTGGCGAGCACATGCCACCGTATTTGGCATTGTTTGTAGTACCTCGCAGACTTTGCGCGAGCCGTCCTGTACATTCCTTACGCGTTTGACAGAGCTCAGACAAACGCGATATATCTTCGTTGATCGTTCTCGCTTCGGGTCTCGGACGAACTTTAACATGTGCGGTCCATGAACTGGTCCGCGGCAGTCCTCAGGGCATGAACGATGTGGATCCGTTCACCGACTCTTTCCGTACATTCTCGAATTTGAAGCTCGCCAGGTTGTTGGGCTATTTGATGAAACTGAAGAGCTTTCCAGGAGTGGGAACCGCATGCCATGCAGCGCACGGAAGCGTGTGCAACGCCGCTCAAGTGATGTTGCAGGTCACCGGTCACCGGCGCCGCGCGTACTGACCGAAGATCGAAGATTCCCAGATTGCATTCTGCTCCGAGCTTCGAGGTTTCGATATCTTCCGGGCGTCAAGGTCTCGAGGTTGGTAGGTGTCAAGCTTTCATTGAAGTGAGCGCCACATGAGATAGAGTCATTCGTTGGCCATATAATCATATCTTGATGACAAGAGAGATACGTGAGTGTTAAGGCATCAGAAGCCGGCGTGATTGAATTGAGCAATACCGAGCCCGGGCCCCGGAAGTGGATAATCGTGAGATGATGTCTCCATTCTTTTGCGATCTGCGCTGTTTGAAGTCGGTGACATTGGCGTATCTCATCTGTATCCATTGACGCTGTTCAGAGTATCGTTCCAGATTGAACAAGTCAAAGCCTTTTACGGAAACTCTAGGCGCGCTTTTCGTACTACTTGGACAGATACTTCAAATAACATAATCAACACGTCGGAATCGCCGGCCTTCTCTCCGAGAGCGTGCCATTTGAGCCTGAAAGCTAGGGACATGCAGCCTGTCCGACTTGTGATTAAAGCGATAAATTTTGGTGTTCAGCCACATCCACACCTTCTTGGTCGGGAGATATTGCAAGCTAGGGTCACTAATACCTTCATTTGTTTTCTAATTTATAACGTGTTGCTTCATATGTTGCGTAGGGTCACATGGTGAAATACGGACTCGGATTGCAGCAAACTCGCTGATAACCATTTTGCGCAGGAAATCTCGGTTAGGTGTTTGGCGGTTAGTTTCAAGTATTTCAATGTATACAGCATATAATTCCTGTTCAAGACCTTGAACTACATGCCAGCAACTGCGCGATGTGCAGCGTGCTCGTCACTCCAGTGTGAACCACGACAGTTACCATATACGGACATAGGCGCAAATTTCCACGCGAATGTGGCGTCTATTGATCGAGCGGCCGTCGAGGGCGCACCCCCGCGTTCGAATCCCTAACACACGCTCTGCCCCCCTTTCTCAACATCCATCAGCTCTCTCTACAGCCACGAGCCATCTATGTCGTCTCCAGACCCGGAAATCATAGACCTCACGGTATCTCCAATCCCAGAATGGATCGTCCTTGACTCTGACGGCGAGGTTGCGCAGACTGAGGAATCGAAGACGAACGGCACCCCCGCCGGGCGCAAACCGAGGAAGAGGCGGTCGACGAGGCGCAAACGTGCTGCTATGGAGGACGGTGAGATTGGCGATGGTTCTCCGGGGACGTCGGCGGACCATTCGCGCGAAAATACATCTATCGGTGGGAGAGAAGGAGGCGTTGGCGAAGTCTCTACTGGCACGACTGCGGGTTCATCACGGACGAAGGACACCCCGCGCTCTAACAGGTCGCTACTTGATCGCCTCACTAGCCCGAGGGGGGACACTCGGAATGGGTATAGTAGAACACAACGAGAGCGTCGCGAGGGAGGTGACACTGCGCGAGGACCAGAGCGGACACCTCGCCGCGACCGGAACCAGGATGAGGATAGACGGCGTCGTTCACGTTCTCCACGACGGTCGCGACGCAATGATGATGCTAACACGACAGCCCAAACCGAAACACCTGTCTTTTTCGTCGACGTGCAGAAGACAGAAGTCCATATCCCCGCTCAGCCGAATGGAATCCCTGAAGAGAAGACTAACGGAGAACCGGAACCGCCTGTGCTGTTACTGCCGGTCCATGTTTCTGTCTTCGGCGAAGATGGAGTTGAACCGGTCGAAATCCTAGCGCCAGCACCACATGAATCAGATGATGAGAGCTATATCGAATACCTTGACTATGATGATGATCGAAGGGTACGCTTTGACCTGTCTGCAAAATGGACGCCTTGAACTAATGGTGCATATAGGCGCCTTGGATGGTCCGGTATTTCGATCAGGTTGATGAGGAGGACAAAGTGTCCAAGCCCAAGACAATCGTATGCAAGAATTGTGGCGCTGAAGGAGAGCACAAAACATATGAATGTCCAGTCCTAATTGTCAGTATGTCTGTTTTTGTCTCGACCACCATGTGAGATGTGCTCATACATCCAACCACCCGTGTCCCCGCATAGTGTTTGACATGTGGCGCGCGCGATGAACATTCGACGCGGAGCTGTCCGATCAGCAAGACGTGCTTTACGTGCGGTATGAAGGGACATATCAATAGGGTCAGAACTCTCAGTATGGAGGATTCTTCCCACTGCTGACCGAGACGCGTTAGACATGTCCAAATCGCCACTCGAGTAGAGGCGCAGCGAGCAGCTACGAGGATTGCGATCGCTGTGGCTCTCACACGCACAACACCAACGTACGTCTCTCGAAACAATTTGTTGGTGATCGCGCCTGGAGCATTACTTCCAGGAATGCCCTACTCTGTGGCGTCTATATCAATATGTCGACGACGCCGAGCGGCAAAATATACTGCAAGAACGAGAAGGCAAGCGTAGATTGGCCTTAGGCCAAGGCGGCGAAGGATACATCGCCACGGACGAATGGTGCTATAACTGTGGTGGCTGTGGCCATCTTGGTGATGTGCGTCTTCATTACTTAATCCCCAGAAACCAATGACTGACCACAGTTTTTACAGGATTGCAGAAGCATGCCCCGTGCAGCAGATGCGCCTCGCGAATATTCCGCCTTCGGGTCTTATAACCTTCTTTCTGGGCCGTTCGCGGATGCATCTGCGCGTACTCCCTCCCATTCAAGTACTAAAAGAGCACCTCGAGATTGGGAAGTCGCGGGCGCGTTCGCAGACGGGTACGGTTTCCAGGCGCCGATGGACGTTGGCAAACAGGGCCGCCGGAAGGAACGCGCGAAGATGGAGAAACGTGCCCGCGAGATAGAGGAAGCGGACCTGGACCCGGATGACTGGTTTGGCAATAGGAACAAGACGCGCCGGGGCGAGGAGCGACGCGGGGGCGGCGGAAGAGACCGCGGAAGCGGAAGGGATCGTGGGGAACGGAGCGGAAAGATGCACCTCGAGCTATCGCTGGGGAGGAACGGTGCACGCGATGACCAGCAGCGGGGTGGGCGGAAACGGGTCGTCTACGATGATCTACCGGGGCCGTCGCGGGAGACCGACTCCATACAGGTACGAGGGGCGGCGCGGAGGTACGATGAGCGACATAGTGGAGGATATGACCGCGACCGTGGAAGACGTGATGGCGACAGAGGTCCCAGGTACAAGGGTGGATATTCACGATGATCATCACTCTTCAGTGATTTTCCTTTCCAGATGTCTGTATGGATAGGATGTGTCAGTATTTTTCAATTTGTGTGTATTCCTAGAGCTGTCCCTCAAGAATACATGTATCTTACAGATTCCAGTTGGAACACTACTAACTCGCCCATGTATTATCATATGATAGCATTGGCTAAATCATGCATAAACTCGCCGGAGCTATGGAGACTGTTGGACTATATTGGACCTACTACTGTCAAGTCCTCGAGGATGCTATTAACACAATCATCAGAGCTTCGAAGAGAATGAATGATGCACAGCGCACTCCAATGGGCCCCCTTGGGACCATCAATTTCAGCAAACTACTCTACAATAGCACAGACAACATACTATGGTATGAAACAGGACAATAATGGCATCAACATCCTATACAGCATTAAATAACACTACAGATTTAAAATAAAAAAACACAATAGCAGATAAGCAACCTTTAGATCGACGTGGGACACGCAAACCTTATTTAGGCGCCCGCACGTGAGATGTGGCTGCAAACGGCACGTGAGGCTCGGCAGCCGGCAGCGCGGCATTTGCCGGATATGCTCCGAGACCTTCTGTCACCCATATCCGGAAGCAGAATAGGCGCCCCGACGACTTGGAAGAGTGCATGCACCCCCTCCCTCTCGCCCGTCTCCCCATGTACACGACGCGCAAGACAAGGTATGCCCGTTATTTGGCCGCGGACTGGTGCTCCCAATGGCCAGGCTCCTGTGTGCTAACTCCTGAAGCTCGCAGGTTAGCAGGCCGCGCGCAGCGCCGCTCCCGAGATCAACGATCCCGGTCCCTACGCGGGGTGTCAACGGCCTCGAGGCCGTCAAAGAACCTCTTCTCGAGGTACGTTTTGTTCCTACTCAGTGTTCCGTGACCCCCCGCGTGTCCCATGAACGAAATCGCAACTTATTTCTTCATGGGACACGCAAAATCTGGCGGGGGCGCCTTTTTTTCTCGCAGGCCAGCGTGTCCCATGAAGAATTGCAACTTATTTCTTCATGGGACACGCAAAACCTTTCAGGTATGTTCTTCTCGCGCTTCGGCTGCTTCAGCGTGACTGATGCCCACATTAGTCCATCTTTAGACACCTCTTGCTCTCGCCCACAACATCCACCCTCGCCCACCCCATCACTCGCTCGCTCTCAGCTGCCGCCCACGCCCTCGCCCAACCCATCGCATGCCGCCTACACCCTTGCCCATCCTGCCGTTGTCGCCCTCATCGCCCTCGTCGCCCACCCTCGTCGCCCTTGCCGCCGTCCGCCCTCGTCTCCCTCGTCGCCCGCCCTCGTCGCCCTTGCCGCCATCTGCCCTCGCCCTCGTCGCCCACCCTCGTCGCCCTTGCCGCCGTCTGCCCTCGCCGCTCTCGCGCGCCGCCGTCTGCCCTCGCCGCTCTCGCGCGCCGCCGTCCGCCCTCGTCTCCCTCGTCGCCCACCCTCGTCGCCCTCGTCACCCGCCCTCGCTGCTCTCACGCGCCGCCGTCCGCCCTCATCGCCCTCGTCGCCCGCCCTCATCGCCCTCGCCACCGTCCGCCCTCGCCGCTGTCCACCCTCGCCCTCACCCACGACAACGACAACGACAACGACGCCCTCGCCCTCAGCCATCACCTGCGCCGTCGCCCTCAGCCGCCGCTGTTGCTCTCGCCCTCGTCCGCCACTCTCGCCCACGCCCACGACAACCACGACGTCCCCCTCGCCCTGCTCACGCCCTCACCCACTGCTCTTGGCCCCGCAGGTGCTCGCGCTTGCTACACCCTGACCTCCTCCCATCGCCCAGGGGGGAGGGCACATCGCTGCCCGTGGGCTTGCCGCTCATGTGCACGCGCATGCGGCTCCCGCACGGGCCCTCGCTGAGTGAGCGCGTGCGGGACGGCGCAACGCCGGCGCACCTACGCGCTACCGCTGCCAGTCGTATTCACAGCGCTGGACGCGCTGGACTTGCTCGTCATGCAGGAGAAGGCAGAGCGCCGGGGCGGCGCGGGCGCGGGGGAAGTGCCGCGGGTTCGTGCCCGGCCGCAGCTTCGTGGGGCGCGCGGGGTGCGGGGGAACATGCGGGGCCTGGGCGAAGGCCTCTGTGGTCTCTTCTTAGGGAGTAAATTCAGACATGTGGGGCCTCAGGCCCTGCACACGGTAAATTATTTGTCGAATACTGTCCTGTATAGTAGTTAGCGTGGGAATTTCAATGACCAGCCTGAGTGTGACTGCCCCCTGATCCTTATGCGACCCATGATGGCTACAATCAACAAGAACGAACAAAAGCCTGAACATGTGGGTGTATTGGAAGACGAGGTATGATATTCATAAAATAAAAACAGATTGCAGCCGAAAATCGCCACGCACTTGCCGTATTAGGCAAGAATGCGGCTGGCAGCCAAACGGCCGTTTGCCGCCCGCCTGCGCGCCGTCGTCTCTCCCCCCGCGCGGTGCGCAACGACGTGCGCGCGCCCTCCCGCGCGCTGCCCGGAACGCGCCGGCACGCCGGAAACGACGTGCGCGACGGTTTGCTTCCGCCGCCGCCGTGTCCGGGGGCCAGCGTCGCGGGGCGCACGGCACAGGGCGGCACGCGCACGCGGGCGCCTAACGCGCGAGCTCACGTGCGTGTCCCGGGACACGCTGACTAAGCGCGCGAGCTTTCCCACCCGCGAGCCGCCCGTGTCCCGCGACAGGAAAGCAATACACACATTGCAGGTAGTACCACTCCAGAGCAGTGTAGCTTTTCAACACAGAAAAACCCAAGTAAGAAGCCCCATATCCATTTGCAACAACACTTCAACTGGCCAACTGACCAGAGAAACAAGTGCCACAAAAGAATAAGGAAGGTCCCCCGACAACACAAGCCTGTACTGCAGTGGCAAGGTCATCGCATCCTCAGGTTGCAAGCAGAGCCTGAGGACAAGGGCGGCAAAAATTAGATAACCAATAATGGAGGCGGTGCCTCCATAATAGTGGTTAAACTATTAAGAACAGATACTACACTTGATCTAAGCCAAAAGGCCAGAGTGGTAAGGAATCAATATGTCCGGGCGACCCATATATACTTTTCCATATGCGCGCACGGACCAAGTCGTTGTTTGGCGCCACCGGCCAATCTGGTGAACAGAACGTGATCCTCTCGATCCTTCTCGCATCCAGGCTGGCCGAAAAATCTAGCAGACAGAGCAACAAGGGTCCGCGGTGGTCATGCGACAAATGTTATCGATATTGAATAAGTAGTCTATACAACGTCAGCACTTTACGTGCCATTTTCGATGAATAATAATCGACAGCAGCAGAACTTCAGTCTAAACTACACAACACAACGAGCTGCGATAAGCGATACTGAAGGAACAGTATGTACAGCAGGCGGATGGGTTTACATACCAATCACCTGTGGTGAACTTTGGTCAGGAGAATATACATATTTGTCCGCATAGTCCTGAGGGTCCGGTAAGTGTATGCCTACCACAAGCCAAACGACGTCGCCGGCGGCGCCTCAGTACTGAAGCTGTCCGGGCTGTAGGTCATGCCCGGAAACGAGGAAACGGCGGAGCTCCCCAATTGGGGGCCGCGATACAGGTACCCAGAATAGGGCTGGGAGGTGATGAACCCGAGACCGGTATCTAGACCGACCATCCGGCCGAGGGTGTCGAATCCGTTTTCTGGGTTCTTCATGTAGTCGCTAGTGGGCGATTGGCGATCCGACATCTTCTTTGCTCCTCCCACGGTTTCGTCATCGGCAAACACCTCGCGTGCGGATCGTTTGTGCCTCAAGGTCATCGGTGAGCGCAAAGTATCAATGGACGCGGAAGCAGTGTTTGACATCGCTCTGTCCAGCGAGCTTCGAACGACGCAGGCCATAGGCCACGTAGTCTAGAAGGTCACGCATCGTCAGCTTGTTCATAATTGCGCCGGAGCCAGAGCAGCATGTTATACCTCGATGCGCTGCAAAGCAGCTAGCGTGCTGCGCAAGCGTGCACTAGCAGCCTCGTCATGATGGAGTATAGTAACTGATAATAATTTAAATAATGAAAGAGTGACGACGTAAAAACGACGTACGGGTAAGCACATCGACTACGCTGTAAGAGGAACGGATCAGCCCGAGTCTAATGATGACGGAGGTATCACTTACCCAACACAGAGAAGATATCCGGGAACGAATGCCGATGAGAACCTAGACGGTTGATTTTGTATCATGGCCACTAAAATCGGTCAAAAAATATTTAGAGGGATATCGAGCCCCGTATACTCACCAATCGACGATATTTGTCCTGCAGCATCTCGACATGTGGCGAGTGCTTTCGATTGCATACTGTCCGGACCAGAGTAGAAGCCTCTAGTCAACGGTCCATGGATACTAAGGAGAGTGTTAGGCGGGACGTGGCCCCGAGGTGATTGACCATACGCACAACGCTCGATGCAGCAAGATGACTGTCCGCCAGTATTGCAGATGGAGCTCAAGAACACAGGGCGGAGGAAGGACGCCGATCCGTGACTGGTCAAAAAGCAAAGCAGATGGTAGCAATTGTCGCCACTGGGAGAGTCTGTACTCGAGATGCTTTGCACGACGCTCAAGGTGTGATTTCGGCGGCTGCGTGATAGGATATAGCTCATCCATGACAGAGCCAATGATGCATGCTGCGAGACGGTGAGAAAATGCCGTGATTAGACTTCGTCCGAAGTCACTTACAAAGAGAGCGAGAAGCATTGAAGCACAGCAGTGCAGTACTCTCGTTGCCTAGTTGCACACGATGGTCAACGTGCAGTGAAGAATAGAACACGCCCTCTTCTCTCGACTGTTTTTGCGTGTGAGCGGCAAGGAGAATTCATCATGTAAACCCAGCTGACCTGGCTAATGTCCACCGGTGCTACGTCGAATGCGGACAATTGAATGGCGGAAGGGCGACCTGTATGCAAAGTCAGTTTGAATGGCCGCCATATGCGCAGATAGTGTTACCAAGGAGCACAGCCATGTATCTATTTGGTGCTTATGATCAAACACGATGCAACCCACGTCAGCTGTGGGACGCACCTATCTGCCACGAGGCAACCAGACCAGATCTGCTGCCGCATTTGCTGATCTTCTATAGTTAATACGCCGTGGCCGGATGGAGCGAGCTCTTCCGCAGTTCTGTGAATACCAAGGGCCTCCGCCTATGAAAAATGTCAACGATACGAAAGAGGTGCACTGAGCGTCGACGTACCATCCGTACCGTCATCCCTAGCGCATTGTCTATATCAGCAGCCAGGCAGATCTTTTACAACAGGAGTCCTCACCAATGTACATCCACGCAGCTTCCACGACACCTAAGCACCGAAGTTAACCCTATTCACTGCAGATCAAAATCATCACACACCCATGCCAACGCTGTAATACCCAAGCAATAATAAAGCTTGACAAAGGAGCGGGTGGGATCGTCCGTGAACTGAATCTGAGGTGCACCGACGTCAGGATAATACAAGGACGGTATAAAGGTGACGTACAGATTAGCCGAACGGCTTCGGAAGCATAATCACTACCGTCATTGTCACTGGAGGTCACGTCCGCGCACCGGCAGGCATTCGCGAACACCGATAGAAGGAGTGCGTTGAATGACACTGTGGCGAGGTCTGAGGAGTGCAGGGAAGCTTGCGTGACACTGATGCACGGATGAGACGGTTGAGATGCGGTTCAATTTACCTTCCAACGGGATGACGCACCTGCTGAGTCTATGAATTGTCAGTTATTGTAATAAAAGAAATGAGGAAGCACGAACCACTCACTTTTGACTATATAATGTGGCGAAGGTAGAACGGCTAACAATTGGGAACATTGGGTGTACATATTCGGAGTACAATTGAATCATACTGCGCTGTTGCTGTTCCGTCGGCGTTGCGCACAGGGAGGTTGCCGCGGCATTTACGCCAGCTCCCGGGGTTTCCGAACGCCACGGGTATTCACTGAGTGATAGTCAATACGGGAAAAGATGATGCGCCGATGCACGGATGACGAGTGAGTTCAAATAGCTTACAAGTGCCCTTCTCGTCGCCCGGTGAGAATGGATTGGCATTGATGGAGTAGCTGCAAACCACTAATACGACTGGCCATTCGTAGCTAGATGAAAACATATAGCTTTTAGAAGATGATACACGAGCAAATACCATACCTGCCCATCTTGGTCAACGTAGACATCGTCGATCTTCGGGGGCATCCTCACTTCCAAATCTTCGGAGTCCGCAGACTCACCTGAATAAAAATTACCATACTGACAAACGCGAGAAGAGCACATAGCATACTGTCAATGCGTTCCAAACCCTCGAGGCTCTCCCATCCTACACGTTCGCTACCATTCTCGGATGGGAAAGACGCGAGGGATGACAAGGATACCATGGGAGAGATGGAAGGTGCTTTGGCTGGGAAGGTTACGTTGTTCGACATGAGAGGGAACGATGCCCGTCTAGCCCTCGGATCCGGAGTTGATGTACCCGTCATCTCCGTCGCGGTATCATTATGAGAGAACGCGGTTGCAGACGCCCTAGGTAGGAGGAGACGCTGAAGGCTATCCTGCCAACTGCTACTCGGGCTCACAAGGGCGAGGCTGTCTAGACCAACGAAGTCAGGAATGCGCAAATAACATCAGACGACGAAGTATACTATACCGGATCGGGTTCGACCATCCTTTGACGACCCGGACGGGTCCTCACTGACCCCGGTCATAATCGATGCCAGAAAGTCTTCCTTGGTCGAGCCGAAGCTGGCATTGATATTGTAGTCAAACAATGCTAAGGTCAGGTAGAACCGCATGACCTACGGATGCGCAACACGTCCTTTCGGACCGAAGGGTCCTACGTCCACTCGCTGAATGATTTGGCTAGCTAATTTATCTTGCGAGAGGTCTTGGAGAATACCGTTGGCACGTGGGTCGTCTGAACCAATGATTGTCCCTAACAGTGCCTCGACCTGATGCAGCCGCCTCTCAATAGCAAGGATATAACTACCCCCACGTCAGCCTGACGTCATTAGGCAGCCGTGGACCTCCACTTACCCTTTTGGCGGACCTCGCTTATGACTAGGGCCTACATTGGGTTAATGACACCGCATATAACAAAGACACCATCTTGAAGGGGGCGTACCAGCGTACGTGCATGCTGGAGAAGCGAAAATTAATATCATTGCGCGGAGTGAGTCGTGTAAATATACACACAGAGACCCAAGGCCGCACAGCCACGGCATGGTTGTTTGGCCGACGCAGACTTGTCACGTTCACACTTGCTCTTTGTGCGGCGGCATTGATCACAAGCTGAGGTCGTAACCAGACAGCAAGCGCAGTGGGGGGGATGGTCAGCGTCTCGACGCGGTGCAGACATGGAACAGACGATACCTCGAGTGCTGCGGCGACGAGAGTTGCGATCCATACTCGTCTGCCGGTCAGACGGAGAGGTCAACCTCTCTTCATCAGACGGTTCGGAGTAGGCAGCGTGAAGAGACATGATGGTCGCGGTGGGGCGAGCAGGTCTCGATGATGGCTGAGAGTATTATAGGGTCGGTGGCTCGGTTCTCGATCTCCTTCACTAGTTCCGCGGAGTCTAATGGACGGAGCCGGAATTACTGGGTCGAAGTCAGTCGCGGCGGACGGCTTCCATCGCAGAACAGCGATTCGCTGGAAAAGTGCGATGTTCGCTGAGAGTATTGTCGCGTTTACGGTCCGCCCGATTGCACCTCCTGAGGTGATAACGCGCTTTGGGGAAAAAGCCAATTGGGCATCAAACCTAGACGCAATGCCTGACGTCATTCCTGGTCACCCTCTGGCCTCACCTCTGATTGTCGATAACAAGTCGGCCGTATCGCCAGGTGCCGAGCCGAGGTTATGGGCCTGCCCAGAAGGCGAAGGCGCCTGAAAACACTCGATGAAATTGTCCCCGGAGTCCGCACGGAAGTCGTCACACGGACTGACGCCGTCGTCTTGTTCTAGGTGGTAATTCATTCGACAGCTAGATTTTGGCGCGTCTCTACTTACCTCGGTACAGTGCAGATGTTACACGGTAGGCTGATGCGCACGGCCAAGCGCGTCGACAGGAGTTGCGACGCGTCCCTTGTGGGCTCGGATGAGACCAAAAACAGACTTTCCAAGGCGCGATGGGTAGCCATCTCGACGACAGTCTAACGGCTAGGTGGGGAAAGTGGAGCATGGGGCAAAACAGAATTCACCCTCGATCGTAGGAGGCGTATAGCGTCGATTCGACAAGACACGATAATTCTGGCAAGACCGCCCCTCGCGAAGCTCAGGGGCTCCACACTGTACATCGTCGAAAATCGTGCGGGACATTTGTCCCCCCAGATCTGCGCATCTGATGATTCGTTGGTCAGAGGACCAACGTCAGTCCAGAAATTGGCACCGTCCACATGCAGCCATGTACAGGTCGACCTGAGAGTCCGAGCTCGGCATAGGGGCCAGTAGTCGGAACAGACACAGAGTAGAGTGATCCTGTACCTGCATACATCCTAGGATTCTGGCTCAAGTCACGCATGTGTGGTGGAGAGAACGAAGACATTCTGCGTGGTTGTCGAGTCGTCACGATCAGAATACCTTTTTTGGAATTAGCGTTTACGTCCGACCCGCGTCGCCATCGTCTAGAGTCGACTTTGATCCTGTTAATGCACCTCTCCTTCACTCATCAATAATCACGTTGAGCTCGATACTACACGGCATGGAGAAGGAAATCCAGCAGCTGGTTGAGATGGTAGATCTAGTCGAGTGCCAATTACGGTATCTAAGGCTTGTCTCATACACTCCGAATAGGGCGCGACTGTGGCCCAAGCCCGGGCAGCTTTGAACAAGTACAAGGATGTCATGCAAGCAGCCGAGCGCATCTTCGATGGAAGCTTTGACCATGTCCTCGACGACGATGGCGACGTAGAGATGGCCTCTGGCGAGCCCGCGCCCCCGCAGAGGCAGCCTAGAATGATCGTACGCTCGTCCCAATATTCAGTACTTTCCTGCGTGCTGACAGACACGACCAGACACCAGATGATGATGAGGACATCAGCGATGCTGCTGAAGAGGACGACGAGGACGATGGTGAGTGGTTCATTGCATGTCTTGTGGTGTGACCCTCAGGACGAGGTGTCCAGAGGAGGACTTCGCCGATTACGACTCGGATGTTGGTGTAAGAATGGGACCGGGGACGGGGACGGCTAATGCGGACCCGTATGCTGGTAAGCTCCGCTCCCCATACAGATTTAACCGCTATCGACGCCTGCGCAGGCATCTTCTTCTCGAAGGACCGCCGTGAAGAGGTTATAGAAGTTGAGGAGGAGCCAGAAGTCGCATTCGTTCCCGAGATGAATGAGAAGGTCGCCCTCATGACACAAGGACAATGGATGAAGGGATGCCCCGAAGGCGGCGAGCAAAGTTTCCTGTTCAGTCTATACAGGGAGCTTAGCGAAGGCGAGTGTCGATGTCCACATGGCTGCGGGGGATCAGTTTCTCGGAAAAAGCGGGACTTCTTTTCAATTTTCGTGAGTGAAACCTTGTGTATGCGCGTCTTCATGGACTTATTTCGTGCACAGGCTGAATTCCACACATATGTCAAGTATTTGCGCCAAATCGTACCCCACACATGTGCCATATGCAGGAAACAATTCTGTCTCGCATGCGGGGAGAGCTTTGACCTCTCGAAGCAGGAAGGGTGCGCGGATGAGGACGCAGTCCTCTTTCACTGTTCGAACCTACAGGGTGTGGTTCTTGGTGTTGGTCTTACTATGCTAGAGAAGATGTATGTCGAACAGACGCAGGACGGCCCGGGCGACCAAGGGCAAAAGGGTCGCTCCGGAAAGAGACGAAAGACTGAGACGCTATCTGTCCCGGTCCAACACGTTCTAGACGATGATGACGAAGACGACGATGAGGATGGCTACTACCCACCTGTTAAGCAATCGAAGAAGGCAAAAGGGGGTGTGGGCTATGCCGGAGACGTCAGGGAGGATGTAGGTTGAGCCTCACATTCGATGCTTCCGAATTAATGATCTATATAGACATCCGGGCAAGTCGAGGCGCAGGCGGTGCAGCGCGCAAAGGACGAGAAGCTCGCCGAGCTCCTTTCGCGTATCAGGATTTTCCTTCCCTCTCTCCACCGACCTGGGGGCGCCCGGACTAGCGATTACCTTGTACACCCTACAGCTCTTGCGCATCTCCGTAGGCGCTTCAACTTCGTCAGTAGCCAACTTCTGCGCAACGATTCCCTGGCGGACATGTCTGACCGATCAGTGCTTTACATCGAATTATTTGAATGGTTGGAGGTGCAGTCCTCCACCTCCTGCGTATATATATGCAATGGCTCACAAAATTACGTACAGACGATCTCGTGCCATGAAGCCTTGGCTAGCATGATGGCAATGCCGATTATGGTTGTCGCGTCTGTGAAGTCCGATGTCACCAGAAAGTCACCCCTTGCTGGTAATACCAAGGTCCGTGAACGAGCCATCGTCTACGAAGGCAGCTCTGGACCCCGAGAGCTCCTAGAAGCCATTGCGATCCAAGCACAGGCTGCCGTCAAGGGACTCGAGGGTCCCAAGCAGGTGGAGACAACTACCGAAATGACCGAGGAAGAGAAGCGCAGGACTACTAATGACGAGAAGGGCAAATCCCGGGATACTGGGCGTACACTGACGGAAGAGAACAAGAAGATGCTCGATTTCTGTCAGCGAATTCTCGGTACGACGCAGGCTATAGACCGCTCGCTCCATGAGACGAAAGGGGACGCTTTCGTCAATCGACTACACGCGAGCCTACCGAAGATACCCGCCGGTCCCCAGCACGATGCGCCACAAGTGCATGCAGGGGATACGGAGGAGAGTGCTATAAAGGCGTACGTTGAATGGGCAAACCGCGTGCGCTTTGAATATTGTGACTTGGAAATAGAGCGGACGGAGCCCGTTGAGACTATTGACGATCAGACCCCTCACTACAAGTTTTACTTCAACAACGACGCCCGGATGCTTGTGAATACTGACATCCCAAAGCGGTCATTAGCAATCGCGAAGGAAGTGAGATACGGCTTGACAGTCTCTGCGATCTGGATATCTACTAATCAAACCCTCCAGCTAGCGGTGCTTACTACGAACTTACCAGTCGCCTGGAACTCGTCCATTTTCTTGCGCGTGGACGAGACTCGCGTGGATATCATCAAAGTGCTGATCACTGGTCCGGAGGGCACGCCGTAGGTCTAAGGTGTCGGATGGACACGCGATCTACATTACTAACTATTGACTGCGCCGATCCGCAATCAGGTATTACAACGGCTGGTGAGCAGCTCGCAATTTAGAACTTTAAAGCTCCGCTGATATGCCTTCCAGCTATCTCTTCGATGTATTCCTCGGGGCAAACTACAACCAGTCGCCGCCCAACGTGAAATATATGACCGTAAGTGAGCACGCGTCATGGCCCCCAGTTTTCTAATTTGCCGCCAGACAAATGGGGGTAAATACCGTTTCAACCCAAATCTATATGCGGTTAGTGCGCCGATCAAGCTCCAGTGTCGAATTGCCTTCTGACGACCTTCGTCGATCAGGATGGTAAGGTGTGCTTGTCCCTTCTGGGGACTTGGGCTGGGCCAGGCTGGATCGCTGGCAAATCGACCCTGTTACAGGTTTGCATTTCGCAGACTCAGGAGCTTCGCTCAGCGGGTTAACGCAAATTCCGCAGGTCCTTATATCGATCCAGTCCATGATTCTGTGCGAAGAGCCGTATCTGAATGAACCCGGCTGGGCAGGAAGTGCCGGTACCCCTCAATCGCGCGCATGTGAGCGCCGCGCCGAATATGCTTTCTAAGCGAGTGGCTTACAATTTGTTACCCGCAGACTCGGCCAACGTGCGTCGAATGGTAGTCAGAACCGCGGTACGCTGCGCTCGCTGTCTACGTTCATATATTTCTTTCGTTGACGCAAGAATGCACAGATGCTGGGCAACCTGAAGAATCCTCCAGAGCCCTTCGAGGATGTAATTCGCACACACTACCGCTTGAAGGCACGATCCATTATGAAACAGCTTGATGAGTGGCTTGCCATCGATGATGGCAAGCCTATCACCGATGGAGGATATGGCGGACACAAAGCTTCAGCTGGAGGTAGCTCGAGCGGATTTCAGGCCGATGTGCAAGAGCTGAAAGGGCTCTTGACGAAACTACAATTGGAGGACGGTGCAGGAGTATCATCATGAATCTCCTGTTGCAGTCACATATTATATTATCTCCTCATCCGTAAAATACACCTACCTCAGAACAGAATCCTCAATGTAATTATGGTGCATACACAGACGGATGTCTTTCGTGTAGCAAACAGTGGGCGCCAAATGCCGGGCACTTCATGGGTGTCGAACAAACATGTGATTTCCCCGCACACGCTAAGCGAGCGTGTGCACTCACGGTTGTCCGTCCTAAGGACTGGTTGCGCGCATAATCACCGCTACTGTAGACTGGCGACCTTTCGATATACACCATGCCTAGCGATTCTGCCATCCATGCTATCGCTGGCGCGGCAGGGGGCATCATTGCCATGACGATAACCTAGTGAGTCTGTATGATACAATGGGCCTGCAATCGAAATTAAATTGACGCAACTGGCAATGCAACAGTCCCCTCATTTTTATATCTACAAGAGCGGCTGTAGAGACAAAGAAAGAGCACAAGGTATGTAAGCTATCAGTCGTGTCTTCGCCTTGTTGTCCAGATTTATTTCGACAAGTCTGTGTATGACGCAGTCATAGACATCGTCAAGCGGGAAGGTATACTGGGCTTATATAGTGGACTCAACTCAAGCCTCCTCGGAGTTGCTATCACAAATGGGTAGGTCGTTTGTTGTCCGCGTTCTCTGCATCAGGCTGAGTCCTGCTAGGGCATACTACTATTTCTATGAACGTTCTCGTGGCATTGTTTTAGCTTCGCGGGGAGGCAGCAAGGGGATGAGTACGTTGGAATCCGTACTCTCCGGCCTGATTGCAGGCTCCGCTACCACCATTATCAGCAATCCTGTATGGGTCGTTCAGACATCTCAGGCCGTGCGTGGAATGAACCAACCCTCCGATACGAGTACGCCTGGCGTCCCGGCAGTCAAGCAGAGGATGGGATTATTTGAGACTGTGGATCACATCATGCGCAAGGATGGAATCAGCGCTTTCTGGCGTGGCATCGGCCCGGCTCTCGTCCTCGTAGCAAATCCAGTGCTGCAGTATACCGTCTTCGAGCAGCTGAAGAATATCCTCGTGAAGCGTAGGACCACACTGTTGAGGCGACCAGGCTCTGCCGCTGCGACTGCCGTATTGACTGACTGGGACTACTTCCTTCTTGGTGCTCTCTCAAAATTGGGTGAGTGCTGTACTCGCTTCGTGCTGAACGTGCCTGATGTAAGTGTAGTGGCTACATCGATTACATACCCCTACATGTCCGCCTATTCTTCTTGCTCGTGATTTACCGCTGATGCACCCACAGAGTTGTCAAGAGTAGACTCCAAGCGGGTCAGGCGAACGCTCTCAAGTACAAGTCCTCGTTAGATGGTCTCATCACTATCCTCCGAAATGAAGGCGCGGAGGGCTTATACAAGGGAGTCGGCAGTAAACTACTCCAGAGCGTCCTCACCGCCGCCATTCTATTTGCCAGCCAAAGGAGGATTTATGAGGCTACTAAGAAGGTGGGTATCGAGCCCTCAGCCTGGATTTTGTCATCAGGTCCTGAGAGCAGTTATGCAGGCTATGGCTGCGACGACAACATTGGCCAGGTAATTTACGTAGCTCAATGCACCGCTATTCCTTGGGGTCTGAATTCCAACATGGACGTCCGGATAATATCTCTTTCGGCTGCAGAATCTTCCTATGACATTGTCCTCATTGTCAATGATTCATGGGGCAGGAGCGAAAAGAACAGGCTGTTCCTGGGATCGGATGTTTGGCCTAACCCGAGATACCCCCAAAGTAAACTCAATCCTTTGAGCCTGGGCTGGTGGTCGGGATTGCACACACACAAAAAGCTGTCCGCTCCTTTGAGCCGGGATCGAACCAGCGACCGCAAGATGGTATCCAGTTACAGTCTTGCGCTCTTCCAACTGAGCTATCAAAGGTGCCATGCTCGCGATCGAATGCGCTATCCAGCTGAGCGCGCACGCACACGAAATTGTTACAGCCACTAATCGTACTCGCTTTCGTTGTCTCCCTCTCCAAGCAAGGACAAGGTTTCATTCAGAGACTCTAGGCAACCTTGCTCTCCTGAGTGCACTCTCGCGCTCTTCCGGATGAGCACCATTAAGGTCCAAGAACCATATATAATAAGTTCACATTTGCACAAGTCGTGCCACGTCGCCACCACCTCCTTGCTTTCCCTTCAATACCACTGAGATTAGACGACATCGGCACGCGGCCACACGGCCAAGTCTAACTAGCAAGATCACAGTTCTTCATTAGGAGTCACGATTAAGACTTTCTATTGCGACTGGTTGTCTCGGGTACGTCCTGGGGCAATTATGCTACGTTCTGGTTCTGAAGCGTCCAAGAAGCTCGATGACGATGACAAACTAAATGGCTTGGCCAATGTGTTTCACTCGCGCCACTGATATTTACGCCACGGAACGTAATGGTATTATTGTATGATCATACTCACAACATCATCGTCAGATACTGGGTGCAACATTGTTGTGCACCCCTTGGAGCATTGTCTCGCATGAGTGACCTGTCATCGGTCTCGTGCTCTCAGCTGGGCCTCACAAAGGTTGGAGCGGAGTTTCCCTCTCCGCTTCCTTCCTCAGCGAATTTCTACAGTGAGTTGTAAGCTCATCGGCCACGGAACGTCGATGACAAGTGCATCTAATTTACCTGGCGCGCCCTCTCATGATTGTTCTGGCGAGCCACAAAGAAACGCCTCAACGAACCCCGAATGCTGTTCATACGAACCCAGTGGTGCTCAGGGCGTTGGGCTCAAATGGAAGGTACCCCCGACAGCGGCTGACACACGTATGATCTCCGCCGATCGGATGCTGTTCCATTCGCCCGCACGGTAACCGTGAACCCCGCATCCTTTTGGCAGTAGGCGAGGGCTTTAGTGGTGCCTAAGAATCCCCAAGCGCGAACTCCACCAGCGGCCCTGAGACAGCTCTCGGCCACTCAATAGCGCGCAATATGTCCCTAGACGGCTTGAGATACCGTCAGATCTTGCAGAAACTGCTCTTAGCCCCTCGACATATCTCATCCGGAGTCCGAGAGACAGCAGTTACGGCGAAAATGCGCCTCCACCCTACATACACTCTCGATGAAGCTGGAACGCTCTATTCTACGCGAGTAAAGACTACTGGCGGATATCCACCACAAAACCAAGCGCTGACCGGCCCGATACTACTTCGGGCGTGTCAGAGTAGCTGGCTCAGCACCTTAGGTTTCTTTGGGGAGGGTGCGCAGTGAGAAAATGAGATCTTCCGATACTCAATGCTGATCATAGATTACTGTCGGCGGCTTTGACCGTGCATCTATGTATCAATGCAATTAGTCGCGAATGAGTACTACCGCCAGAGCCTAATTTGAAACTATGACACTTTTATCCAAAACGCCGTGACTCAAAAATAGGCTTCATGGCTCATGGTGACTATGAATCAAGAATTGAGGAGATTGCCTGACAAGGAAACTGATTGCGCAAGGGCCGACTGGCACGTGTCGCGTACTTGATGTGCAACTGTGCTCTTATCACACCGTCGAATTTTGTCCAACTACCCGAATCTTAGTAGCGTCTTCCCTATTCTTTGCAACGGACGGGGTGCAATAGTCATCGCATAATTCTATCAGGCTGCTTTGCGCATGAGGCTACCAGCCTCCGCGTGCCGACACCTAGATCCACTGGCTTTTTTCTAGCGGGATATTCGGTGAGCCGAGCCTTGAATAGATTGTAGTTTGATCATAGAATGGTGTCGCTGGGCTTTGCATGCCCTCATTGCCACACAAGCTCTGGTGCAACTAATTACGTTACAGGGCAAGGTTGTGCGCTTGAAGTGTCGAAGCACTGCCTGTCTCTGGTCTCCACTGGTCTGCGCGGCATCATGTGGACCATTGTTTGTGACCACACACCCGAATACATGAGCATCTGGACATGGGACGTAAGCCTTACGAATTGCACAATTTTTACAAGCCATTCTAGAGACCTGCCAATTCTGGCGGTGACAATACCACGAGGATATCGAGCGGCCGATCGATCCTGTTTGGCTCATCAGACCCGCGGTGTGAGATTTGCTTTGCGTCCGGTGCTTCTCGGCTCACATTCTTCTTTCGACTCCAGGCTTTGATGGTTCCGTTGCTCCCGGCGAATCTCGATAGTGCGTGGCGCTCACGTTGGGGCATAACAGGCAGAACTTTGGCCGCCTAGATTCAGCCGCGACGTTTGGATCAGATCGACTCAGTTATCCCCTTGTTCGTTCCTTCTTTGCCTTATCTGACCTATTCTTCTCCACCTCTGGGCTTCTTACTAGGATTGTGCAGATTGTCTCTGGTGCTCATACACAATCCTGTCCACAATATGCAGTCCAGCGGGGGGACATCGAACATCGCGAGTTGACGCAGCTGCCTCACGACGACATGGAAACGAGTTAAAGCATTCCATTGATGTTTCCTACAATTCGCGGCTGTCTTTGTATTCGCAGATTCAACATCTGATACTACTCGAACAGCTGACGGATAGCTGAGGACACGATTCTGGCGAATCAAAGCTTGCGTGGCAAGGTGTTTGGTCCGTCACAGAATTCCTGCCGTAGCATGCAGTATTTGCGTACCGGTGAACACATAATTATACCAACTGGGTGCGATTCAGATCCGGACCTGTCCATCCCGCGCCCCTAGACACGGTGGAGTCTGCACAATAGTCACCTGAAGATACGGAAGTGCGGCTAACGACAACCCTGTCAGGCTTCTGACCATATGTGTCCCTGCGGAGCCCTCCAATGGCTCCTGGTCGCACCAGGTGAGAGGAATTGCACTCCATTCCAACTCTATACACCGAGATTTCATTTAGAGCAAGTTCTACGATCCATTGTCAGCATTCTGAGCATCACTTGACACGAATCTAGCCGCTACGGTACTTATCCAAACGTCCCTCAGGGTCATCACTCCACCGCTGATTTTTGCCTTCTCCGCTAAGTATGCATGGAGTGATAGTGACAGCCCTAGCCTTCGATTTATTGGAGTCTTGCGAACCGGCTACGGGTTTACCTACAGGCTGGACTTACCAGCCCGGTTCTTCCTTCCCAAACACGAGAGATGTCCTTTTGACGTCGCCGCGGCGCCCAGAACGCCAGAAAACTTCCGAAAGCTCCAAACCGTCGCGGATCGCAAGGTGGCATCTGTTCACTTCCTACCACGGCGAGAGTCACCCACAATAATCTGTGGCCAGACGGCGGCTCTGGCAGTCACTCAATTGAGGGTGTGGATCGCTTCTATGGACAAATGCGAAGAAGACTTCAGCCGCAAATTACGTGTAGCTTGTGAAGCTCGCCCATATTGGTAGAGCCCGGTTTACTACCGCTCCAGGTGCGAAACAACAGCCTAGGTTTCAGATGAGCACTTTCACATACGAGAAGCACTGCTATGCCATGCCTTTGGGTCACAATAATGTATCCTTTCTTGAACACCACCCCGCTAACTTCTCTCCTTCCTTAATTCCGTTCCACAGGTATTACCCGTCTCACGCAATGCTCGCCGTGACATTGGGCCCAATGAATGCTCTAGATAATTCTGGTCCTCGTCCACAATTGTCATAGATGGTCTCATCCTCATCGAGAAGCCGCTCCCTTGTTCTCTATATAGGCAAAGCGAGACGTACAGTGTTTCGGGTGAAGAGATCCCGGCACCCATGACTCCATTCCGGCAGTCCGGACGGATTATGGCCTTCTAGGTGTGTTTCTGATGGACTTTTGTTGCGAGACCGCCCTTCTGACGCGGACGAGAACTAGCACTGTGTGGAATGATCCCATATGACCGGGGCATAGGGCGGAGAGAGTTATCGAGTCACGTCGTCGAATTCTGGGGGGCTAGTGCGAAGCGTTTGGTAGCCGCATGGCGCGCATCGTCACTCCTTCGTACCCGACAAACTTTGTCGTCTAGTGTGCCGGACATCGATAACGGTAGCCAGAATACTCTAGACTACGAACTCGGCGGCGCGAATCATAAGATGCGCTGCCTACTGAACTGATATAAGGCTTCATTAATAACATCCCTCTGGAAGCTCAAGGGAGCTCGTACCGGTCCCCCATGCGTATACCTTCTGCTCGAGTATCTATCTGTGGAACCTGATCTTCGTCTAGTCAGTCAATTTACCTGTCTACGTCATACTCTGCGTAACCAGCTCGTGAAATCTCCCATGAGATTCGAGGTAAGAGTCATCGACGAAAGCACGATTTGTGATAGGTTCGACACAATCCCTCTGAGTCGTAGCACGTGGATGTTCTAGGACTGCGACTTATCGTATCAAAAGTCAAAATCAGATTGAATAGCCATTATTAAGCCCATTCATAGCGGTATACTTACTGTTAATCCTTTCAGCTTGGTTTGATTTATGAGTGATAGAAGTGCCAATAGATCGCAAGTTATCTAAGCTGCTGAGATTCAATTTGCTTGATCCGTCCACTACGCCCATGTTACCTTTCATACCTCGCTCCGTCGCCCGGTCTGCGAAACCTACGCCCGAATTTCGTGTTGCTAGTCTCTCTGCCTCATTGCGGCACTCCTACATCAGCGGGAACGATGGTGCACAAAGTTCTGACCAAGAAATCTTACCGGCTGCGAAAGGCAAAGCAAAGCAGTCCGAAGCCACACAGGCCGCAGATGAATATGCCATAGTGACTTTCATTGCTCTGTCCGACTATGCTCTGTGGTCGGAACCAGGTCTCAGACGGCTTGTAGCGTCGGGGGACGAGGGCTGTGAGTAAACCAAGCGCTATCTGCGCCGGTAGCTCATTTCGGATGTTTAGACATTCCACTCAGTCACATTCTCCATCAGCCACCCTTCACGACTGCTTTTCGCACCGTGCTACAAGAGACCGCAGTAGTAAAAGCTATCCGTGCCCACGCTAATGACAGTTTCGATTTACGAATGATCGTGTCGGCGTCCTCCCATCCGACGTGGCAAGAGCCGTGGGTCGCTGGGAATGTCGGTGGGTATGAAATACGGAGGAAGGATTGGAAGGAGGCACTGCAGCGGTCGCGAAATTACTCAAAGCACGAATGGGATGACAGGACTATTTATATGGTATTTCCTCAACTTCACCCGCTCGTCTTTCGAAGTAACCCCAGCTGACATTTTCCCTGCAGGAAAACATCCCGCTTCCTCACCGGAGCGTTGTGAGCATCTGTCGGTATACACTGTCTATGCTGCGTGCTCCTCCAACTCCCAGTGGGTCTATGCACGTACAGCACATATGGCTCCCACCGCATCACCAAGACAATCCCGGCAACTCTCCCAAATGCAAGGGCTTCGCCCTCGTGACCCTCACGCACTCTGAGGGTGCGGGACGCTTGCTCAGCGAATGGCCTTGGGAGCCGCGGCACATAGATCTCCGCAGTGTCGCTGAGCCTGCAGAAGCCCACGAAGCAGCGAGGTACGGCTTCCGCACACTCTCGAAAACACAATGGAACCAGCTGCAGGAGGAATATCTCGCTTATCGCCAGAAGCTGGTCGATGAGATCGCCCGTGCCGAAGAGGCCGTAGAGGATCTAGCGGGTCCAGTCGGACGCCCCGACGTTCAGATCCGACCGAGCGTTGCCAGGTTTACCCTTGCGACACCCAATCCGGCTGCCGCACCAACGTTCGTAGAAGCGTCGACATACCCGCACGGCTGTCTCGTCTTCGTGCGAAATGTGCACCCAGAGACAAACAAGACCACTCTACGCACGCTGCTGTCACAATTTGTGCAAAAGGATAACGCCACACAGGATGGGCTCGACTATGTTGACTTCAACAAGGGCATGGATACTGTTTGTTTTTCCCTAATAAACATTGCAATGCTCAATACATGCTAACACGCCTCTCACTAGTGCTATCTGCGTCTTGCCACACCACGACATACGGAAGAACTGGTACGTTTCTTCGCTGTAAACCCAAGAGTACAAAGGCAAGGTCTTGATGGCATGGGAACAACGCCTTTGTCCTCGGAGAACTTGAAGCCGATAATAATGGAGGTAGTGGATGGCGCAAGAGAGGAGCTGTACTGGAATAAAGTACCAGAAAAGATCCGCAGACAAGCCGTGGAGAAGGCCATGGCACAGTTCAACTCTGCGGAATCCGACGAGAAGCCAGACGTAGAATCCGAGGGCAAACGCAAGCGGAAGCGCAAAAAGCGCAGTTCCAACCCATAATCTCTTCTTGGCGAGCTGAAGTCCTCCATGCAGCAATACTTGAGGGAGTCATCGAAGCGTGTAGTCAGTGCTTCGGCTCACTTGCAGAGTTTCACAAGTAACATGTCATGTTCCCATGCCTTCCGCTCTCATTCGCTCTCGTACTCGACCGAGCGCCTTGCCGAGCTCGTTTGCGCCCTGGCCTAGAGGTCCGTCCCCCCAGAAAGCGTCATTCATGTCGGATACTATGAGGTCGGCTACACCAGTACTCAGTAGCACCGCGCGAAGTGTAGGATGCTGCATCAGCTTCTCATATAGTACTTCGTCCATCTGCAATGTAACATTGTGAGCTCTCCGTGGACCGCTAAGCTGTGTGGGCGACACTGCTGACCTTTCCCAAGAAGACTCGCTCCCAGTCCGGTCGCACATGCTCGTGGTTCGCTGCCGAGATCGCACGCGCCTCTTCGACCGTCCTGCTCGTGCGGATGCGCTCCGCGATGTCCGGTCGGTGTCCCATGAACTTCATTGCCTCGTGCAGGTGAAAGGCGCTGGGATACGACTGACGATTATAGTGCACGAGGTGCGGCGATGTGTGAATGAGACCTCCAAGCTCATTCCCGCGGTCGATCTTGATGATCGAGCGGGCCGGCGTATGTGTGGGCATGGTCATCGGCACGGGCGTTGGCCCGCGAGCAGGGATAGGTGTAGGTACTGGCATAGGTGTTGCAACCGGCGCTGGCACGGCGACGCCATTCATGCCTATCTGGGTCATTTGCGGAGTAGGGTTGTATACTGGAATGACACCTGGTGTTTGCTGCATCATCGGCGCCGCATAGATAGGCTGCGCCTGCATGACTGGCTCCTCGTCCTCCTCGTCATCGCGTCGGTGACGCCCGAAGACATTGAAGAGGCTGCCCTTGCGGCTGTGCTTGCGGTCGTGACTCCTACGCGACCCAGTCATGTAGCCAGCAGTCATGCTGACGTTCATCGGCTGGCTCGGCGGGATCATGATGTTTCGCCGGATTGTCGACTCGTCAATAGGTCGACGGAGTTCACGGAGAAGTGATATGTAGGGCGAGTCCTCAAAAACATCCCTAGGTGGCGCAGGAAGCGGGTTGTACGGCGGTGTAGGAGGTGTCGGGGTACGACGGCGTGAATCATACTGCTCATGTATGCCCGGTGTCAACCGCGAGCCAGCGCCGGCAACCTGAGGCTCAGGGAACATCATTGGGTCTGGCGTATATTGCTGTCCCATCCGAGGTACTACTGGTACACCGTTAGCTTGTTGCGCTGGGATATTCGGGATGACGGGCTGGGGCATGGGCATTGTTGTGCTTTGCTGGGAGTATAGGCCCTGCGACTGTGGAACACCAGGCGTGGGCATACGGTTGGGCATGACGGGCCGTGCACTGGACATGGGCACAATTGGAATGACGGGCCGCGAGGTCGATTGCATGGGCTGCGGGAACCCCTGCGGTGGCTGAGGCGTCTGCATGTACTGGTACTGCTCTGGTTCTGATTCCCTTGACAGTCGCATTGTCAGACCATGACCGCGACACACCGTAAGTCAAGACGCACGGAAATACTGCTGCTGCTGCTGCTGCTGCTGCTGGGGCCGCGGTGTCCCCCGCGGTCGTCGGGGCTGCATCGTCTGGGCCTGCGGGTAGGGTGATTGACCATACCCAGGGACATAGTCCATCTCGGCGGGATACATAGCCTTATTTCTCCCGAACCGTCCATTCCAAGTTTTCTTTCGAGACAAAGATGCGTCCTGGTATGCAGTCGATGGGTACGTGGGATATCCGGAAGAGCGCGAATTGTTATTTCCCATATAGGACCTCCAGTTGATGTGTAGTCAGGGGACAGATCGCGAAGAGAGATGTGGGACGTGAAGCAGTGCGATCGTGATGTTATATGAAATGCAGATATGGGCGTCCCAGTCATAAAAGTCGTGAGGCAGAACCACTAGCAGGCTACCAGCAGGCTACCTCGAGGCCGTGAAGAACCCTCGGCGACGATCAACATGTAAATTACACGTGCTGTCACGCGTCTGTCACGCGAATGTGACGCTCGACGGTCTGCAATTGAAGCAGTTTCGGAACGCCCTGTGCAAAGCCAGGGTTGCAGACAAGGCTCCAGACCACGTCAATATGGGGCTTGTATAGAGACTGAACTTTCTGGGCTGCAGTAATATCATGCGACAAAGGACGAAGGTACCATGAAGTGAGTAGTCCAATTGCGCATCTAGCATGCTTCATGAATCATGCCGACGCGGTGTTTTTAATGCCGCGAAGCTGACGAGGTCGACCATGTCGAGCTCAAAGCGTATCGTCGGCCAGCGTCGAGAGAGGAAACGGGAGAAAGGAGGAAGGGGAGAGCAGCCCTGTGTTCACGCCCATTTATACGCGGGCCTTGACGCGATACGACGGCTCGAATGGAAGATGTCATGACAACATCGACCGTGTATGACATCACAGAAGGAAGTGCAAGGCATTGAGTGCCAGCCGTGAACGAAGTGCACGCCATATCGAGTAGACGTCTTGCCTCAATAGGAAAGCAGGAATGCGTCATCGGTGCTGTGATTAATATGCTGTCATCCTGCCATGTTACCCTAATTCAATACCTCTCACACGGACCTGCTGTGCGAGACCATGTGAGACGCGTCAATGTGCACAATCTAGTCCAACTTCTCCGGGAGACTCTAGCAGTCAGCTCATCAGCACGCTTCAACTCCATTTCAGACCCACTTCACGACGGCACCTGACCCAATAGATGGTCACCTGTGTTTATTCAAATAAACATCTTAGCGGGGCCAATTGCGCGGTAAATCTTCATAGATTAATCATACCAGAGTACCTATCGTACATATGTCGCCAGTTCGTTGGTGCCTGATTGGATTGGCAGCCGAACAGTACGAGTCCAGCTTCAAGTCCAGCTCCGGACGTTGAGTGCGATCGTAACGACTTGCTACAGTAGGTCATCGACTCACGGTCAAGAGAAGCCATCCCTCCTGCGGCGACGTTGGCCGATCTGCCTACCAAGATCGCTGTTCTAGCCCCTCCCTCCTTTCTTAGCAACCGCCACCATTCCGAGTCGGCATCCATATAGATTCTGATGACCCATAGTCTCCCGCTCCGAGATAGTGGCGCCACAAACTAAGCCTCATTTTAGCACATTCTCTACGATGCGCCATCAAACCTGAAACGATCCACCACGGCGCCCGAGAAATGCAAAATCTTCGCGCACTGAATTTTAGTGGCGTACTTCATTCCTACACCACCACCAATCATGCGCCGAATGTCGTCGCCCTGAGCCAAGACACAGCCGACTTCACGTCGTCCTCGACGTCATGGTGCCAAACGCGATCCCACATCCCCCCAAGGTCTTCCTGTATGCCCTGCGGGCTCAGTCCGTGCTCACCATAGCCATCGTAAATTTCCCCAGCCTTGACACTCCCCTCCCACACCATCTGAGCGCGTGGACGACGGACGCGGTCGTATGCTTCGAGGACAGCCTACCAGATCAGACGCATGAGAACGCGGCCGTGAGTACACCAATGCCATCTTTGACCCACCTCTATATTGGAGCCGGTCGTTCCAGGGTGCCCGAGCAGTTGAGCGATCACGTATGCGTCCTCGATGCACTGACCAGCACCAGCACCCAAGTGTGGCAGCATTCCGTGCGCCTGTCCGGAACAGATTCAACCTTTAGCATGCGCGGACATACATCATACACCCACTCACCGAGTCTCCTGCGACTATAATGCGCCCCTTGACATACGTCTCCAGCGGCGGATAGACGACAGGTATCGACCATTTGCTCGGGGTTTTGATACACTTAAGGATATCTATCACGTCGCTTCCCCAGGCTTCGTACTCGTTCAATAATTCTTTCTGCGAGACATCCTTGACGCTGGGATACTCGAGCTCCTTCGACCCGATAGGTGCGTTGTGGTCTGCTGCAAACGCTACCACGTTGATCTGGAAAGCGTTTAGAATCAATACTTGTCGTGTCGCACGTTCAGCTCAGACGTACAAGTTCGGCATGCTTGATGGGAAAGACGATGAGATGCTATTGACAGAGTGAGTACGCCATCTCTTGCGCTGGTTATCTCATGCCTGCCTTGTCCTTTCCGGCGAAGCAAACAGACCGCGCCGTGACGTCCGTCTTCACGCTTGCTTTCTTGAGCATGTCCGCAGGAAACAGACCTCTGTAACAGATTGCATTGCTAAAGGCTGCCTTGTTCTCGCCACCACCAGTCACTGCGGTGCGTACGGCGCTGTGGACGCCGTCCGCGCCAATGACGAGATCGGCTTCATATACCGTATTGTCGTCAAAAGTGATGACGACTCGAGTAGGGTCGTTCTCGATGGGCGCTACTGAGACGCATCGCTTCTTGAAGTGGATGATACTGGGATCGATGAACTTCTGCAAGGCATCCAACAATGCCGCGCTGTCATTCGCGTCAAATTCCGTCAACGGCAGCTCCAACGTAGAACGACGTACCGGTGTGCGCCAAGCCCGCCGTTTTCCTCCGACTCTGGATACTTCACCAAGATCAGCTGCATATCGTTCTCAGAACCAAGGCATGACGTACATCATAGAGGACCTCGTGGCCTTCCATTCCCGACACGAACCTGAACATCCTCGTGCTGAGTTCAGACTCGTTGCACTTCTCTAGGACGTCATCGAGAACACCGAGAGTACGCAAGATGCGTACGGCGTTTGGCCCTACGTGCACGTTTGTCTGTCTGCTCGTCAATATAGATACTGCACATGCTCACCGAGTCCCACTCCGGCACCGATTTCACCGAGTTTGGCCTAATACAATGGTAATCATGTCACGTCACCTGGGTCCAATAGATAGATGGCTCACCGCTGCCTCGAAGATCTGAACAGGTACACCTGCACGTATCAGGGCTATGGCACAGGTCAGGCCGCAGATCCCTCCGCCGACTAGGGCGACCTTGAAGTTCTTGTGCTCAGGCGATGACTTGTCAGACATGATGGACGTTCGGTATGGAGGTGGAAGTGGTATAACAGAATCCCATTGAGTGCCGCACATATATGCAAACGTTCGCTCCACACTGTGACAGCCTTCTGTTGCGATGCAAGATGGCACGTCAAATACCTGCCAGCATCACGGTGGCGGCTCAGACATTGGCGAACCCTCAGGCCAAAATCAGAGCATTGGGAGCGGCCTCTGGCCTCCGGCTGGGACTGTGTTTGTTAGACGCCACTGCGCATCGACGCTGCACTTATCGATGAAGAGGTTGGACAGGTGCAGGGTACCACCCTCTTCTGCGTGCCCAATAGCGTCTCATAGTGGTCGGGACGAATATAGTTGACCATCAGAATACCCGGCGCTTGCTTAGGCGCAGGTCGAAGGATGTGTATCACATTCTGCTCACAAGGGACTATATCAGACGACGAACAGATCGCAGGCGACTCGCGAAGCAGGTGGTATCAAACCCGAATGATCCCGCAGCCACTGGAGGCTCCCAGCAATATTACGCTCGCACCGCGAACTCTAACTACCGGCATTCATGGTATCGCATCCAACACTCACAGCAGTATGACCAGTCGTGCGGTGGTATAGAAGACAGAGGAACCTAAGGGATCGTCTGCGCACAAAGCAAGCTGAAACTACCTACCACAGAAAAGGTGAGCGCTCCGCGAGTGAGCCAGCAGCGAGAATTGAGTAGCCCTATGTTCGACCACGATGTGTGCGCATCCGAACAGACCTCGGATTGCGATCGTCCCCGCCCGTACTGACCATATGCGTAAGTACGTACGTCCCTTATCTTGATCCGTTCATTTGGATATCCAAATTCAATATTCGGAAGAACTGGCTTGGTCAGCGTCCGTGGCGTCGGTCCTAGAAGTAGTGATTTGAAGACGCCAAACGGCGGAACGCGGCATGAGGTCGAGGTCAGGGCGTTATATTCCGAAGTCGTTGCCGGCACTCGACGCGCGTCATCGTGGTGCATTACATATCTGCAAAGTCTATGCCATTCCCATATGGTAGCTGGGTACCGCGAATATCGTAGAAGTAGATCGTCTATACAAAAGGATATCTATAACCTTCCACTGATAGGACCGAATAAAGTAACAAGTCGCTTTTGATCCGTTAAGCACGAGGCACCCGACGCCCATAGCCTTTTGCATAGGGGGAAAGGAAATGTCCATAAAACTGCATCTCTCAATGAGATTCAGACACGGTCAAAGACTTGACGTCGCGTTATAGATGACGGGGGTGGACGTGACGCCGTACTCCTTCGCGACGTTGCCCTATAGAATCGGGCATTGAGCATGAGCCCGGCATATAGCCTCGAGAACACGTTCACTCACGGGACAATCCAGGTACGTCTCGACCACTGTCAGATAAAAGGTCGCGTTCGAGAAGAACAGAGAGCCATATTCCTGTGTCGAGAAGTCCGGCATTGCCAGGCTAGAAGGCGGCGGCGGAGGGTCTTGTTCGGGGAGCCCTGAAGGAAGAGAAGCGACCGGACGCTGAGTCAGTCTGGGTTCGCCCGCGCGGAGAAACCAGTCACTCACCAAAGTTAGGAACCAACCATTCGCCGAACTCGAACAGATAGGTGCCCGTGGCGAACGTGCCATTGGTGGTCATGTCCTCGACGGTGGGCGGCGTTTCGAGCAACCAGATGGTGACGGGCTCGTAGCCCGACTCACAGTAGTTGACCGAGTCGAAGCCGAAGTCGAACGTCGCACCCGGCGCGATAGCGTCATACGTGCCTGGGAGGGAGATCGAGCCGTGCGCGGCTACGACGGCCTGGCGTCTGAGGGGGACGCTTGCCGCTAGGCTCGTGGTAAGGGCGGGGACGAGGGCGAGCAGTGTAGAGAGGCGCAACTGCATGTTGTGAATGGGGTGGGGCGCGGTTGAGTGACTGTGAACACTGGCGATCTATGGACCCTCCAGCGGTCTTATATACCCGTCTGGCAGCGGTCTTCTTCATAATGCGCACCTATGATACTCCGAATTCCCGCGAAACTACCAGATATTTGGGTGGTGGTGACAGTTCCAGCTATATTTCCGTACGGCGGGGGCGCCTAGACACTGCATCGTGAAACACCAGGGCCGCCAGTCAGCGTCGCTTCTGTGGTTTCCGTGAAATTGCCATAATGTCATCGCGGCGAGAATGGCCACAATCATGCCCTGACAGGGACGGGTGCCGGTAAACGGAGTGCAAGGCCCACAGAAGCGGACGATGTCCAGTACTGCTGATGTCCAGCCGTGGCGGCAGCGCCACACGTGTGCCCGATCAGGCAATCTCGCTCCGCTGCGGCACCGCTCTGTTGCACAAATGGGTGAGGGCAAGAACATTTACATTTGGCAAGATTGTCGCCGGCAAGACCCACGAGGCAGTCTGTGGGTGTGCCGGTATACAGACCTTGTTCGTGGGCTCTGCGTTCCTAACGCCAATTCCAGGCCGGGGTGACGTTGATAGCAAAGGTGTCCGATCAGCGAGCGCTGCGCTCCCGAGGGCCCACGTAAACCTGACACGCGGCGCTCAGGGCGCACTGTCTGCGCAACAGGTTGATGGTGGGAGTGTCGGCTCTGAGTGCCAGCCAAGGCCCCACGCATCCCATCGCGCCTGGTACGTCGGAAAGCCAGGACACCGACAGATGTCATCAGCCTCATGCTGGGCACCCGTACTCACCGGTGTTTGAAGGAAGACAAGACTTCTGCAATGGGGGTAGAGCGTGCCATATAGTTAAATTAATGGCATCGGCGTGTATGAGCTGAGGCCGATAGTTTGGCGCTTATCCTTCAAGTGGTTGCGCGGTGATTCTACGCCGCATCCAACGAAGGCGAGGCACAGTTAGTTCGGAACGCGATTGCCTGGTGGGGCTTGCACTCAGATGGACTGACATTGCGTCAGCGACCGCGTTAAGATGAAAGACGGTTCGTCCTCGCTCTCACCGGGATATCGACACCGGATGCCGGACACCAAGTTGCTGGCAGGGACTGGTCTCGCCTATTGCACCCAGTCATGTCGTAGAAGCGCCTGGATGCTGCGCGGAGGTTGCGAGAACGCGATGTCTGAAGGAGTCCCTGATACATATCCGTTCCACAGATCCGCTCGAAGTTGCCGCTTCATGTGGTCCTTTAGTGGGGACAGTGCGGTGGGTGGTACGTCTAAGCAGTAAGGGTATGCACCAGCCTTCTTTCAATAGCCGTTGGCAGATATAAGGAAAGATATACACGTTGAGTCCCCCATATGCGATGCTTCCCAGTGTACATGTCTGAGAACAACGGCGAGGTCCCTGAAATCGTGGAGACCCAACCAACCTTCCAAAGCGCTGGTTCATGTGGTCAAGACTGCAATGCCGATAATCAAGGTCCTGTAGCTTCATTCGTAAACTCTGTCCTACAGATCACGTCAGCAGCCACCTCGAGAAGGGCCGTGAAAGGGCTGGCCATCGCGGGCAATATCCATGCAAGAAGTGGCTAGCTCCGAGAGAGCACATGCTGTCTAATGCATCTATACCTTGAATATAAGAGCTGGGTCTTCTATGGCGGTCAATCTTCCATCAAGTAGATCCGCGGTGCCCGTATAGCAGCTCTAGAGCGCAGGAGGTTTATTGTCCAAGGGCTCCGCTATTGGGACGGCTTATCTTTATGCACTTCGGGGAAAGGGAGGCTGAGAGCGGTTAGCGGCGGCGATACTGCGACGAGGGCTGCAAAGCAAAATCGCACCCGGGCACTGGTTGCCACAAGGAACTGGGTCCCCTTAATTTGACTCTGATGGTGCCAATTGCGAGCACCCATGCAGACAGCAATCCGACAATCGTGGCGGTACAAGACAAGCAAAGTCCGGCGCCCTTCGTCCAAGTCGCTGGCCGATGCAAGGGTGCATAACACGTGATGAACGCGTCGGACCGCGAGCGCGACGCGTCGCGACTCAGGAAGATGGCGCCCATCTAGACCTAACGAGCGTACCTGGAACTAGTTCACACCGTTTCACGCCATGGATTGCGACACTGGGAAACACGCAAGCATATATGGGTTGACTCGGCTTCTTGTGTTGGATGGACCTGGGACTCCGTAAGCACGGATACAGTTGTTATCATTCCGGGCTCTTTTTGTACAACACCGTGATGCGTGTAAGGCATCACAAACATGTACACGCAGATCAGAGGACCGAAGATGCACGAGATTGCTGTATGGTTATTCTTCTTTGTGAAGGTTGTTCACAGGCTTTGTGCGCGGGTTGTCTTGCACTTCTAGCCACACACGTTGTCCGTTCCACCCGTTCACCGCGCTTCGGCAAGTACAACCGGTGGGGATGGAGAGGACCAACTGGCCATTTTGAGGGCGGATCCATGCCACCCCTTACTAAGTTCACGGGTCCAACTCATCCGTGAAAGTAGTTGGGTAACGGGTTCAGGTAAGCCGCCATCATGCTCACATCCCTTCAACGGTCAACCATCATACATACATTACATCATGTCTTCTCACTTTACTTCCACGAGACAAGACGTTTCAAGATACAACATCTGCACATGCGCTTGTCAGCACCTTGTTCGGCTAAGTATTGTACAAGTTCAACCCACCTTCAAGTTCGTCATTCGCTCCTCACTTCTTACTATCGCAGTAGTGAAGACAACCCTTGCTAGTCCCATCTGTATTTGGAAACAGTGGACTCGACACCTGCGTCGGATCACACGGGCAATTAGAGAGGTGCAGACGAACCGGCAGTGCTGCGAGGAGCGCATCACGTTGTCCGCTCCCCGCATGCGCCATACTGGTGTTCTTTCCTTAGCCGGTTTACCACACGATTATATCTTTTCAAGCTTCAGTGCATCTTTCTGAACTCGGAACAGCTTAGTTGTCCTCAGCGATATTGGTACACGATCTTTTTCAATTTCTGAACCGCACTAACTAGAAGTAAGTTCACAGCAAGTCGTTGAAACTAGTTTACAGAACAATTTTGTGCAGTGACATACATATGGGACTACAATGCTTCTCTCATGGCTTCTCGTTCTTGCGTAGCGGCGTGACTATCAGCGGCATACTAGGTTGGCTAGACTCCATTCCAACCGAAGGAAAGGAAATCGGGGCAAGATTCCACACGATTGGCTTATCCGACAGCGCGAAGGTGAAGTTCGACAGGAGCATCATGAGTAAAATCTCTGAGATGGCTGTTAGTATTGCTCGTAAAGGATCCAGCTCCGATACTTACTCATCTCCAATTCCGAGAATTTAAATCCGCTGCGACGACAGCGTGAATGCATGCTCGAAAAATGATACAAAAAGCTCTTACATGCAGGCTCGTTTTCCCCCGAGGAAGGTCATCCTGCCGAGAAGTAGGCATATCAGCTTGTTTGTGCCATGCGATGTGAGGAAGTAAACAATCACAAGTGTGAGAATACGCCCGGCGCAGCTACATCTGTCACAGTCCTAGGTAGCGGAGCCAGCCAACGTTCAGGCTTCCACTCAAGCGCATCCTCGCCCCACTTCGCCTTGCTCGTATTGGAACCCAGGGTACCCAGAATAATCTTCGTTCCCTTTGGCACGTGTATCTCGGACATGGTTTGACCATTCCGGCCGACTACTGGAAAATGCAGTGGCAGTACGGCGTCTCGCTTTGCTCTAGGTATCAAATATCGATTATGGGTGCCAGAATTAGGACAACGTAGTTCATCGCTCACACTCGAGTAAGAAATGTAACCGGTGGATATCTGCGTAGTGATCAGCTGATGAGCGAACGAAATTGTCGAGAGGCTCACAGGCGAAGGGTCTCTCGACAAACGGCGTCCAGATACGGCAGCTGCATCACCTCATCGTACGTCAAGTCTTCGCCACTATACGCGGCCATGACCTCGTTCCTCAATCTGTCCTGCATCTCAGGGCGCGCAGCGAGATTTTGCAGGGTGCGAGATAGTATATTTGACGTCGTGTCCATGGCACCCAGTATAATAGTGCTATGCAACGGTATGAGCTAGTCGCTGGGGAAACTGTAAAAAAATACACAAAAACGCACGACATCTGAGCAACAAGCTCATCGTCCGGAAGTCGATCGCTGTCTGAAGCTGCCATATTCGCCTTCACTATACAACAATCAGTGCCTGGTTCGTATACAAGATACGAATATATTTTTCTTACCCAGAGTGGTCATTATGTCCTTTCCGCCGCCAATCTGCTCTGGATCTGACTCTAATCCCACACCCAAAGCTTCCTTCTTGGCCCTGAATATCGCGGTCGCCGTCTCTGACATTTTGTCGACGTTATACTTCAGTTTGCGGACTCCTGCGTGCGGAAAGTGGTCCATCACAAATGCTCTGAACCAGCGGGGACCGATCCAATCTACGTATGGCAGTAGCTGCCGAAAGACGATCAGGCCTTGCAGCGTCGGGCTGTTTATATGCCACAATGGCTAGGAACAACCCTTGCGGTGAGCTCAATAACAGGTAGAGAACTCACAATAATGTCTTCAATGCTTCTCCGTAGTCATCCTCTGCATCTCTCACAAGAGGATCGAAAGAATAGCCTAGGCCACCTTGCCCGACGAGCTCAAGAGCGGCGCGACCCATCCAGAACAGGATGTTCAGCTCGCGAGGCCCGGATTGTACCTCTGTTGTGAGGGCTTCCTGGAGCTATAGTAAATGTCAAAACACGGCACGCCGCTATAACGTCGATAGAGACAACACGCCTTATGAACAATTCCGTAAAATGTAGGCACTAAGCTTCGCATGTGATTGATAGCGAACACGGAGTTAAGCATCTTCCTCTGCTTGTGATGATGCTCGCCTATGACAGTTCACCCATCAATGACCGAGCCCTTACGACTGGGCATAAGGATAGACCTAGGGTTGATATAAGGCCTGGGCCGAAAAGATAATGGTTTGTCCTGCAGAAAAGACAGGTCTCATGGGTGTCCGTGACATTCTTCTGCCTAGCTTACTTGATAAACAGCTTCGATTCCTCGAAAACACCCTCTTCTTTGATGAGAATATTGTGGAGGGCTTTAGGATCTTGAACAATTAACATGGGTATCTGCATGTTGAGGCTATCAGCCTGCCATGAACTTTCTAGGGCAAAGGAGATGACTGCGCACACAATATAGCCCATAAAGTTTGACTACGGAGCCATAGTCTTGGGCCAAGTGCCTATGGAAATCGGAGCCGTGCCTGTGGAAGTATTGGCTCACGTTTCCTGATCAGCGGCGTGTTTCACAATCAGCATCTCCAGCACCCGACACATCCAGAGTACACCCGCCTTGCCATAACGAAGTGGGCGCGGGTCCCGGGATATTGTCTAGTGGAGATTTCAGGAAGCGCCGTCGTAGCAGGCGTAAAAGACCCCATGAAGCAGCGCAAATGAGAAAGGCAGTCAACAAAGGGCTTGCGACTACCATAGTGATGCAAGATATTTCATCAGATTTTTAAGATTGAGCCCTGCGTTATATATCCGGAGAGGAACCTTCCTAGCTCGGGGCCTTCAATGCACAGAACTAGGCTCGACGCTGACGCTTGACATTATCCCTGAGATATCGTATGATTTGTCCGTAGTTGTAGAGACCGGAAGAGCCCGGAGACCACTGCAACGAATCCACGCTCCGGTGAGTACCGTTTCAATATACAGAGCCGCTGGTTTGTCAATGGGATTGATATCTCCTTGACAGGAGCCAACACGCCCTGATCACCAAAACCCAGATCACCAAGTACCAGATCAAAACGAATGCACGACCTTGGAGCCCGTCCTCGCAGTTCGGTACAGTCGTCACTGCATCCCCGCGAGAGACCTGGTTAGAGTGGCATCCGTAGGAACCGACTTCGCCGAATGCTTAGTTGGCGGTTACGCATTGCGATCGTGCTTTGATGTCAACTGTCAAACGACCCGGCAAGAGCTGAAGCCATGAATAGTGACGCGGTGCCACTGATGGTGGACCCAGCAAGGAATCAGGTTGAAACGGAGGCATTGTGCCTGCAGCAGTGCAGACTCACCCCGTATCTTTCGGAGAACATGGAAGGAACATACCATTGACTTAAATGCGCCGCGGTCCCGCGGTCCGGGCCGCTGTTGCAAAATGCCGGCATCAAGTGCTTTGTTTCTCAGTCCAGTCATCACGGCGAAAGGGCATGCTATGAACGAGCCGTTGGTTTTAGCATGCATCTAAGTGCAACAATCCAGATTGAGTGAACCGATATTCACAACATAGGACCGAATAGGCTTGGATATACGCAACATTGGTGTCAGCCCCGACGGAATGTATGAACATCAGTCGATGCTGAACGTTGGTCAACGGGAACTGGCAACAACAACGTCAACCTGAGCTCGTATACCTGTTGGCAATTGGGCTCTTACAGTAATGTTGAGAGAACGACTCTGGCCAAGTACAAATCAGATGACGAGACAGACCATAACATATAACCAAGTCGCGGATTCTCCTTTGCCCACAGCCCGTGAAAGAGCCAAAGTACGTCCAAATGTTACTGATAGATGCTGGATGTTCACTGCATACATCGTTTCACTCCAGTGTCTGGACTCTGGATGAATCGGCTTCAGGACACAGTCATGTGATCATATACAGCCATTACGTCTCGGAGGCGAGTTGCAGCAAGACTCCCTTCGTCTCCACCTCATTCACACACGTCTGATAACAAACAAAGATACAAAGGCATGCAATCAATCAAGGATGGTATACTGGATAAGGCGAGAAAGGGCCAAGCTGGAAAACACCCAACTCCCTGTACCGTCAAGGCATCCACCCCAGCTTCAGGTCCCAGCTTTTGTCCTGCAATCTGAAACTAAACTTTGCTGTCTGCTGCTTCTGATCAAATTACTCATCAGGGAGGGTGGCACAATGGAGATACGAGTCCAACAAATCTTTTCTGCCCCTTTCACCCGAACTGGCCATCAGTTCGTTCCTCAGCTTGATGGCTCGGGACACTAAACAGAGTAAGCTTCTTCTGGTGTTCCCCAACAAACCTGACGAGTATTTGCAAATCTTGGAGACCTATGCTCAACTCCCCTCCTCGTTCTGAATGGCGGGGCAGGCTCTCTGCATCTATCGCAGAGAGCCTGCCCCGCCATTCATTTAATTACCTTGCCGAAGGAACCCCACCATTTGGCTATATCCTTGTCGCCGTCTGTAACTAGCTGGGCAGTAGGTGAAACATTTGTCTTTCCGTTCTATTCCTTGTACTACTAGCGCCCATACTGGCACCTGTCTTAGCACTCACCCGCAGGTTGAACATTATGTAGCTTACATAATGGGGTCCGTGCGCACTTCGTACTCGGCATCGTACCACTATGTTTCTTTCTTCACTAACACGACCACATAGACACGATGGTCCGTGCGCAGTCGGTACTTGTATAAGTAGTTGTATCATTAGTCGGTCGAACCCTAAGTTCGACCTGGTTATTCATTCAAGTCTCTGCTCCTCCTCGCTTGGGGTAGTGGTCATTCTCGACTTCCTCGCTCGATCTTCAGGACGACGCTGATGCGATCTACGAAACCCTAACCCCTAACCTGGGTACGACCTAGGTGGACTAGAGGCAGGTTATTGTCTTAGTGAGAGGGGAGTTAGCAGCAAGGTGTCCCGCGGTTCGAGTGAACACGAGAAACACCCTCGGAAAAGGCTACGAACGCTAGGGAAGGTACGAGGTGGCTCGACACGTCGTCGAAGCTACTCGGAGGCTGTGGGTAGTTAGCGGGGGTCGGTAGAGACGATCGAAGCTCGGCAGAGCTCTTCGATGTATCGTAGAGGGAAGAGACATGATTCGATAGGGTGGACTTAGCTAGGACGCGGTTCGAGATACAACGCAGTTCTTCGATAATAGCCGAAGTCGAAAGGTTCGTCGAGACGGTATCGACTAGTAAACACAGTAGACGAGGTTTCGAGGTTACGCAGCGAGGAACGAAGTGACGCAGTTAAGGGCTTTAGACGCAGGGCGAACTCGACTTATGAGCTCTGAACTCGAGGGGGGAACTGGGTCTTGTATTTTTGGAGAGAAGTACGACAGATTTTATACTACGCAAGGGACACTACGACTATCGAGGGGGGCACACTAGTACGAGGGGCTTTGCATTGTCCCACACGAGTCTGCCTCACCGAGTGGCACGTATCAAGTCCATCAGTAGAGTGACGTCATGCCGAACGCGGAGATGAAGAGAAACATACGAGACACTTCGGACTGGTATCCGTCGTCGAAGGCATGCCGCGAGGTTCGATACCTAATCGGGAAAGACCGGCTACGTCGGTGTGGCACGGAGCGATGCCCGCGCTTGGACGAACGGCGTCAAGTGGCCCTATTGTCCGCTGAATGCGGGAGATGTCCCGAGATCTATGAGGCATCGGGACGACCGCGCCGAGCTTCGAGCAAGCATCGCGCACCGTTGAAGATGTCGAAGAGCGTCGAAGGCGAAATCGAAGTGTTGGGTGACTGAGCCGAAGTGCCGGGCGGGATGCGATTGCCGAAAAGAGCTGTATCGGGGCCCAGAGGGGCTTGGCGCCTATCAATGCATTGTCCATAAGCCCTCACTCGTCATCTACGAGTCAGGCATAGGAGTATAGACCGTTGTATCAAAAGGTCGAACTTTCTAAGCTACGTTCCTAGTTTTACCTAGTCGAACATCTCATCCACCATCACGTCGAACAACACAGTCAACCCAGTTCCTTTGGGACTACCAGCCCTCGCAGGATCACCGCTCCTCCAGTACGACCGAGCAGATCGCTGCTTTGTCACCTCCACAAAAAGAGCTCCCATCTACCCTCGAGGCGGTACCTGGTGTCATGCAACCGGTCCAAACCCGCAGGTCGTCGCCCATCAAGAACTCGTTAGCTACTACCAGAGACACCCACCCGCTCACCCAGAAGACGTATTCACCACCCTACGGATCGACGTTGAACCTACTCAAACAGCAGAAAGCGTGCAGTCACCCATCAACGAACAACCACTCGAACTCCCTGAAGTTCAGTACGTTCCCATCGAAATCCCAGACATCGAACTACCACCAGCCCCACCCGCACCAACCAACGCACCGGTTGAAGTCCCTATGGCAACATTCACTCAAGCAGACATCAATCAGCGCATCACTGTCGCCCTCGCAGCATACCAATCCCAGCAGTCAACGGCCAACCGACCCCTTCACCTCGACATCCCTGCTCCCGAACCCTTCAGCGGAAAGGCAGAGGACCTCAGACGCTTCATCCAATGCATCCTCTCCTACTTTGTCGCCACCAACAACACCCGACTCAGTGATGAAGCAAAGATCGCCTTCACTGTAGCGCTGATGAGGAAGGATCTGGGGAAAACATGGGCGGACGCATATTATGAAAAGTCAGCAGGGGGAGTCCAGGTCTATTCCACTTGGGCAGACTTCGTTGCCGCTCTAGAAGAGGCGTTCCCTGAGCATGGAACGCGAATCAAGGCACATCAAATCCTGATGAAACTCCCTGAACGACAGAAGGATAGGAAGACAGTGCTCTCCCTCGGTAACTACGTCACCCGCTTCGAGCAGCTAGCATCAAAGGCTCAGCTCAAGGACACTGAGGTCAATGGCACCAACCGCGTCGAGAACGACTACCACACTCTCCACGCCAACTTCGTCAAAGGACTCCCGAAGGAGCTATATTTTGCGCTCGCAACAAGGGTTGCTAGGGATCGACCCAACACCATGAAGGCCTGGTACGATGAAGTCCGAAACGCCGACGCAGCCAAGCAGAGGGCTCTCATCGTCACAGACACCAGAGACTATGGCGAACCAATGGATATCGACGCCGCTGCCGTCACATCAACCTTCGCCTCCACATCGGGAGGAAGGAAATGGGAACTAGGAGCTGTTCTCAATGAGGCCGATCGGAAGCTCCACAGGGACGGGAACCTGTGCTTCTACTGCCACATCAAGGGCCACAGTGCCAAGGATTGCCGCAAGAAAGCGGCCGCACGACAAGGGGGTGGGAGGCCGAACCAGGGAGGATCTGGGAAGGACGACTTCCGCGCCAGAATCAAGACACTCTCCGCTGACGAAAAGCGGGAGCTGTACGAAGAACTTACGATGGAGGATTTTTGAAGGGGCAGGGTGAGCCGACGCAACCACTGCCCGTATCCGTTTCACTGTCCCGTGTAATTCTAGTAGTCCGAAATGAACGCGCTCTACACATTCCGATTACTGTGGGACGAAAAGACGTCGAGGCGCGCGCTTTCATTGATAGCAGCGCAACAGGAATCTTCATCAGCCCGAGATTCGTCCGAGAGCATCGACTTCGGACAGAACCTCTCCCCCGACCCATCCCCGTCTTCAACGTGGATGGAACTCCGAACAAAGAAGCACTCATCACGCGAAGAGCCCTCTTATCTTACAAGATAAGCGGAGAACCCCGATTTGTCAAAGCCTACGTCGCCAGCATC